GGGGTTAGGGTTAGGGTTACGGGGCTAGGGTTAGGGTTACGGGGTTAGGGTTACGGTTACGGGGTTAGTTACGGGGTTAGGGTTATGGGGTTTGGGTTGGAGTTACGGGGTTAGGGTTACGGGGTTAGGGTTAGGGTTACGGGGTTAGGGTTACGGTTACGGGGTTAGGGTTAGGGTTATTTGTAGTTATTACTGTATTTTTAGAATGGAGTTTCTGTTTGAGTGAGGGTTAGTCGTAGCTGTATTAAACAATGAAAGTTGTCCATGCTTTCCAGGACATCTGAGGACGCTGATGCTGTTGAGTCTTCAAGGGAGTTCAGTGCATGGGTTTTCTGTTCAAACTGTGAACCCAGAAGTTACTTACTGAAAACATTTCTGAGAAAGGAATTGATATGCACACAAACAGCAACAGATCAGCAAAGAAGAGAAAACTGTGTCCAGCAAAATCTTCAAAATGCAGGATTTTTACGCAAAAATTACAATAACAGTGAGAAGATTCTTCCTGAGACAATATCAGAGTTTTGCTCATGAATATGGATATCTCATCAGCATGAAAATCCACAGGAGCAGTTAAATACCCTTTGAAATCATGAAACGAAAAATGGAAATGCTTCGAAACAATTGATAGTAAAGCGGCCCTTTTGGTTTGGGGGCAAAAAAATCTGCTTAAAAATGAACCAACGATGTGGTGGAGCGATGAAATAGTGAGCGAAGTTTTCAACAGGCCTAACCATTTTCAATCTTTTCTCTGTCGGTTAGCTTTTGGCGGGGACAGCAATCGCATCACCATCTTCGGTGAAAGTTCGGGTTCTGTTAGCGTCAGTTTTCACATATTATCGGAACGCACCAAGGGCCTATTCCAACGGGCCGTAATGCAGGTTAGTAATCCATGTTCATTAAGTTGTTCCCCTTTTTCAGAGACTCCGTGCTTGTTCTTGGTAAAAGATGAGCCTTTTCAGCCCAGAAAGAGACTAGGCTCTGCGTCCTTTCTCAACGTGTGTCCTTTATGGCTAAACCATCTGCCTCGGTACAGCTATTCGATGTGACAGCCATGCTTCTTTTAGTAGGACATTTTCCTCACATTTTTACACCAATATGTTCACATTTAGATAAACTATTCGCGAAATTTGTAGAAGCTTTCTACACAAAATGACAAAAACTCATAAAGCCTTTTTTCACAGGAACGTTCGGAACATGAAAAGGTGCTTCTTTCTTGGCGTAAATTGTACAATGCTTTTCCGTCTGAGCTTTCCCTTTGTACAGATTCAAAGAAGGGACGTGGAAGAACGGTATTGGGAAGGTCCGGAAACCCTCTTCTTGAGCGTAGAAGAATGCGAAGAGAGGTTTTAAGAAGTGTTGAAAACAGAATGAGAGCACAATGACAAGCTTTAGCATACGCATTTTACATACGAAGCGAGACGAAATTTGATCTCTGAACATTGCCATTCAGCAAAAAATCAGTCCACGTTAATTTCCAATGACGATTTATCCCGACACCGTGACTGAATGCAGTGGCCAGACTCTAAAATTGAATGGTAACTGACTAAATCGCTTTTCCAAGATGCACTAAAAATTCATCTTGGAGGGAGCTAAATATTTCAATCGGCAACGTTGAAATAGCCAGCACAGCATACAGCTTTATCATAACCGTTTGTTTAAATTTTGTTTTAATTTCAGAGTGCGACAATGTTTACTCCATGGGCTTATTCTGATGACAAAGACATGCTCCGTAAGCAGGCGTTTGACATAGGGGAGAAGGTTGGCTGTAGCACGTCTGAGAGCCAGGCTTTGGTTGACTGTATGAAAGAAAAGGACGCATCAGCTCTCTATGTAGCATCAGCTGAGGTAAACTATGGCTCCATACAGGGATTTTCCTGCTGGCCAAAGCACTTTGGGGGCTCTGAAATACATAACCCACAAAAAATCCTACTTGTCGTTGAAAAGATCGCCTAAAAGTTATGAGAATCTTCATGACACAAAAACTGGCTAGTGCCGTGAGCATTAACCCTTTTTTCCCCCGGCATTATTCAATCCAAACTACTTTTGTCAGCAAGAAGCATGGTATTCTTGTTGGAAAATGTGATTTTTTATTGTACGCAAAGTTAATGAAGTGAACAAAGATCTGAGTCTTCAAGTTTTCAACAGATTCATCCAGAGTGCCCTCAGTACAATCTTGGTCGGTTGATGCATAAGAGTGCTCCAACCCTCACATACGTGTAGTACTTTTGGGTTTGTTTGTAGACGCTTACTTGGCGGTTTTCTTTTGTATGCCAGATATATTTACATTGCCCTGCAGTGGTTGACGGGACCTTTCTTGTGGACACACCGGCCAATCTCTACGCTACCGATCGATACAACCACGCGGACCTTCTACTTGGCACGACCAAGGATGAAGGCACGATAGGACTCACCTATAGTCCTCTCTTCTGGGACTACTGGTACTCCAAGGAACCCCCGACGGTGAGCAGAGAAGCTTTCGATGAAATTCTCGCTGGTGCATATTTTCCAGGTGAGAATGGCGAGTGTGGAAACTTTAAAAGTGACACCGTCCTGAGCTTCCTCAAAAAGTAAGGAAAAATCGAACGGGGGAGCATCAATACTGGTACATCGTTGCACATCATTTATACCTCTGGCCTTGGTACCGTGGTCGTTTTAAGGGGAGGGCAAGAGGGGATTTGCCCCCCCCTTTGCGAAAAAGGGGAACATTAAAAAAATTAAGTGAATAGAAAGTAAATAGAAAGTAAATAGGAAATGGGATGAAAGTCACGGATTTGCCTTAAAAATATCGCCTTCCCCCTTCATGTCTTCCTTCATTTCACCACTAGACCAAGCTTACCCCCAGGAATTTCCCCACCCAATGGGGAAAAAATTGTTTGCCCCCCTTGGAAAAAATCCTGGCAACGTCCATGCCTGATGCTGATAGAGATTGCTCAGTTCCGCGGTGTTCAAATTCATGAGACATCCCTGATGGTCTCTCAGGTTGTTTTGCGTGTTTGCGTGGGCCCTCAGATTTACCTGCACGTACAACTCGACGCAATTATACGGTACTCTAAGCTGTCTTTCTAAAGTGTCTCTCGATTGTGACTTTGGAATAAAATAGGGTATTTATATTCCCCTTTTTTGTGTCAGGCGGAAACAATCAACAACTTCAGGATGCGATCCGAATGAAGTACATTGACTGGTCCCAAGCTGACAACGATGATTATGATTACTTCCGATCGCATGTGGAATACGTGACAGATAGCGATTTCGCCTGTCCGACGGACTTGGTGGCGCGGTTCCATTTCCAGGGGGGCGACAACGTCTTCTTGTATCAGATGACGCACGTGCCTACTTTGTCTCTCTACAACCTGGACGGTGAGGGCCCAGGCTGGCTTGGAAGTGCCCACGCTGATGACATCTTGTTTGTCTTCGGTTATCCCTTTTCATATCCTAATTTCACCGATGAAGAGAGATCATTTTCGGTCGAAGTCATGAATTTCTGGACAAAATTTGCCAAAACTGGGTGAGTTGGCTTCAACAACGATTCCTGACCATTCTCCCGAAGAAGACGTATTATGGCGTAAAAAAAAGTGCTATCAGCATTTGAATAGAGTTGGGAACTGACTTACAAAACAAATAAATAAATAAAATTCATCTGTCTCAAAAGTCGACAGATGTAGGCCTGTAAAGGCCTGTGGCGAATGTGTATAAACCAGTGCTTCTTTTAAAAATGTGTACATCAATTTTGGACTACTCAATGTTACTCAGGATGCAAACTTCAGGTCAGTGTGTTCTCTCAAACAGGATGCCGGGCACTGTAACATCGGGCTCGACTCAGCGAGATTTCTGGCCCCGATTCACCGTCCCTGAGTTGGCGTACAAGGAACTCAGCTTAAATCTGACCACATCCAGAGCACTCAAGAGCGACCAGTGTTACTTTTGGAATACCTACGTACCACAGCTCCAAACCATGCTCGGTAATAATATCGATATCAAATTGTTTTCACCAGCCCATAAAAAGTTTCTTACCCTCATTTGCAAATTGAAGACTGGAGTTTTGTGAGTTGTTAGTCGAGTTCCAAAAAATGTTCTTTCACGTTAGTACCATACTTTGGGTAATTATTATTTTGCTATTTTTTTGGCTGATTTTGTTTTTCCAAAGCCGAGATGGACGTTGCAGAACGTGAATGGAAAGAAGCCTTCAGCACCTGGAAGTACACGGACATGGCGGATTGGAGGAAGGAATTCACCGAGTATAAAACAATCAGATTGAATTAATAAAAGGAAACTAAGGAAAAAAGGCCTATAATTTGAGCCTGTACCATGAGGTTTGTGCATAGGCAGAAAGATTGATTCAGACATATCCGATCCATTTTGCTTCATAAAATTGTTCTTGGATTTCAAATAGATTTTTTCTTTATTTTCAAATTAAAACAGGCTGAATTTCATCTGGAAATGCAGATCTTTTCAAACGTTTACAATACATTCTGTACGTCCGGTCGATGTTCATAATTTTACACTTTATTATTCTAGTTCGATTTATTTTCAGAATTTAATTGAACTAGAAGTTGTCACATAAAAGTGGAAAGCCTCCTCCAAAATTGTCCTAATTATTGGTGAATATGGGAGTGTTTTGCAGAAATTGGGAATCAGCTTAGGCAGAATGCAAAACAGAATTAACAACACTTTCCTGAGATTTCTAAAATTGTCACGGAATTTTAATAAGTTTCAAAGATTTAAATTCAAAAACAAAAACAAGTAAATTCTACGAGATAATTCTTTGAAATTTTCTCAGCAATTAATGGCGTAGTCTAATACACACGTAACTTTTGGGTTTTTTTGAAGAATAAATAATCTAACAATTAGCAATGGCATCGTCAGGAAATTTTTCTGGGGAGCAAAGCCCATAATAACGGAGGTGAAATTATTACTGTACAATGTTAAGAGCGCCACCAATTTTTCAGTGGTGCCTAAACTAACCTAGTTACTCTTTCTTCAATATGGATAGCAAAATCTTGTCAGTCGCACGTCCCCCGTCACATGCTGTGTCTGCGGAGATAACGAAACAAATTGTATGCTGCACACTGCAGAGAACCAAACCGAGTCGCTTTTGATGTAGTAATTCAACTAGTTTCATGAAAATAATAAAGTTTTTCAACATATTAGACCTAAACAGAATGACGTTACGTTTTGTTCACATGTGCGCTTTGCAGTAGTGAGGTAGACGCTTTTATCAATCCCCCATGGGAAAGCACACATGTAACAAAATGTGCGCTGGCGTCATGTCGACTGATGTTTATTGCTAACAGAAAGTTACAACATTTAGGCACGACGTTAAAAAGTAACTTGAATTTCTTAACATGGAAAGGGAAGAACTTTAAAAGAAACAAGAGCAATAGGCCTACGCAGAAAGTAGAAGTGAACATTTATTTGCAGGATTTATAAACTACCCTCTGTATTTCTTCAGTTTGGTTGGTGTTACTTGGTCATTTTGTTCACCGACACGATAAAGTAATCCCGCTCAGCAATCCAGAAGCACACAAGTGCACAACATTCGCTTCGAGACATACGTTGTAGGATTTTGCCGGAATTGCATTCAAATCTAAGCTTGAACTGTTGAAGATCATTACCGGTATTTCAACGGTGACCCGGTGTCAACATTTCCGGTAAGCTATACCCACAATTCTGCGCTTTCCTCCGACGATTTTACAAACAGATGTGCTGGTCATGGGCGTAATCTCGGGGGTAAGGGCATTCATATCTCCCCATCCACTTTGTGACCGGAGTTTGGGCTATTGAGTCTTGCCCCGAATTTTCCCCGACGAGAAAAAGAGGAAAGCAAGAAAACTTTTGAACTTCTTGCAACGATGAAATTGTATTCAATAGCGCTCAAAAGGACAACAATAAAGCAGGCATGTATACGCCGCTTTTATGTAAAGTTCTAGCGCAATACAGATTACAGAATGTACATGTAAATCTGTGCCACGAACAACACCTTCTACTGCCGTTGTGTGTCAGCCCCCTCCCTTTCAAATTTCCATGGCCGGGCAAGTCATCCCCTAAAAATCTCCCATCCCCTAGGGCCTCTCCCCCCAGAGATATATCCCCCACGTCCTAGCCCAAATTTACGCCGCTGATGTTGGCGTTCTCAGCAAAGCGTTTGGTACAACCGAATTAACCGTGTGGTTTGCTGGTATCTATTATGGTTTGATTCTGAAGTTGGCCTCAGAGATACTATCCGGCCGATCCGGGCGACAAGCGGCTTCTTGTTTTTCAAACAAGTTTTAAAAATATAAGGCTGTGTTCAGCGGACGATGAATAGGATTTTCGAAGGTTCGCACTTGAAATCCTAAATGTGTCTACGACTTAAACTTACAAGGTCGAGCCACTTTGCCGAGCAACCAGGTTGCTTTATCTATAGCACTTACACGGCAACAGTGCCAGTATGCAGTACAGCAAGATTATCTTTGTCCAGTATCGGTAATGGCATAGTCAACGCAGTATCCTAGTTAAAATGAAAAGCGCTGTCACTCTATTTGGGCCTTGGCGAATGATAGCGATTATAAGTGAATCAGTTATGTGTTGACATAACTTTTAACAATTTATGGAGCCGTATGGCTAAAAAACCCACATTTCCTGAAGTCGATCGTGAATCCAGAGAGTTGACTAACAAGGACCAGTTCCCAAAGTTAGGGTTGTTCGAGTTCCGAAACCTCGACCATGGCTGTTCTGATCCAAGTGTCCCTTATCGTCTTGACAGCTGTCAGTGTCGATTGTCAGCCAAGAGTCGCACTCCCTGGCCTGGGCACCGTGGTCGGTGAGACAGTGCACTACTCGCGGGCGACGCACCCGGTCCTCGACACGACCGTGGACATCTTCAGGGGCATACCGTATGCCGAGAAGCCGGCCCGGTTTGCTAAGCCCCAGCCCAAGGTCTGGTCGGGCGAGTGGGATGCCACTAACTTCAAAGACCAGTGCGTTCAACCTTTAAAGATAGATGAAACGAGCGAGGACTGCCTGTATCTGAACATATGGGCACCAAGTGTTAAAGTAAGTTTATGTTAATTTCGATCTATGGGTAGATGGATTTTGTACAATAATAATAAATCGGGTAAACAAATATAAGCTTTCGACATTGTATCTGTGTTTATTTATTTTATTTACTTTATTATAATTCTCTTTTAGTTCACAGAGCAAACCTTTATTGCTTAATTTGGGTTTGTTTTGGAATGAAGATTGTGTCGCTGTGTATGCCATCTGCCTCTAATTTTTGTTAGATCTTTCTTTGTTGATGTACCCCAAACGTGGCGCAGCCCCTAACGAGGGGCACTTCCATTTTTCGCTTCTTGTGCATTGCTGGAGCAAAATTTTTACCTCATTTTTCACAGGAAACTGAATTTCATTAAGTTCCCATGCAGTATTTTCGTCCATAAATCTGGGGTTTACATACCCAAATGCAAGCTTTCAGTGACGGTCTATTTTTGCCTGATTTTCTGACTGTTTTCAAAGTGTACTGTGAAGTCTTTTAATGCCCCCTTCAAAAAAAAAGATTTAGAAAAAAAGTGGAGTGTGTAAGTGGAAAAAATAAAGATAAGAATTTATCAACTTAAGAAATTCTTAAATGTTAATGTGGGATTTTCTGTTATATTTTTTCAAGCGCATTACGTTAGGGAGCGGAATGTGTGCCTAATTTCCAGACTCCATCGTTTCAGAACTCTGGACTAAATTTTATGACACTGGAGTTGTTCTTATTATGAACGCAATGGTAACACAGTATTTAAGTGAATGAATTCGAAGTGTTTCAACAGAGAGGTTTGGCAACACTGTACGTAGAAAGTCGACAGAAACGTCAGTGCGCCACCTTAGGTGACTCCATTACATACCGTTCAAACCTACGTGTGACTATGCTCATACGTGTACAATTATATGGGGACTATGGGCATAACATACAGGTATACCAGGTAAGATATGGGACAGAGTGGTGCCCCCCCCACCTGTCCAATCCCTATACACACTGTAGACCATTGTTACCTAACACATCCCCCCAGAAGTCTGTAAATAATTCCTGAGATTCCGATCAAACAATGACCAACACAAAGGCGGCGGGGAGGGGGGGTTCCCTCCGTCCCACATCTTGCCAAAGAAGAAAAGCATTGACAGGCAGTGGCAAAACTGAAGGGCGGTGGCTGGGCAGCTTTTACATATATGCCGGGGGGTATGGAATACAAAAAGGGGGATTGCCAAAGTTGGGGTAGAAATCTCCAAATACAATTCGAGAAAACGTAGTGTACTTGGAGAGGCATCTTAACTTTAACGGCGCGAAGTGGTTAACACTTCTTTATCCCGCATATAAAGTTGCATGCTGAACATTATATTCGATTTTACGCTGACGACTCGGACATATTAATCGGGGGAATCGAACTTTTAGGGGCCGTGTGATTCTTTTCATCAGTTCCGAACAACTTGCAGGCAATTACCGGGCTCCTATGACCTCGGGCGTGGTGTTTACGAGAGCTTTTAAGTCGATTACCCCCAAAATTTATCTTTCAATACGTGTGTAAAGTTAATCTCGAATGCCTGTCGATATATAACAAAATCTCTGCTCGCGAATTCCATGCTCTCTTCACCTGTCCACACGCTGCTAAGTTATATAACGGGATGATCGAGGGAGTTATAGGGGAGATATGTCTTTGTTTACCTTATTTGGTGTTTTTGGCTCGATATTGATAGAACCTTGACGAGATTCACCAGCAGTGTCACCTATGTTTGGCAGTGAGAACGCGCTTGGGTTCAGCCGATTCTGCTGATAAAGCTATCCGGCGTGTTTTTTTTGTTTTTTTTTTGAATCACCTGATTCTTTTTGTCCACCTTGAGAAAGGCCAATTGGATATCAATTCAATTCGGTACCGGTACCGATCAATTGATATGCACTCGTCAAATCGAGGAACTTGGAATTACGGCGCATTTTGCTCATCATGATTTTATTTGTTCGACAAATAGACCCTTCTAATTAAACTTCCTGGCATTACATGTCATCACATCATTCATGCAGAACTGTCCGATTATTTCTTTTATGATGGAGTTTTAGTCGCAAACGGATTTTCTTTACGATTTTCACTTCACATGTAGAAGATGTTAAATGCTTACCAATGTTAACAGGATGGACTTCTTAAATCCCTCTAGGCTCTCAGAGGAATAGCTAAAATGCACTTGGTAGTGCTGCAGATGTGATGTTGGTTTATAGTAATACATATATACATCAAATATTTCCGGCTGGAATTTGTAATAAAACTGGGGTAAAGTGCATATCACATCATGTCGTGTCATAACTGGCAAGAAGGTTTTTGGAGGTTTTAATCAGAAGAAAGTCTGAATTGATAGATGTTTTTGTCTATTTGTGTCTCAATTCAATTGAATATTTATTCCTCCAATTAAGATTAAAAGAAAATTTACACGGGTTCATTTCATATGAATTGGAACGAATTACACAGAACAGACAAAGCAAAACATCTAACAACATCTAACAGCAATACATATATAGATCAATTAACCAAAAATTACATATCAAAGAGATTTTAAAAATAGGGATGGGGTGAAATGTGTGTGTACAATGTGTAAAACCGAAGGAGAAAAGGCACATTTTGGTTATTAATGCCTAGATGTTATTCCATTTCTTCAAAACTTAATTTCCAGTCAAAGGATTCAGCGGTGATGGTGTTTTTCCACGGTGGAGGTTATGTTACGGGAGCTGGTGATAAATATAACGGTTTGCCGCTAGTCGCTTATCATGACGTCATCTACGTCTCATGCAACTACCGACTGAACTCCTTCGGTTTCATCAGCACAGGTGGGGAAAGATGAAAAAGGACGACGAGTCTTGCCTCGCATTTAATGAAGATAACTATGATCATGGTCACAACCTTAAAGACTCTGCCGCCAGGCAGAATGGGAGCTTCGCTTTATGCCGAAGTTCGATCAACGACCATTTGGTTAACCATCGGTTACCAGGCATAGTCGACCATGCATTGGTTGACAGATAGTCACGTACTCAAATATTGTGGATGTATTCCCCAAATCCTGTGAAGCCTTATGTAATGGCTCACAATAAATTAGTTAAATTGTATCGAAATATTTAAATTACATTAACTGTTGTCAGAGGTCAGAACTCAGGAGACAATTCGACACTAAATCTCTGACCCCCCGTTTCAGACAGACGTTCTAGAGTCGCGCCAAACCAAATTAAAAGCAAATTTTGAATTAAGTACGGCTAAAGTTCGACGTCTGAAACAATCAAAAGCGACCAGGTGTGCTAATAGGCGAAAGATCGACACCGTGATGCGCTCGGAACGACATCCAAGCGACTTGGTTTGAGACGTCGCTCTTCTCACGAGCCAAACCGAATGCAAATGTATGTGTTATTTGTCTGTCTGAAACCAAAACGGAATTGGATCGACCTGAGTCGCTCTTAATTCTATTTGGTTCGGCGCGACTCCAGAACGCCTGTCTGAAACGGGTATGACTCCATGCCCGCTTGAGTTAATGTCAATGGTTAGGCCTATGTCGAATCTCTTTGGCAAATTATGATGAAGTCATTTGTATCCTTAATGTTATAAGATATTGTAGTCGTAGTCGGATTCGTTTTCATGTGTGTTAGAGTTATGTAATAAAATTTAATGTAGTATAACTCTATGCATCCGCACACCTCGCGTGGCGGGCAGCTACCAGCGATGACTTCCCAGTGGCGTTGCAAAAATTACTTTTCATACAGGGGACCCTGAGTTGCCTGGGAATTACGGCCTGTGGGATCAAGTCGAGGCTCTCAAATGGGTCAAGAAATACATATCAGGTTGGTTGCTGTTAGCTGTTTGTGGCACTATACAAAAATTGTTTTGGCTAAGAAGTTTGCAGTTTAAATTTGAACTTCCTTAATTAATCACTCTGACCCATATCGCAACATGACACTGCAAAATATGTGGTATTAAATTGGTGTTAATTCAACACTCTGGGTGTTATCAGAGGATAACGTCCATTCTGATGTAGTCCTTTGATAATACTACGTTTCAAAGCCTGCGATTTAAATTACCGTATGCAGATCAAAGCACTCAATCGTTTGATCACTTTAGCTATTTTGGATTTCATTCTTTTAACGTCGAAGTTTTAAACGAGTTTTGGAAAGTGCTATTCGGCATTTTGTGTCCAAAAGGAATTTGTATTCAGTGTCAAAAGAGTCAAACCAAATTATTCTTTGTCTAGAATTTGGAGGTGACCCCAGCAGGATAACGATTTTCGGACAGAGTGCTGGCGGTGGATCAGTTAGTATGCTGACTTTGGGAACACCAGCATGGGAGTTTTACAACAGGGCCATCGCACAGGTATCGTGTAGGCACAGGGCAAAGTTGTGGCTTCGGTTTATCTGCCCTGAGCAGAAGTGTCCCCTTATCGGTTGAAAAGAGGCACGCTGGTCAGGAGTGTTCCATTGGTTGGTAGCGATGCGACTGCAACGCTTATGTTTCGTAGTTGTTCGTGAACTAATGATGCGCAGTTACTTGCATACCCAGCACTACCAAGGGCCTCCATTGCCAGGAAAATTGCGCCTTCTCTTGGCTGGACCATTGTTTATTTGAGAGTGGCGCTCGATAATGTGAGTAGGAGTAAGGTAAGGGACAATTCTCATAAAGAACGAATTAGGACCGAGGTTCGGTATTATCATAAAGACGGGAATGCGTAACGTTGTTCATTTTAGAATTGCCTTTTTTATTAGGAAAGAATAAAATGAACTACTCAAGGTCTGAAATACAGCAGATTGTTCTAAAAGTTGAATTTTATTGGTTTTTCTCAAAATCCTGTGATCCATAAAAGAGACTGATCATTGTATGGCGTGATCGAAAAAGTGTAATAAATGCTGGCATAACAACAGAAACCTTCAAAGCAATTCTGGATTGTGTCAAATGTCCGTATACGAAATACATTTCAGAAGAATTACAATCACCAACGTCTCTTTCAATGTCCAGAGTGGTTCTGCCTTATCTCCTTGGGTTATCGAGCTGGACCAGGCAAAAGCAAGGCAGGACGCCTTTGAAGTCGGTAGGTACGCGGGTTGTAACGAGAGTCGATCAAGCGTCGAGCTAGCTACCTGTCTGAGAGAGGTTGAAGTGGCCAGGCTACGGACAGCAACAACACTGGTAAAGCAGATCATGCGGCCTGATTACTTACCATTTACACCTTGGGCTCTTACCATAAACTATTGTCGGTTTTACCATGCATGACCTGATTCAGGGATGAAAAATCACAGCTTTCAAGTATTTTGCTCTCTTGAATTTTATAGGTTATCGCACAGACACGGAATGTCATTCCCTTCGTTCCCGTTGTCGATGGTGAGTTCATCACCGACAGTCCCGCCAATCTCCTCGACAGGGGAGAATTCAAAAAGAGTCCGTTCATGACCGGCACGACGAGGGACGAAGGGACGCTACTGGCAGCCAGGGCTTTTCTGCGGATGCTCAACGACTCTGACCCATTCGTAAATCGGACAGAGTTCGATTTCAAACTAAGCACGTACATCTACAGCTATACGAACGATCTGATCCTAGACGCAGTCAGGCAGCAGTACGTTGATTGGGCCACGGCTGACGATCCGGAGACCAACTTCTTTGAGACGTTTGTTAGCATTACGACAGACGAACCATTTGTGTGTCCAACGGACGCAGTGGCGAGGACGTACGCAAAGACAGGCGCTGACACGTACATGTACCACATGACGCACGTGCCATCTGAACGTAACTTCGGTGAACGAGTACCATGGACCGACATCGTCGCTCACTCGGACGAGTTACTCTTTGTCTTTGGCTTCGGGTTACTTGCGGGTAGGGAACAGAACATCACGGCCGAGGAGGTGAACATGACTGTTGACACCATGCGATACTGGACCAACTTTGCAAAAACTGGGTAAGCACACAGTTGCTGCATGCCATGACCTACCGGAATAATTTTTGCATTCCGTTTTGGCCACGCTTGAGTTTTGAGGTGTATGGCACCTCATTGAGGATTACAATACATGAAGAGTTTTTGAATGGCTGGGGAATGGCTGTGGAATGCAATATGTTATTAAGTTCTTAACACCTTAATATGATGTTACGGTGGAAGCAGCGAAAGACTCCCTCCCTGGATGCCTATTTACAGTCTAGTTCTATTCTGGGTGGGAGAATATCTTGCTCCACAGTTACCAAACTGGGCAAAATGTGACATACAATATTTGCGAATATGGGGAGTAGTATAAATAATTATTGCTTCTCTTAAGTTACAGATTTCAGAATAATTGAATGAAGTTCCTCACGATTGATCCAACTTTAGAGTAACCTTGAATACGCTGGTTGTGTGTATAAAATACGGATGCTGCATTTAACAATAGAAGGAGCACGCTCAACATGACAACATACTTAATACAGATCTGTCATTGCGACCAAATCAATGAGTATCCTAACTCCCTGAAGTGTGCAACTTTTAGAGTTACCAAATCATAGCTCTCTTTATTACTCTTATTAGAGGCATGCATTTGCGTCAACGTCAATGATACCAGTAATAAATCCGGGCAAAGTTGCCCGTTTGTATAGCTTGTTTCAGGTTTGAATTTTTTTCGGAACAATACTCAAATCAACATCATACTGTAGGCTAGTTCTTAAAGCATTGTAATTGACGTTTGTAGTAAACTTATTAAAACTGTTGTGATTTCTCTCCGAACAAAAGCAACCCCAACATGGGGGACCAAGATCATGCTGGCAGCGTGGACGACTCCAAGTTGTGGGCGAGATTCACCATTCCAGATCTGTCTTATAAGGAGTTGGCTCCGGCCATGGGTGACCAACGAGCGCTTAGAAGTATCCAGTGTCATTTCTGGAACGACTACCTTCCTCAACTCGTGGCATTGGCCGGTATGAAATGGGTTTTTATGTCAGCTTATTAGTTTGGATGCCACCAGTTCAAGTTCTGCAGCACGGATGTTGTGTGGAATTCGACATTATTGGCCGCAGCCGGCATTCTCGCTCGCGTATGGAAGCCATTAAACAATAGCTGTATGGCGACCTCATTTGCCTCCCCTAGACGCTTGTGTGACTTCCGGCCGCCGCTGTGACTTTGGACACAACTTCTGTGTCATCATTTTGTCAAGATCCCCAATGGCTTACCTACCATTGTGCCAGTTTTTTGCTCTCTCTGCAGGAATTAAAAACACCAGCATTTTGAAACAGTGCTTATAGGCCTACCACCTTGCTGGAGGCGGGGTTCAAGGCTATTTTACGAGAAAATAAACAAAGGCATAATTTTCTGGAAAATTTCAGTGGCATAAAGCCAAGGTGGAGACATGAGAAAGTTCCCTTGTGCATGGGCCCTCTTGCCCCCTCCTCGGGAGGGAGCGTCGCCACACGCTCAAAGAGCCGAACGTTATACAAACTCAGTGGCGTGACCGGGTAGCAGGGGGATGAGCAACGGGCAAATTTACAGTCTGAGAATATTCCCTTTTTAATTTGTTTTATTTTCGTTCGTTTATTTCTTTTGTACAGCGGAAATGGAGGAAGCACAGTGGAAGTGGCGGGAGGAATTCTATAATTGGCGGGAAAATGACATGGCAGTTTGGCGCCAAGCCTACGCCGAGTACACAAAAATGATGGAAGGAGGAATCGTGTAATCCTGCCGGATGCTGACATAAGCAGACTTAATAGCAATACCTGAGTGTGCTTAGTTTAGGGTGCACCACGAATTCAAAATCAAATGTGAAGTTGATTGTCATGGCCTGGTGCATCTTCGTAGTTTTCGGTTGTCTAAACTCTTCCTTTCTCGGTGGATATAGGTTCTATATTTTAAATAGCTTTAGTTTGCCCGTTATTATTTATCCCAAGAGATCCGGATTAATACATGTATAGCTACAATCCTGGACAAAATAGTTGGAACACTTTCGGTGAAAAGATCCCCTCTCCCCCATTCAATGTTGTGGTCATTTATTGGACCAAGATTAAGCCCAGCTTACCCAATGAGAAACAACATTGACAGGGGGCGAGGGGGAGGCATGTTCCAACGAGATTTGTCCAGGATTGTAGCTCAGTTTTCCCAGCCCGCCCTCTTCATTTTGAACCATGCAGTAAGCAATTCCATCATTCTTCTGCCGGAACTCTATAATATTCTTTGGACCTGCGTGGGAAGGTTAAGCTACACTGGATGAATCGTTTACGGGAGCAGCCTTAGCATTTTGCACCATTGACCAAGAACTAACAGTTTACCAATAAACTGATGACCAAACCAGACTAGACTAGACTACTTAATGGCTAATCTGCTTCGAAAACTGCACGAGTATTTTGTTTAAAAACATGCAGACTGAGACATCTTTAGAAGAACGGGTAGGGTTTGGCAAGAGTGGAAATGTATGTTCAGGCTGGAATTTAAAATCAGAATGGATTCTGCCCCTTCCCTTCATAAGTCCTCATATGTTGATTATCTTAGGTCGCTGTACGACATTGATTTACTTACAATGTTCTTGTTACGAGTTGCTATTGTGCATTTCTCTTGACCTCAATTTTAGGACCAATTAGCGTCCACGTATAAAGGACCTCTGTTAACAAATGTGATGACGTCAAAGGGAAGTCAATGGCATTAATGTGTGCAGTGCAAGGCAGATCGAGGTGAACGGGGGCCATTCCCCTAAAAAAATCTAGTTTTTGAAAAATAATAAGGAAAATGTGAATGCTTGATCTTTTTCATCTCGTTCCTTCAAAAAGCGCTTAAAATCCCCAATTCGTAGCCTCATCCGTCAGAAACGCTATGGAGGGGTACATGAAAAAGTTAAAAACTTTCGCCACCCTTTCCCGAAAAAGAAGTACCCCCAACCTTTTGATGTTCTTATCTGTTAAGATTGGTTAGGCCTACGGACGTATATAGCTGCATGGCTGGGATCTCATAAACTGAAGAACATATGTCCAGGTCTGAATAACTCATGGACAAGTTCCTGTGGAGGCTTCTGCTTTGGTAACATTGACCCCCACAGTCAAAATCTTTAGATATTTCTGCCTGAGTTCGAAATGCGTCTAAATCCACCTTTTCTCTCACCACGAAATAGCGTGTGGGCGTGTCAGGGTGCGTGTGTGGGTTCCATGCATCCAATAGCCCATCCCCGGGTCACAAATCTGGGGGTATATAAAGTCCCCCATTCCTCCGAAATGTACATCTCCATCTCATATCTTGCTTCATATGCCTCCAACAGTAGCTTCATCCGTCTGCTCCCGTCACAATTAGCCCATCGCCATAGGACTTGCAGGCATTGTTGACAGCGGAGTGTCTTGCTTGTTTCGGGAGGATCTGCTCTCCGAACCTTCCTTTTTACGTGAAGAGTTATGCAGGCCTCTTACTTCCTTCTCGCCTATCTGACACCCAGAGGTGCAGATGCAGAAACTGCCACAATGGCCCAGGACGTGCAAATTAAAGAGATATTTCTAAAGTAGAAATTAATTTTCCAAGAGCTTGTTGGCTGAGAAATAAATCACCCTGAAATGTATAGAACAGCGTCAGTCATTATTAAAGTTATGAAAAGAACGTGATTGCTCTTTCTACGGGGTGAATGAACTTTAAATCTTTGTTTCAAATGGCCAAAATGAGCTCACAGTCTGGCACTGGGCCCGTAGAAAGGATTCATCCATTTGTTTTTCTGGTAAGCTTTAAATTCAATTTTTTGAAAAACTTTCCAAATTTTCAGTGACCAAGACTCTGTGAAAAGATGGTAGATTGGTTCCAAAATCGATTTATGTTTACCCTCTATGGTTCTTAACGGATCGTAGAGGAAGGAAACAGACCCGTTTTCAAGGGTGAAAGCTACAACCATAAACCATTGGACTTTTTTGCTTTTCAAACGACGCCCAGCTGTACACGATTTGTATTCCGTGGAATACTTTAGTAAACTATGTTAAATTTTTATTCATCGTGCTAAATATAAATATCTATGACCCACTGACACCGCTGCTCAGACGATAAAAGTCCACAAACAAGCACTATTTATCATGAGCTAAGATGCACCAGTAGGCCTGCATGGTTGTGTACACTGTACACGACCTACATGCACATGTACAGTACATGTGTGCATCCGTACATGTACATGTACATGTACGGAGCCCCTGATGAACCTGCAATGAAATATGTTCAGCTAGTGAAAAACGTCTTTAAAACATCATTCCATTGAGAATATTTTGTTCCTTGAAAATGATATTTCTCTTTCTGGAAATTAATATTCACTCAATATTTATGTTGTTCCGCGAATGTGCTGAATAAACATGCCCCACCATTATAAGCAAGGACGGTGCACAGTCAATTGATATCAAATAATATACATAGAAAATATCGACTTGACACAAGGTCAATCATCTTACGAAAGTGCATACTTGAACACACGAGAGCAGATAATGAAATCGTCTGTCATGTGGCACTGACAGGAAAAAAAGTTGAAGCGAAGGGCTGTTGGAATACCGAAATGATATTCAGGCTGGTGTGCACGTTGCGCGTCGCGTCACGCGCGTTGAATAAACGGTTTGTGAAGAGGTAGTTTGGGAAAAGTGCGGGTAACTTTTCAAAAGAATTAATTTCTTATACAAATTGGCCTAGGTTAATTTTTGTTAGCACATGTAGTTCGATCAAATTAATCAGTTTTCGCTTTCAGCGTCTGTGGGAGAGATGTTATAAAACAACTATCGACTAATTTATCTCTTCGTGAAGTAAAACTAGCCTCCCGAGTTGGTCCAATTCTGTTTTCACGTTGGGCGTTGATCGAAAGTACCGGTATATACAACAGTATTCAAGACACACGATGCATATTCATGCCCATCGCGCACGCAGCACTTCCTTTTCAAGCAGACAACCGTGGTTTTTCATGCGAGCGGACGACATCAGAAGCACGGATTTTTCTGAAAGACTTATCTCGTATACCGGGATAATGCAGCACACACTGGGACAATCTAAACAAGACACCATAAACAACACTTATTTTCCTCCATTTGTAAGATTTTAAGTAACAGTAAATCTCAGATAAGTGTAAAAGCTGAAGTTTACACATCCTTTTTACCTATGAAAGAAATCGAAATTGCAACTGTTTGCACTTTTTTCATCAATTAATTTTTACTGGAGTATAAGTTTTGTAAACCAAAAATCTAACGCCAAATAAAAGATCCATCCTCAGTGCATTGATTTCATGCATTTGTTTTGAATTTCAGGGATAAAATTTTTGATAATCGCACCGAAATTCCAACGCTCTAACGCTGCACGAAAATTCAAAACCTACATTTTATATCCATTCTTATACCAAAATGGCCTAACCCAATACTGAGATCATGATGATTTTCTCAGTAAGACTGTACCGATTTTTGTCAGTGCTGATACCATTTCAGAACGCTGAATCGTTAAATTAGAGAAACTTCCTGTTCATCACTTCCACTGCTATAACTAGCACGTACCCTGACATCAAAGTCGCCAAATCCGGCTTGGCCCATGCACACGTAAATACTCGGACAGGACTGCGCTAGACCCATGACTCTCAGCTGCGAGTGAGAATTAAAGTCTGCCCTTACAAGAGTACGGTTCAAGGGTATCCTCCTCGCATTGTTATCAAAAGGTCGACGAAGCAATAATTCATGACTGTAAGAATTACGTTTTATTTGAACATAAATAATTATGAATTAAATCTGTGACGACCTTTTCCGTTACAAAATTAATGGCCTGGCAGTTTCACTATCACGACTTTGTGCGAAAATTTGGTTCAAATTCAACTTTATTTTACATAATTCATATTCCAAATTTTTGCATGAAATCGATTAAGACACTTTTACTTTGTATAACTTAACTTTTTATAGCCAGGAAAACGTATATTCAATCGAAGTTGATCAGATTTGGCAACTCACTTTTTTAAGTGAAAAATAAAATAGTTTTGAGGTTTATTTTAAGCCAGATATTTATTATATTTATTAGCGCAGGGCACAAAATCATTGCTACTGAAAATGAAATGCTCAATGAAATTAGGATTCATCACAAAAATTCATTATTTTTGCTCGGTTTAAATTTCCTGAAAATCCACAAAGACTACGCAATCTTTTGCTATCGAAGCGCATGAAATCAGAGATAGTCCGTTGTTATGCTGTTGCTAAGCACAAAACTTACGCACGCGCACAGTCTCTGTTAATTGGCAGGTACTGGTGACAAGGCACGTGGGGCCGTGGTGAGTTTTTCCCGCACAATATTGCTATGGGACCATAGGAGGCGTATAAAGTTGATGAATAATTCATGTTTACATGCTCGACAAGGCTCCCTGCGCTGCACGGGCTACAAGGGTCTGCGCGGATGAAATGAAGGAGCCATGTCACATCACACGGTTCGGCCCCGTGAAATTTGTCCAATCAGATGATGTGTCGTGGGGCCAAAAGCGAATACAGGATCATATATGTCTTATACCGTATCTTTAGTGGCACAGAAAAAATTGGGGCCGGACGGCTACAGGTGGATGGTCATAATTGCGAACAACACAAAACACGTGGCATAAATATTGCTCCGTAAGAACCTGCCATTCTTAGCTGGGTTTGCAGATTCAAACAAGGTGGAATCTTGCTTCATCGTGCAAGTGTGCGTTGCTTTCTAGTTTATAAACGGAGTTTGCTTCAACTGGCGTACAGAATGTCTAGTAAGTAGAAACAGGTAGCCTGTAATGTTCCGTTCGCGGCTACCTCAGGAACACGTCGCATTTCATGATTTTTTTTAATGTTAGGTCTAATCCTACTACTACCCTGACGACGTAGGTGGTCAATGTAAAGTGCTATGTCATCATGGTTATTGCATCATGTTTGTCGCTGCAGCCGTTGTTTTATCAGACAAGCAACAGCATAAGAAGATCGAAACGATTTCCCATACATGTAGGCCGCGCTTATACTTTGGTTAGAAGTAAAAAAAAAGAAAACAAAAAAGAACAAGAAGATTGAATTTGATCGATCTCTGTGGTCGCTTAGCCTAAGTCGTGATTGTTCAATTAATTTACTTACCGGTAGTACATGTATCTGCCTATAACCTGCGAATACCCACAGGCTCAGGTAATTTTCATTTCAGTCAACGTAATGGTTGGGATACCGGTACTAAAATGAGCCAGCCAGCTCGCATGGTACTGGCGGCAGAAGCAGGCGGGGTCTGCCCCCCACACCTTTTGCAGGTTCTATAATTGGGTCGACCTGGGGTCATGAGTCTGGCACTTTTCAGGCCTTTTTTTTTGTTTTGACCCCCACAAATTTAGTACCATTGGAAAGAGAATTTCAAAAGAAATTGAATGATAAAAAATTTAGCTCAATAACTGTTAGTATAATGAGGTTTAGCCCCACTAGTGTGGCATATGGACTCTCACTCCCGCTCTGCAAAGTGAAGTTATGATTTTTTTTTTGTTCTTAAAACTAGGTGTAATTAATCTGTCACTTTTTGGGGGTGAACACAAGTTTTATTTTCATCAGTATATTGAACCACATGGAGTCTTCTTCCTCATCGGTTCCACTTCCAGACATGCCAGAGTTGGACAAAGATCTGTAGTTAGAGAGGAAGTGTAAAGTAAACAGTATCTTTAATTGTAGAGAACTTTATCCATAATAAACACAAGATACATGTACATGTATACAGTAACAGGACAGTTGAGCTGGGCTTGAAATTTTTAGTGATGTGTGAAATAAATAGAGCATCATCAATAAATAGAGCTATAAAAATAGGGGCCCCAGTCTGTCTGGTATCATAAGTTACTTTAGGTCTGTTCATGTTTGACAGGGTCTTTTGATAACATTTCATTGAAACAAAATGTGTAGTTTATGTGAATATGCGCTTATTTGCATCTTGTTCCCTGTGCACCATGCACATGCATGCACCATAACTGTGCACAGTTGAGGAACAGCACGCCAATACAAAGGGGCTGTTCGGCACCAGTTTGACATTGATTATAGACAAAAAAAACAACTTCCTTTTCTTCCTGAAATTTCAAGCTTCCAATTAAACTCTGGAGTTGTAGGATATGTTTCAACAGAAAAATGCACATTTTTTGTTACCTTTTTGTAGCCTCAGTAAAGCAAAACAAGGTTTGACGGTGCTTTAGTCAAGGTAGTCCATCAACATGGAATGAAAACAAGCAATCAATGTGCAAATGAATGATACTTAAGTTTACAAACTTTGCGAGGGATCATTATAGTGGTCCTCAAACAATTTGGGTAACTGCTGTTTGTATTTTTCAAATTTGTGGGTTGGATGTTATATCCCAAAGTGAATATTTTTATCTTGCTGTGGTTCGTGGAAAGGTGCCCAGGTACTATGAGGAGTTGAGGACACCTGCAGCTCTGAAAGTATTTGAAGATAAATGATTGTGGCAGTTTCCCTGCATTAGAAAGTTTCCATGTAAATTAAGACTTGAAATGAAGTCATGCAAGCTCTCTTGGATATTATTTGCCACAAAGATGGAGTTGACTTGAGACCAAATTGGCCTGGGCCGAGTTGACTCGGACCGAGTTGGTTTCGGACGGAGTTGACCTGCACCTACATGTATTCCAGCCCTATGTACATGTACATGTACATGACCAATAGGGCTGCAGAATTTTGCTAGGTGAGTACTGTTTAGGTGTAGTGAAAAGCAGTTCACAAAGTCAATACAATGTAGGCTTAACTGATGTTCTTGCATTATTTAAGACCAACAACATCTGAAAAATCCTAGCTGAAAAATCCTCAAAAAGTGCTGAGTCGTGTTGACTCGGCAATCCTTTTATATTTCAGGTGTTCACCTCCAAGCAGAAAGTTTCGTTTTTAGCATAAAGCAACAGGAAGCATTATTCCCAACCAGTTTGCCAATTATTGCTATTCAGCATTAGGAATTTAGTGTTGACTGCTGAATCAAAGGAGAGTGTATTGAAATCAAGTGAAGCAGATACCTTCACTCTACAGACCACTCTCCATAATTTATGAAAGCATTAGAGCCGTGTTTGAGGAAAATATTTCTGCCTGTGATGTCCATGCTATTCTCTATGATGAATCCTTTCGGTTGATCCATTGGAGAAAATTCCTGTAGGATATGGCTATGGTGTGGATCCAGGGAGGGTGTTAGTGTTCAATGCCCCCATTGCCATTTGACCTATTTAAAGGTTGGAAGACCCCTAAAAAGCATAATAGGGGTCTTTTTTTAACAAAAATTTCCTGAATCCCAACCCCCCCCAAAAAATTGGATCCACCCCTCATGACACATGTGTCTTGATTTTGCCAATGACACATGATTCTACATGTATCTCCCAATAAAAGTTCATCCCCTAAAGAGTAAGACACAAGGTGACATCATGTCATATCCTGTGATTATAGCTGGTGTCATTCTCTACCCAGAATGTACATTTATGACAGTCAGGTTGTATATGTGACCCATTCTTGAAAAAGTGGGATATGTCCTCTCTCTGCTACATCCCCATTTGATGTGTGGATGATACACAGATCTGGGACAGCATGTGTTAATTTCCAAGATAGAAATTGATATATCACTTCCTATCAGCCTTTGCAACAATTGTTATAAAAATAGTTCAGGCAGGGATACATGTTTCTGACATAACTGCTACCCTACTCATGTACATGTAAAATGCAAGAACAGAATTTAAAAAAACTGTAACGATGCTGTATTACTGTCTTTTTAAGGTAGAGTTTTTGCCTGGTAAAAAATAAAGTTTCCTGCCCTCCTTTTTGAACAAATGGAGGAGACCCATTTTCTTTTTCACTCAAGATGGCAGATTTTTCTTGAGATGGCAGATTGAAGATTTTCTTGACTCTCCTCAGTTTTTTAAATGCTTTTGCAGTCTCTGAAAGGTTAGGAATATGCATGCAGGTACATGTAAATGTAGACAGTACACTTTCCATATATGTAAATACATTTTCAAACTAAATACATGTCTGCTACATTGCAATTAAATGGAAAAAAAGTAAAGAACTGATATTGAAATAATGAGGCGAGGATTACAATTATATATAACATGTAGAATCTTTCATACTTTCCTCCCTTGGCTGAGTAACCCATGTATGGCTTTGCCCAGGTACATGTACGTGTACATGTCAAGCAGATAAGCATGATAAGGAAGAATAAATGACCCTTGCAAAGTTCATGCTGGTTGGTTTTTTGGTTTGTGGGCAAAGATCACCGTTACATGTATTTCATAATACCCATTGATTATTGTGTAATTTTTCTGTGTATCTTTTGGTTGGCTCATGTTGAAAAGTTGTATGTGGTCTCAAGGCTGTACCATTAATAAGAGAGGCATTGTGGTTTTTTATTTTTACCTACTGAACAAGGTAGGGGTAGAGGGGTATATAAATACAGGCAATGTGTATGAATGTATGTTGAGTAATGTACATAAAGGTGCACACGTTGTATTCCCAGTAGTAACAGTTACATATATACATGTACATGTAATATTGGAAGCCGAGCTGAAAATAAACTCCAAGGATATATGTTTGCAAAGCCCTGAATCGACCTTTGAAAACCTCGTTCAGATTTTTACCTTGACAGGTTGATATTTTTATCAAAAGTATGATTTGTAGAAACTGTTCATGGCTGAAAATACCTTTACATGTAGTTTGATGGGTCAAGGACATCTGATAGGGCTCAGATAAATATTAGGGCTCCAGGAGGGTTCTGAATATTCACATATGAAATTGTTTTCTGAAGCAACAGCTTGTTAACTTCATTGTGCACAATTTTATCTTCAGCAAATTTGCACAGTCGAGACCCATCTACATGTATACAGCTCCCTACTGATCTCAGCTTGGCAAACCAACATGTAGAGTTTGCCAGGGATTGCAGTGTTGATTATTTATTATTAGGGCAAGTTAAACAATGAGTTGATCTTTTATCATGTTAGGTTAGTTTATCATGCTTTGGAGATTGTGATTGTGGGTGATGGAAAACTTTGTCATCGTTTTCATGTTGCGCTGACTGGACACAAATGAACTCTGTTAATTTCCACTCAAAAGCAATTAAATACAAAGCCAGTATGATATTTCGTGAAACAAAGTTGGCTATTTAGTGTGTGTGAATTTGGGATACCCCCTTTTGCTGTCACTGTTATCTTTGACAAATCGTGCACCCACTCAATAATGCCTTTTTTCTACCAGAGAACAATTACACAATAATTAAAAGAGCTCTATTGTCTAGTAACAAAATTATGTATAACAAATTTCAAAACCTCCTTTTTAGTGGTAAATTAAAAATGGTTCGAATACAGTACATATGTAAAACATAAAGCATAGGCATTGTGAACTCACAATGTGTTAATGAAGATATGAGGTACATGTACATGTACATGTATGTTCATATTTTCCAAAGCCCCAAAGCACTAATGTCTCTTTCTTCATTACCAGTAACTCCAGCCAGATGGAAGTGTACATGTAAAGACTGCCATTTTGCATGGAACGGAACGGATATGATATACATGTACATGTATTTTCACATGAAAAATGCTCTGTGATACATGGTACTTGTGTGTTAACCAACTTCCTGTTTGACTGTTGGAAGCTTTGAACAAGGCAGAGTTTGAGACATATACATTGTAAAACACCTCATTCCCAACCAACTTTGGTTTGTCATCAGCTCTTTGGGAGTCTGAGCTGTTCGTGCAGAGTCACATGTTTCTGATTTTGTTTATCGAGAGTCATAACAAGCCCTACTAAAATCATCCCGGGAGACATGGGACTGCGATTGTTACAGCAGCTAAAAGATAAATGTTTGATTTTGAAGGCCAAGTTAGTGTTGTGTTCAAGTCCATCACAAGTCCCTGTAAATCCGTGTAAGGCCATCACAAGGCATTCAGTATTAAACCAATTCACAAACTATTCAAATGAGCTTTGACAAAAGCATCACTTTTTCATCATTTTTCATCCTGTTACTTATGATCCCCCCTTGCAGAGGGACTTGTGAAAGGACTGTAGGTTGACTCAGTATAAAACTGGAACAAGTTATTCAAGTTGGTTGTGGTATTCACAAATTGATGTGTTGAGTTTTCAATAACAAATGCCTGTATCAGCATTTGAACATCAAAAAGACAGTTGATTTTTATTTTTTGGGTAATCTTTTGATAAATTTAATGAGGTCCTTTATAGATTCAAATAAGTGTCCCTTCTATTCATATTCACCAGATTCGCTGAGGAAATGGGTAGAACCAGATGTGAAAACAATTTATCAAACATTTCTTTATGAACAACAAACAGGTCTCTGGGTTTAGTTCGATTACTGTAACTGCATGCATGAAGCCACGTTCCTTTCCCTCACGGCTGCTGCCCATGCGGTTGTGCCAGTTGTAAGTGGTTCCCCTTTTGGTATGTCATTTGTGATAGAACATTCTTTTTTGTGGGGGGGTGTACTGGGCCATGACCATTGATGGGCATGAATGACGAGGTACGTGTACAATGCGTTGTTTCAAGCATTCAATTAATTTTCTGCACTGATCAGGCCATAGAAAGGCCCATATGAGTAACACTGGGTGCACGTACCTACCACTGTGTTTCCTTCCTCCTTCAATTTAGTTTGGCTTATTGTGCGAGCTGGGCACTGAAGCCAGCCAGCTTTTGTGATGGACTCAGACACCAGGTGGAATTCTTTTGTTATTGAGTCATTTAACCCTAACCTCCAGGGTGTACATGTGTGTAAAATCGTATTGAAATTGGAGGATTTGGGAGTGTTAGGGCCAATGTAATTAATCAAAACATTTGAAGCAAGACATGGGATGGAGAGAACCCTCCCCCTTTGTGTTGGTCATTGTTATACCAGAATCTCAGGAATTCTGTTCAGACATCTTAAGATTTTTGAGATTCAAGAACTTAAATCTGGTTCTCGCTGTGATTTTATTCTGTCACAGCAATTCACCTCCTACATGTGCAGTAACTGAAAGTCCAGTTGATATTTGAATAGTGTAGAATTCAGATAAAAATCAGTTTATGATACATGTATCAAGGATCAGTACTGACTTCTGTGTACATTAAATGAAAACGTTGCATAAAATGACTTAATACCACTTTGAAAAGAATTTGGCTCTTTGGCTTTATCTTGTACATGTATGTATTACCAGATTACTAACGCCCTTTGCAGATATATTTGTGGGGCATAAATGTATCTTCAGAAAAATTCCTTTCAGAAATATTTTCAAAGGTTTACATTGCACTTTACATGTACATGTATGTTGGCAGCGCGCTGTGCACTGTCTCCATATGAGACAATGGCATTCACTTGTATCAAACATTGGCTACAGCTCTTCACCATGTGATCAAAATTCAAAGCCATAGTCATAGGAGATGGGACTGGAACAAGGCTCCCCCATCATGGGCCACAGCGTGCAATCCTGTGTGTGAGCTATACTGATTAATTAAAACGCTCTATTCTATCATGATGTCACACATGTTTCCATATTTTGTGCATATACCTATTGCTCAACGAACCTAGTAGAAAAGAATTTTGAATTTATCATATCGTGTCGGTGAGATACATGTATGGCAAAACCCTTACAAAATTCAAATTATGTACAAAATCATCACTTCAATTTTCATCTACCGGTATAACACATCCAGGTGTAACCACATTCCAAGTTTTAACCCAATCAGACTAAATGTAGGGCTTTGAAATATGCAACTTTGCGATGACATCACTCTGCGGCATACAGCTGTGCCATAAATATAAGGACCATGCCTAGACGTATGTCAACTTTGAATGATGCTTGACAAAGATTAATAGGTGGAAAAGTCGATGGGCTTTGGTCCCAAAAGAGGAACCCCCCCATCTAAACAATAAGATTTTTTTCACAAAGGTTGCCAAAAAGCCCAAAATGAAAAAGTACATCTGTGCACAAATATCCTGGGCACCTTGATTTCACACAACTATTTTGAGACAGCCTTAGGTAAAAACAGTGATACAAAGATACAAAAGAATTGTTTAATGTGAGGAAATGATTCTGGATCATAATCAAAACATGCAGTAAAAGGAAGATAACATCAGGGATATTGAGCTTGTGATAAAGTGACTAAATAAGAGAAAAACTTTGTTGATGAAAAACAATCCATTGTACTTTGACTCTTAAATCAACCATACTAGTTTGAAAAAGACAGTTAATTATACAGAGGGTGAAATGCAGTCTTGAAATCCCATATGAATGAAACAGAATTATGATACATGTATGACAAATGAAAAGATCAAAAGTAAATTTATTCAAAACAAAAGTAACTTTGGAGTATTAGGAAATTAGAAACCTCAATATGAACAAAACTGAATACTGAAATATCTTTGTAAATGTAAAAGTATGTTGAATTTTTTTGATTAAGTATAAATTTTGAAATGACTTAATATCAGTGGCAGCACTGAACAATTTTTCATTTCACGTGTCTCACAGCATGTTGCAAAGGCAAGGGCCCAGGATACAAGAGCCCTCAAGAGGCCATGAAGGGACCAAAGGAGGAGATTGTCTATCTGCCTTGTATCTATCGCAACACAGAAGTCAAGAAACCAGACTACTTGGCAACTGTTGACGTTGATCCACGCTCATCAACTTACTGCAAGGTATTAATCAGGGCAAGACGTGCTTGGATCACTTTCACTTTTGGACTAAAACACACGATAAGTATAACTTAATTAGGTTTGTCAAATTTACATTTTAAAAGACTGATCCTCGACTTACGAATCCACAGAAAAATGGTGGATGAAACACACCGTAGACCATCCAAATCACTTTGTAACGTAAACAAAATTTCCCACCCCAAAAGTTTTGACCCAAAAACCCTTAGAAGAAAAAAACAATACTCACCTACCCAACCTACTTTTTTTCCATGTAACAGGAAGCACAACTATTATTTTGTTTGGCCTAATTTTCCACTTCTTTTTAACATTACCTAGGTAATCCATCGTCTTCCAATGCCCCACATGGAGGATGAGCTCCATCATAGTGGCTGGAATACCTGTAGTAGTTGCTTTGGTGATGAGAACATGAAGCGAAACCGTCTCATACTGCCCTCGCTCTATTCTTCTCGCATCTATGTGATTGATGTGGGAACTTCACCACGCAAACCTCGCTTGCACAAGGTACAAACTCTCAATTGCTCTCTGTCGATTGATTCAGTTGACACAGTTATATATGCATATAGCTTCATCAAATTTCACTTGAATAGCATTATGAACAGCATGATGTGTTGATGAGCAATATGCAGGAAATGTACAGTACATGTACTTGATGGAATGGGCTCTTTGCATTTAGGCACCAATTTCATCTAGTCACCAAACATAGATATAGCTTCACCACTTGCTGCCAGGGAACCCCATTTTGAACACCATGGGTTTATACGCAGAGCTAGGGTGCCTGAAAATTTGGGACAAAAGAGCTGGTCCGTGTAACAAAAGACTGTACTTGGAACAAAAGACCTGCTGCTGGGAATTGTCATCATTTTGGGGCTTGCATTTTTGAAGGTGATCAGTCACTGTTTTTAAACAGTATATCACTGTTTTGGGCGTAGCGCGCCAGTGGATTAGCACCGTACCGCAGACAAAAGTGCTCCAGGGCCCCATTGATGAGCAACACAGCACTGCTACATGCTAATCCAGCCGTGTTTGAAAAGATGCCATTGGCATTCACTGGGGACAAAGGAAATTACGCAACACCTCACAATTTTGGGCTCTCTTGACAGGGCGGCAGGCCTGGCTGAAATATTCATGAGTCATTGAAGGTTCTTGTCAGCTAAGAGTAGCTACCAAAGAGTCATTTGTGTTTACGTCCATTAAATGAAATGATGAATTTTTGAAGAATTTTGAAAACTGAAAATCTTGAAAATCGCCCGTATGTGTGCACTGCATTTTTAAAAGCACCTGGCAGCATGTGGTTAATGGCCAAAATAATTGCCATGTGCACGCATCTACTGGACAAAAACTGGTTACTTGCCAAAATGAGCATCATATACATGTACTGGTACTGCAGGCACCTGCCTCTCAAGTGATTGATTGAAATGTAGAAATCTGCTTAGACAAGTTTAGTGCCAAGCATTTAATGAGATTCATTTAGGAGCAAAAGATAACACTGCTTTTTTCTTGTACATGTAGGCTTTGGTAATTGTCAAAATTTGCACATACATCAGCCTCCTGTACCTTGACCCTATACTCAAGGAACAAAGCACTGGCTTTGATTGATTGTAAATTGGATCAAGGGTTCTTTAGATCATATACGTGTAGACTCGCTTCTTTTACTCTTGGATATTAAGGTTGTTGAACCAGAGGAAGTTGGATCTGTTGCCGGCCTGACGAACCCACATACCACCCATTGCTTGGCAAACGGCCAAATCATGATCAGTGCTATGGGGGATGCTAAACGCCCCGGAGAGGGAAAAGGTACAATGCACGTGTCGTCTGGTGTATGGATGGATGATGGTAGCTTGCTAGTAAATGTGATGTTATACATGTAAATCTAGGTGATTTTTCATCTTCCTGGATGAGTAAAGCATGAGCACATTTCAGCAAACCAGTTATTAAACCATAAGTTTATTTTCCTGGTTTGATAAAGCACTTTAAGGCAGGTTTATTGTCCTGAATATTCAAGTTGAAATGTGGGACAGACAGCTAGTTCTTGTAAACCACTTCATACTGAATGATGTCTGAACTTGCAAGGATTCTTGTTGTTGAAACGGGGAGTGTTGCTTGGTGTCTGTACTCATCTTCAAGCTCGAGTGATACCCATTGAGTTACCGGTAATACACACACACACAGGTTTTACACGGCCAGGGTTCCCCCCAGGATTTTGCAAAACTGGGGGGGATTTCCATTGTGGTTTACCAACATTTTGCGAAGCCATGGCGTGGGGTTCAGACCCCGCCCAAGGGCCCCGAAAATTTTGGGACTTTATAGATGCTCTCAGCTGCATTTAGAGCATTTCCTGGGTTTTTCAAGTACCTTTTCTCAGGAAAAAACATAACAAATTCAATATTTTGTTTATTTTGGATATTAGTATTTTAATAAATGACCAGTTTCCTTTCTGGACTACTAATTAGGCCTGTAGGCACAAACAATGACAGAAGGAGTCATTTCAAGTTTCAGACATGCAACAGCATGTGGTGGCTGTTTAATCAACGATATAAACACCCGTTTATTCAGTTTTTATTTTAATACAAAACAGTAGGGATGTGAAGCAGTATTTATACATGTACATTTAAGGAAATGAGAAAGTTACCCTAAATAAATGCATACATGTTCAAGTTTCATTCATAGCATGGCCCCTTTCAGTAGGCCAAGCCATGAATAATTTTCATCCAACTGATCAAGCATGTCAAGTGAACTGATGGTTTTATCATCTTATTTGGTAGGATGACTTAACCAAACTATAACTAGTTTTCACTGGTCTGACTGGATAAACATCCTGGTAAGAAGTTTAGGGTGGGAAACATGCTGATAAACCAGACTGTCAATATAATTTCCATCGTTCTGATTGGATGAACCAGGTGGTTTCATTATCCTGGATGGCAAGGAGTTCTCTGTGGTTGGTCACTGGGAGAAGGAAGGCCACAGCTCCCCTTTTGGATATGATTTCTGGTATCAGCCGTTCCATAACGTCATGATCAGCACAGAGTGGGGCGCTCCAAAAGCATTCTTGAAAGGATTTGACCCTGCTGACTATGCTAATGGTAAGTCTGTTGGGTGTACATGTAAAAGACTCTTTTTACTACATGTACCTGTCTGTTTTGGGTTTGGTACGCTGAAAAGTACTGGGGTAAGTAAAGGTTTGAACTGAAAAAAGGCACTTACATGTAGATGCACTTTCACCTTTCCAATGAAACATGTACAAAAATCAGTCCATGATTTCTAACAAAAGATGAAATTTTCATATCTTTCAGTAAGAAAATGTGGAACCTTACCAATCTTTTTTGCATCTTCATGGTGGCTGTTGCACACAGGCAAAATTAATTCAGAAGTTTCCTGGTCAGTTTTAAGACCGGACATATCATTATCTATGTGTATGCAGTTGGTTGTCATTGACAATCGTATGTGGAGTTCATGCATATAAAAATTAACTGAACTACAACAGATCCACCTGTTGATTTTGAGGAGACAGATTGACTGAAAGGATTAAAGCAGTGGCATCGCGTTAAAATGTGAAGCAACCAATGTTAAACAGATATGTTGAAGAGATACATTGCAACTGAGCAAAACCAAATCTCTGCCACATCTTTGAATCACGATATTGCAGGGTTGTATGGTCACACTCTCCACGTGTACGACTGGGAGAACCACACCCTGCAGCAGAACATTGACATGGGAGATGAGGGCGCTATCCCACTGGAGATCCGTTTCCTTCACAACCCCCTGGCAACCGAGGGAGTCGTTGGTTGTGCACTGAGCTCCAATGTGTTCCGCTTCTTCAAGACTAGCGTAAGCAGCATTAAACGAACAGGACATTTGTGAAACACAGACCCGTGCATACCTACAAATGCGGTTAAATGTTCAAGGACCTGATAACACTGTGTCCTTTATTTCCTAACCCTTCATTGGGCGGCTTCATCTTGATTTGCATGCACATATTGCAGTGTATTGTAGCGTGTTAATGTGTTCACAAGTGAAAGGCTGATCTGTGATTATGTAATTTGTTTGTATAGAAAGGTGACTGGGCAGCCGAGAAGGTGATTGATGTCCTTCCTAAGAAAGTAGAGGGATGGGCTCTGCCGGAAATGCCCGGTAGGAATGTCATATAAGCTTAGTTTGCGTCAAGCAAAATTTTCTGAGTAGGGAATAGGCGCAAATACATGTACAATTAAATGACTGTTCAGCACTCGGAAGTAATCTCAACATGAAAACCTGTGGCGTACAGGCAGCATGTAGCACAACGTGTACTCGTACTCAAGGAAGGGACATACTTGTTTCAAACGACAGAGCACCAAATATCTGAAGAAACAAACATGGTGACAGACTATACCCTCATTCTTCTTCTTAGTAACCATCTTGTGCGTATACCACCTCTGAGGTAATGGTATGCCATTTTTGTATCACCCATCTCGGGTGTTAAACAGCGAAGGCATGCAAGTATGGCTACTACCTGTTGCACTTTTAAACGTACCCTTTAGTCAGTGTTTCCATGTGTACATGTACCTTGGCATCTCTGTTATTCCATATTGCTGGGGGCATGTTTTCATGACCAGAATCATGTTGGTGCTTTGGTCGTTGGTTCTTAATGTGTGCCTGTGTATGGGAGACGTCTTTTCTCCAACCACTGCAAACAAGAATTGAAGATTGGATTCGGTTCTTTACTGGTTCAAAATGGTGGAAAATAAGCAGATTCTTCTGTCAACTTCAAGGTGGCGGAATTGAATGAATTTCCAATGTTGTTGTTTCATGCATCAAAGTGAAATGGGTGTTTTCTCTCTTGAGTATGCAGAAAGAGCGTGAGAGTAGTGGTGTAAGATGTGCTGAATATTAAGTAAAAGTTGCTTTTGTCAACTATGCTGTCTGTTATACGAGAGCAGATCCAGAACCCAATTTTTTTGAGGGGAGAGACTTGTTAGAGTGGAGTAAAGTGTGGCCTTTTTTTTCATCTGGGGCTTCTTACATGATTTTGGATGGAAAGGAAATGAAATACACAAAACACCTTTCATTTCGGGGAGCGGGATACTCTCTGAGAGGAAGGGGCCATGGTCCCTGTTGGCCTCTCCCCTTCCTTAGCCCCCCCCCAGCTGCTGTGAGTACATGTACATACCTTGTTTCTGTCATAAGACCAAACCGTTCATATGTTTCTTGTTATCAACTTTAAGTCACTTATGGGTTTTTAATCAGAGTCACAGAAAATGCCGCAGCATACCTAGAACTGGAACATACGTGTACATGTACATGCCCATGTACATGGGCACTGTTCAGTTTACTCTGTGCAATCCTGGCTTAAGTCAGTTTCTTTCATATTTGTAAAATGTTACCAGTTTCTTCTTAACTCCTTGTTATGCATATTTCTTTTTGTTGCTCTAAGAGGACAAATTTGGGAATTCCATTTCATCCCATTTCAATGTTCTCCACAGTAATACAAATGTCAGGTGTCTGTATATATACGTGTAGTATGGCTTCAAAGCATTTTGGGCATATCAGTGCTTTGTGAATCAAGGCACTGGTGTCCACTCTGACTAGAAGCACGCCTTCACTGACAAAGTAGAGACAGGCTTGTGGGGAGTTTCAATCAGTCGGGCTCAAGCATATACCTGCCAAGAGTGCATACAAAGGCCCATACATTCTCGAAGAAACTGTGAGTTAATGTGCAGAGGAACATCATAGTGCTATGTAAGGGCACACCATATCTTGCTCCTGCCACCGGGTAGGAACTTTGCACAAAAGCGATAAACTCGAATTTGTGACTTCTTATCAGATAATCACACTCTCAAAGGGTTGCTTATGTTAAGGTTTCCCTCGTATCATTTTCTGTGATTCTCATTTACATATGCATGCAAAACTTAGAGTTTCATCTGATCTTCTTTCATCTTGTTAAACCTCAAGAATAATTAAAAACAGTGCCTATTAGCCAGGCTGAGAACCAATCAATTGAGCCGAACTATTTTGCTCCCAACTTGTAGGCTTGATCACTGACATCCTTCTGTCCATGGACGACCGATTTGTTTACTTCAGCAACTGGTTCCATGGTGATATCCGCCAGTATGACATCAGTGATACCCGCCACCCCAAACTAGTTGGCCAGGTACATACAAGGGTAATTCCAGAAATTAGGAGTCCCTGTTACATCTGACCTTTGTTATTTGACATTGAAGTATGACCGGAATTGATTTCAAACTACTACTCTGTTTGGCATGTAATTTGCATTATTCATCACTTTTGGAAATTAGAAAATGTGTTCTGAACTCACAAAATCACATGCCAGATGTGACAGGGAATGAAAAAAATGGACCCCTAATTTCTGGAATTACCCACAACAATTTAATAATGGTCTTGTTTGTAACAGTTTGCTGACTCGAAATAATGATCGGACAGAATGTGCCAAGCACAAAGGTAGCTTGTGGAGGTACTGTTCTTTCTGCATGTTTGTCATAGTCATATTTTTGCCCACCTGTGACTGGTAAAACTTTGGCTGTACAAAGGCACAAGAATAAGTCATGAGTGCTTTAAAACCTCACACCAATATCAAAACAGCAATATGTACATGCTACTACCGAAAATTAGGTGAAATTTGACCCAGTTTAGATATGGGACAAATTGTACATTTTGAGGCAAAACCAGACACCAATTAGGGATACGATATAGTCTCCAAACTTTGGCCACTGTACAGATAGTAGATAAAATGACAGCTCTGCATTGTGCCTCTGACAGTTCCCCAGGCATTTTATGGATCACTTTTTTCTTTCATTTCTCTCCAAACAACTTACTGTGTTTTTAAAAGACAATCCACAAGATCAAGCATTTTTACACAACTCTCAAGATTGCATTGATTGTGCATGTATGTCACCCAAACAGTTACATTTAAAGACCCCATCAATCACTCTGCATATCGTGGTCTGGTCCCCTGTGGACTGAACACTGAGTCTGATATCGCTACAAACCTAAGTTTCAGCCTCACTCTTACTGTAGACTGACCACTGCTAACAGTGTCATTCAAACGCAGTGTAGCAAGCCTTGGTAGTCTACGGCGCTCTACCTACCCAAACAGTCACTACATATGCAAATTTCCCATCCGCCTATTCATTCGCTGAAAAGATAAGAGTAGGTATTCTCTAGTAGACCTGACCCACACTTAATGTGGGGAAGGAATTTTTGGGGCAAGGCCACTTTGGCCCGTGCACAGTTGGGAGGGCACCAAGGCCAGATAAAATCTGTAAAAGGGGCATACATGTAGAGGCTAAATACCAATATTCATTCATCAAAAACTTTTGGCAGTCAGAACATACACCGCACGCACGCCTTGTGCACGTACATGTACATAGACCTTAATGTGAATCAATGTGAATTGTGTATCACACATACAAGCATGGAGAAAGATAAAGTCAGGCGACTCTGTCGGTAAAATCTGCCACACGTACTCCTTCTGGAATGTGAGTGTACAAATAGAGGCATTTATTTTTGCAGCAGGGGTGTCGCTGCTTGAAGTATCAGCACATTACAGACCTGTGCCTCTATATGTACAGAGGTGTACTGTATATGTACACTGCATGCTTTGTGCCGACGTACAAGATGTACAGTACATTCAGTGCACTCACAGAAATGAGATCGAAGCTGGTATGCGTTACAATGTCTGTGCATCTATTCTGAAAGAGTTGAAGATAGCCGATGGGGGGGATGACATCGAAATGCACCTTCAATGGGTTTGTAATAGCATCTGAAACCAAGGATTTTCATTTTTTGATAGGCTTATGGATGTTTATGGAAGAGGTAAGCATAGGGCAAGGCAAAACTAGCTGTCAGGATGGAGATTTTTTATGGGGCATCTCGGCCAGTGAGAAGGGCAGCAATGGCACTGGCCGTCGTGGCCATTATTCATTTCAAGGCCTGGTCTAGAGATGAGCAGTGAATGTATCCCTGTGGCTTTCTGATGTCATGACATTCGGTGTTGGATGAATTAAACACGTACCAAACATCGACTAATACGAGGAAATGTCATGATGCACTTTGGAATCATCACACATGTGCATTTTTAAACTGAAGAGGCACGAATGTTTAGAAAAATCAGGGACGGTACCCTATCCGACTAGAGCAGAAGCACCTTCAATCCGTTGAAAAGTGCCACGTTGGTGGGGAGTGTCGGATCAAGTGCCAATTTATAGTGACACATGCACGAGGCATGCATTTCATAATTCATAATTTCAAAGGAACCACTATTGCTAGGAACACTGCACCCTCTCTTGGTCTTACTTCAGGGCAGATTAGTGGAAGAGGCATGTACACCCACACAGGCTTACCACCTGTTCACAAGCCTGAAGCCACTGTATTAATGGCTTCTAATTCTGGTTGCACAATGAGTCTGTCTATACATTTCTCTATGCTTGCAGTAGTGGGCACTGGCTGATGACAGTGAGGAACTTCAACCTCTTAAGCATATGACACTGCTGATTTTGGACATACAATTATCATGCGTTCTTCCATGTCGCAGATTTTCCTGGGTGGATTGATTTGTTCGGACACACCAGTGAAAGTGACTGACGACAAGGAGTTGACCAAGCAGCCCGACCCACTCTACATGAATGGCAAACGCATCAACGGTGGCCCACAGATGATACAGCTCAGCCTGGATGGCAAGAGACTCTACGTCACCACCTCCCTGTATAGCGGTTGGGATAAGCAGTTCTACCCTGAAATGTGCAAGTGAGTAGTGCTTTGTTTGTTGGCGGTCCAAGTTCTCAGAAGAAGACTCAGCAACTGAAAGGGGGTTGGCAGGTGCTGATTGGGACAGAAACACAATACCGCATAAGCAGCTCTCTCCAAAATTCACACTCAAACAATTGCCATAAAGTCTGTGGTTGTGTGTGAGACGGACAGCTTGCAGCATTTTTTTTGCTCACTGTAACTGCACAGTTTGGGTCCTTGTTCACAACAGTTCAAGGTACTATGTGAACAAAATGTTTGAGACACTGGAATCAACCTGCATGAGTTAGCTTTTTGTTGTCCTTTGTCTCTTGCAAGTGTGACCTCATTTTTCTAAGTTGCTGAGTGAGACCCCTTGCAACAAATACTAAAGTAATGAACCTATAGGGTCTTGTGCTAAGTAGCGGCTGGTTTGATTGCCTTGAACAGCCTCATCCTGTACAGCTCCCCCTCCCTTAAGACTTTTCCAACCAGTACCTCCTTGTTTGCCCATTCTAGGACTGGCTCAGTGATGATGCAAATCGACGTGAACACCGACGTTGGAGGTCTGACGCTCAACAAGGATTTCCTGGTGGACTTTGGTGATGAGCCTCACGGGCCCGCCCTCGCGCACGAGATTCGCTACCCAGGGGGAGACTGCACATCCGACATCTTCCTCGCTTCCACCGCAAACCTGTAAAGACCACACGGTCAGGAAGAACAGCTTCATGTATGGTCAAGTCGTTGTCCTTGACCTACTGGCATTTTTATCACATGGTTTCACACCATATACTGACAGTCAGTGAAAAATGCACCACTTGTTACATTCTGGTCTGCTGGTTCTATCATATGGCACTGCAGTATTATGGCCTGACTATGAGGTCAGGACAGACATAGTTAACACTGGTCCATGAAATGTGCGAAATGCCCCGTGTTTGTTTCATCCTCTTTCATCATAATAGGAAATTTGATAATACTTATTTCAAATACCAACATTCAGAATGATTTCTTTGGGAATTTTCATTGGCTGTTATTTTATTTTTTCCCCTGGCGGATACAGAAAATAAGACACAGATTGTTAGCACAGTCGGAGAAGTACATATGTAGGTGTAACAGATGGTGCTTTTTGACAGTACAGTATATGGACCGGTAGAAGAAATACTATTTGGCAGTACCGTATATGGACCGGTAGAAGAAAGACTAACAACATTTATAATATGTTTGCTGGTGGAGGTTCAGAAAAACTTAAAGCTTTACAAGATCTACTAAATGCTACCAATTAATAATAAAAGAACAGAATAAATGATGAATGAGCAAAACACCTTGATAAAATTTATTATATGATTGTGAAAGATTTATATGCATGTCTACATATATTTTGCAATGATGTAATGTTGAAATTGTCAATGTGGAAAGTTGTTACAAGAATGAAGCATTAAGACAGATATTTTTCTTATCACTAGCTGGCCGCTGCCGAGTCACAATATTAATAATAGAACTCATTGTAACATTTTCAAATGGCAAGCACGAAATGATACGGAAATCTTAACATGAACTGTGTATGGGGGGACTGACAGCAATTTGACATGTATGTATGAACAGCTGAAATGACTTTGTTGACATTTGAACTTTGGTTGTCATTTTGCAGGCTTGGAGCAGTGTTTTCTAGTCTTTCAAAGATTGTGGCTTTTGGCAGGAACCATTTCACATTACATCTAGTCGTCGGTGTTAATTGGCAGGATTGTGCATTGCCAACTACTTTAAAAGGCTGGACATATTTTTGAAATTTTTATTTTTTCAAAGCTTCACTTTTTGTGCATTTTGTATTTTTCTTCAAAGCATGAAACCTGTTTGGAATCCTTTTGGTGTAAAATGTATTGAAAAGTGCACTTTTTTGAACATTAGAAATCACCCAGGCTGTTCCAAACAAGTAAGGGCGTTGTTGATGTGATTCAAGATGGGAGAGACGCTGTTCAGATAACATGTTTTGTTCATGTTTAGATTTTTCTGTTCAAAAACATCCCTGAAAATGGGTTGCTTGCAGGCTTGTTGCCATCTACCCAAAGAACATAAAATCACCAAAGAAATGAAAATTTCAACAGCAAAATTTATAAAATTCCAGTGGTTATTTGTGCAAAAATCAGTGCAACATTGAGGTTGGATGCCTGGGATGACATTACAGTTGCATTAGCATAAAAACCAAAATGGCTCCAAAATATGAATTCAAATGGTAAAACCAAAATTGAAAAAAGGTTAATTAAAGCATAAAGTGTAATTTCAGGGACATTACAGTAGTTAAATAATTGTATATCATGGTTCCTTGAAACTCAGTTTTTCCTTCCTCCATGGATGTATGGGCTTCGTTTATAAATAAGAGATGGGACAGCTAGTTGCAACACAGCAAGCTTAGAATGTAGGTCCAGCATACCTCGTGCACATGTTTATTTACCAGTGTACATGTAAAACGAGTTTAAGAAGGCTGCTACCGAAGTGAATATGCCACTTGCACAATGATGTGTGTGAAAGGCATATTAACGCAAGAACCAACACGGGAGCACACTCCATTCATTTGCACTGCACTTTCTGGTTCACAGTGATGTCACACTTCGGTACTCGACAGAACCAGCCAGTGTATACCTTGTATTAACTGGGGCCTAACGGGCACATCCTTGAAGTTTTCGGGGGGGGGGGTCAGGCTGGAGATTTTTTTAAATTGTGTCATTTTTGTCTGTACATCAACAAAAAACAGTGATGAAACAGTATATGACATACACTATTAATGTACATTTACAAAGGTATTGGTGTAAGCTTGCCTTTGCACACGTAAGAGGAATGTGCGGGATGCTGTCTTGTTTTTGAATTTACATTAGTTATTTTTTATTTTCGGTAAGTTTTTCTACCTTATGGTTTTTTTTGTCTCAGAGCAACAGGGGGGTAGTCCCCCAACCCCCTCTCCCTGGATCTGCACCTGCCTAATTTCATAGCCCTGTTCAGTAGCGGATTTTGTATTGACAAAGCCTTTAATTTGTCTGTTTCATAGACTGTTATGCAAAAGTTTAACCCCCCAGAAAAAGTTTCTTAGTTGGTGAAGTTTCCATGCAAATGAAGGCTTTTGCACATCCACACTGTGAAAAAGTGCTTAAAGCGCAACTTTCATGCTGTTAATTAAGCTAGCTGTTTTCCATAAGCAGTGCTGTGAAATTTGGCCCTGAACTTTGTTATCTCATGGGGAGGAAAAAACTTAAAAGCAAAAGACTTCAAGATATTGCAACTCCCAGAATAATTGCTCATACCATAGTTAGTCAGGCTCTGTATGCAGGGAGATCACATGTTTATCTGAAAATGCCTAGAGCCGACAGGGTTTGTATGGGCAGCAGTTACCCACCTACGCGTGGCACATGTCAGTCCTGCCACTCTCTCTTTACCAACCCGTATATGTACGGATCCCCTGTAGCATTGATCATGCGCATTGTTGGGGTACAATCTTTTACATGGATCCCTCTTCCTTCAGTTCTTCCTCGATATTTTTTCTCAAGCAATTAGAATTGCAATATATTTTCAGATATTGAATTTCTGTTTTCCTAAACTATTTTTTTGTATTTGCAATGGTGCTTGAGCTTTCTGTTTTGCTGTTACTGTGACCTTATTATCATTATGCTAATTGTTGAAAACATATATCACGGTGTGATGATTTCATTTTTTGGGGGTTCTTTGTATGTGCTGATTAATTCCATTTTAATTTTTAGACTTTAGCAATTTAGTGTACTGATGATAGTGTAGTGTACTGTTTTTGTTTTATGGCTCACCTAGCAAATCTTTTAAGGTATAGATAATTGCAAAACATTCATTGTGAATGTTAATAATTTTGTCAGTACAAATGATGATCTGGCAGTGACTTGTAAGATTGAGTTTTGGCAATGGCATAGCCAGGCTCGGAGGGGGGAGTCCTCCCAGCTCAGAGATGTTCATAGAGCAAGTTGAGACATAAAGTGTCACCATTGCTGGAAACAAACTTGCAGGTGCATGTGCCTGTGTACACAGACAGTCCCATTACATATAAACGACCATTTTGTTCCCAAAATCTGAAGCTTGTAGTATTCTTATTATGTAGGTTTTGTGTGGTAGCCATCTTGCTGAGCAGTTCTTTGTTCTACTGGGCAACCTCCTTCGTGGAACAAAAGCTCTGCCCCAGCTGTGTCACTTGGTTTAGGAGACAGTATATGGATTTGTACACGGCATACATGTATGCTATGCTTGCAGTTTATGTTCTCATCATATGGTACATGTATGACTCTTACCATATATGTTATGTACAAGTTGAGTTGTGAAGAATCCGGCATAAATTGTGATTAAAAGACTTCTGCTTGCATGCAAATCAGTGGATTGTCAAAGGTGTCTTTGTATTTTGAAAACAAAATGAAAAAAAAAATTGTCAATATTTAAGGACTTCAAATAAGAGTTGTATAGATCGAGGCATAGTTAAAGAAGGCACTTAGTTTTACAAGTTTATTTTTAGATTACCTGACTATTTTGAAAAGCAATTTGTTTCACCTTGTTTTTAGTTGGTTAATTTTTTTTCCAACTGGAAGAAAACCTTGAGGCATTTCTTTCTTCAATCAAAGGAACTACGTATGCATATTTAAGTGCATATATCTCAATATCTTTAGAAAGCTAGGAGACTATCTCTGGCTTGTCTAAGGCTGACAAGTTGGGCCTGGCCATAACTCTGCAATGAGAAGACTTTTCTTATATCCTTTTCTTATATCCTTACTTTTTTCTTATATCCATGGCAGCATTTGGGTAACCCACTTTTCTCTTTTTGACGGAAGAAAAACTGGCAGTGGATGGGCAGTCACGTTGATAGGTAGTTAAACTTGCCGTAGGTAGATGAGTTCTGAGTAGCCTAGAGTTAAACCTAGCCAATTTATGCCTGATGTTAGGAGGGATTTTGTTTTGCGGAGTTCATTGGTTTCCTTTTCCCCGTTGATAAAGCTAGTTTGAGGAGCCTCTAGTTTTCAGGACTGGGACACTGAGGATTCTTGAGACATTGCAGTACGTTATGACCATATGCTCCTCCCACCAGTGTCACTCCCCTCGCCATTTGAAATTTTGAAGTCACGGTAGGCCTACAAGCCCGGTAGTAGTAGCGCTCTCTGGGGCCCTGAGAGAAGTTTTCACCCTATAGCTGAAAACTACATGCAGGCTATGCTGCTTATCTCGATCCTGTCATCCTAGTAACGAAATTCCAGGATAGCTTTGGGAACGTTAGCGCTAAATTGATTCTTATGGGTCCAATTCGGTATCAGGGGAACTTCGGGGAAGCGCTCTGTCAACCCCTATCATTGATCCGTGGCTGGCGGTATACATGTATGGCGACTTTATACGGTTCCTATCCGCTTTTCCGATCCATCCCTGTTGGCTCTCCTTCTGTTTTTTTATGAATCAATAAAACAATGACATTTGTACGTTTAATCTGCTCTGTCATGTTAATTTGTTGATAAGTACATGTACGTCGCACATCAATTGTATTTTTTATCAAGATGCATTTTTTATGTTGTAAAACAGGGATTGAGATTTTGTAGATGTTCAGGTCTGCGACAAGGGAAATAAGGCTTATTTAGGTCCAGACATTTTATGCATTTTTTCTCAGCCCATCCTTCATCTGGAGACCCTCAACCCTAAGTTTGTGATGTGATGTCAAAGTCCTTTTCCACTCACCTGTTAATCCAAAATAGAAATTTCGAATTTAGCGCTAAACCCGGAAGTAATGTTCCATTTACGCGGGGAGCTTTGAGGGAAAAACGTTCTGATTGGTCACCAATTACTAATTATGCGTGATGTCACAGGCTGTTTAGTATTTCACATTGAGAGTCTCCAGAAGGCGTCTCGTTACGAATGACTGTCTAATGGAAATCGCTTAGAATCGGATGCATCAGACCTCTGATCACGGTAATTTTCACTCTGTCCATGTAATGTGTGGTATTCATTTGATCTGTTATGTTATTTGTTTTAACTGTGAAAGAATAACGGCTGGTTTTCAGCGTTGGTACATAGTAAACGGGGCATACAATGTACGTTTCGTGGTCAGTAGCAAACTGCTAATATGAACATGTTGTATGGGTACGTGTTTTTCCATTTTTCATTTCTATTTCTCATATGTACACCGATCAGATAAATGCATTTGTTAAACTCGTCCATGGTTTTTCAGTATCAATTGATAATAATGGCCGACGTTTTCAGTTTAGGAGCATTTATAGAGGGAGATGCAGTTGCGTTTTGTGCGCCTGTCGCCGCTTTAGTGTTCACAGCACGGCGGCAGTGCCGTTACACGCAACGTTATTCTACAGCTGACTAGTCGGTATTTTTAAACATATCGTTTCCCTGGAAAATTAATGACAAACGAAACTATATTCGTTAACCTGAAGCTTCAGAAGGTTGTGTGCAATGCGGGAAGCCTTTTGTAGACAAAGTGGAACCCAGCACGGTGATTTTCCGCGACTTGGGATGTGATTTTTTCTTCGTTCGTGTACGAACTGAACAATACACGTACAACACATATGCACACACACAGCAAACTCATTCAACGCAAATTTGTAGTCGTGTGGATATTTGGTATGCGAAAAATAGATTTTAATGGGAGCAAAATTGCTTGAATTGTTCTTAGCCATAAAACACAGTATCTATAGATAGTAAAGACACAAATTTCTTTGTAAATCGGCAAGACGTCCAAGGGGGAATGTCAATTTTTGCGATCGAGTTCTGGGGCAAATGGGTTTCCTGCTCGTTAAGATTTACCCTACAATTTGTTTACTGGTCGCAACCAAAATAAAAAGGGGGTGGTTCTCTTCACCAAAGACGTTCTGTGATCAAGTTACCGAAACAATTACATGTTTCCCTTAGTGTGTACTTGAAGTGACATCAAAGTGTATTATTCTACAAGAAGATTTTTAATCTAACTAGTTTTGTCAAACTTAAAATTCGTTTTGAAATGCCGTAAGACTCACCCTCCCTCGGCAGCACCCCTAAGTAAATTGGTGTCAACAGCGTGAACCCTAGTCGCCATGTTTGCTGGAACTGAAGCGGTAAACCGCCTTCATTCACTCCCCGTGTCAAAAAGGATCACCTGAAGGACACTCCGTTCTCTCAAAATTTCGAAGTACAAATTCATGCCATTTTCTGGTGCGTGTTTTTGTAGATCTTTTGGTTGATAAAGATTAATTGCAGTGAAAATACGGGAATTAAAATTGTGGTGTCAAAATCTGTCAACAATCATACATGNCATATATGCCATTGCTCATGTTGCTCGACCCATTAAATTATCAGGCCTATTCCTTGTCATCTGTTGGCCACTTGGAAAAATTTGTCTTGGCTAGTCATTTTTTTTACGCTACTTACACTCGGAACATTGTATGCATTAAGAACATACACTCCCATTCATGTAGCACATATATATTCAATGATCGTGTGAATGGAGTTTGAAACAGAGTGCTTGCTTCTTGCGGTTTACTTGCAACTAGGCGTTTATTATGCAGTGGCTGTTGTTACGGCAGCCGTAACGCATCTCCCATTTTCTATCGTTACGGCACTGCAACTGCGCAAGCGTGCCAATTTAAGTGCAGATTTCGGACTTTATTCCCCTTAACATGTTTAAAGAAATCCTCCGAAGCCTCCGATGAGAAAAGAAAAAAAGATTCCTGCTTAGGCCTATACAATGAGATACAACATAAAAAAACAATTTTGGTACAAAACATGAAAATGGGGGAAAAAAATAGAATAGTCCAAGCGCAGATTCAAATTCACACACCAGTGGTTCCAAACCTTCCACCTTGACCACTCTTCCACAAGCATTCAGTGATCCAGGTAATTTTGAAATATATACATGTAAACCGTCATGATGATCAGCTGTGTCATCGCACTTGTGCAGTTCAGTGCCGTAACGAAAGAAAATGAGAAACGCCTTACGAATGCCATAACGATAGCCACTTCGTATTTATTAATTATGGTTTAGTGATGAGTAAGCTACATTAACCCAGCCCCCTAGGGTGTATGTAAAATCGTATTAAAATTGGAGGATTTTGGAGTGTTAGGGTTAAGGATTTTGTTATTTTGCCGTGAACTATGTTATTTATACTTGTACCCTAACATGTCATTACTTGTAGGATATACTTATATCACTGTAGATACCCTATAAATACGGTCTTTTAGATGAGTGACAGCAGGACCTTTTTTCAGGTATTGATTTCTCCAATAATGTCTGCTTCAGTGCTTGATCTTGGCCTAGTGGTCAGTGCCACATAAACTGATTGGATTTGAGGTTAATTAACTAACAATTATTTTGGAGAGAATGAAAACAGACGATAGTTTTTAAAAATCACATTTTGGTTCAGAGAAAGGGGTCCATATGTTTTCCCATACGGCACTTGCTGAAAACCTGCTCTTATTTCATTGCCATGAGCCTTCAGGAGTTTTCTGCTAATGAATTGCAGCAGTTTTGACTCCATATTTTGCAAGCATGAGACATTGTGTTCTTATCATGGCATCATTTCAGAAAACAGGTAAGATGAATTGCTTCCTCCGTTGATCATGTACCATATGGTAGATTCACAATACTGACAACGCACCGCCAAGAGATCGCCACAGAAAGGCTACGTTTCAGGTTTACAGAAATACATGGCCTACTTGCCAAGGTTTGCATTTGAGCAGATGTCTTGAAAACCTTTTAAAAATTCTGATAGAGGGTACCGGTATTCCATGCAAAGGAAAGAAAAGAGAGTAAGTACATAACATCAGGAACAATTTTAAGTTCCCTGCTCTCAGCTGGCCAATAAACTTTGTCGACCATTTCGTTTAATTAATGCCCTGCAGAAAATGACCTCTCTGTGGTAACCTCTTGGTGGCGCACTGTATTGTGAATAACTCAAATTAAATATGCACCGGCACGAGCTGCATGGTACAATACGTAACAATGCAAAACTTACTGTCTGGACAGTAACGATCCTCTATAAAAGATGGGTGGAGTCCCCCCCCAGCTGAGAGGTTCTTCTTAAAGCGCTCTTACTGGTTTACCATTTTCTGATGTAGGTGTCTTCTTGTTCTGTGTTATTTAATACATGTGCATAGAAATTAGGAATTAAAATCATCTGTGAAAATGAAGTCCCATCAAATGTGTATTGCTCAGATGTTTTTGTTAGAGAATCAAGTGAATTTGTTGAACTTTCTTGAACATGTTGAAAGGTATATATGTGCTTCAGCACTGTGCAAAGGTTGAAAAAGTAGGGTGCAACATGATCAAGGATTGAAAGACCAGATGGTTTGAATTTTACCATAGAGGATTTAAATGCAGTGGCTTCATTTTTTTTACGGTAGACAGAAGGAGGTCACGTAGAACGACATGAGTCATATGCATATTATGCTCAGGACTCATAAAAGACATAGCGTACACTTTCTGAGCATAATATACATGTGACTTACGCCGTTCTACGTGTCCTTCTTTTACCATTTATGACCAGTTTGTAAGTCTGCAAAGCTTTGTAACTCGCAGTAGTAATGCCCATGAAGCATATGGGGCCAATTTCATAGAGCTGCTTAAGCACAAATTTTGCTTAAAGCAATAAGCACAAAAAATACTTGCTTAAAAACAACGGTTATCAGCTCAAAATCTACATAATTGTCATGCTAACCAAACGACGGGTGAATACCATTCCAAAACAATATACATCACATGGAGTTGTGGCTGGTAACCTGATTTGTCAAGCAAAGTTTTTTCATGCTTAAGCAAATGTTGTGCTTTTAAAACATCTCTATGAAATTGGCCCCGCAGATCTCGATGTCATTTGAATATCAGCATGCAGTACTGAGTGGTGTGCTTCCGTGAGCTAGTTAGTGCTTGGAGTTAGTGCCAGTGCTGCCTTCATGTACCGGTACTTAAAGGATTGACTGCAAGATCACGGGTCCCATTTCATTGCTCTACATTTACCACTGTACCAAAATGTCAAGTCCTACTTCTCGATGAAATGTAACTTCTGCCTTTTGTGCTATTCACGGTGGTGCAGTATTTCTTTCTGAAGGCTATAAAGTTTGAGAATCAATTCTCAATGACTGACGTGTGGTGTGTAGTTGCTGCTGGTTTTTAATTCAGCCTTTGAAATCAGGGACCCATACTGAATACGTACAAGTAACCTCTGCCTATTTTGTGACAAGAGCACCCTTGCGCATTGTGGGACTCCTGTAAACAAATCTCCATTCAAACTGCAAGTGCAGTCTTTTTTTTTTTTTTAGAAATTTGATCAGTGCAACAAAACCTACCTGGGGCTGCATAAAATTTAAGCAGGAACACCCACCTTCTACATTTTTTCCTCAGAAAACATTACATTTGGTCGTGAAAAAGGAAGTGTCTTTAAAATTCAAAAGTAGACATAAATTCAGCCCGAGGAATCCTTAAAGGAAATTTTCAAAGGAAAGTCCGCATTGTCTGGTGTGTGGAAAATGAGTTAATTGCAGCTACGTGGGGAGAATTTGTACCCCATTGTGCTAGGGTATGAATTTTTTGAAATTTGGAGTGGATGTTCTGAAGGATATACCTCAGAGCGTTGTTACGCTGTTTCACACAGTTTTATGCATTCTGTATTATATCCTTGCAGTTACCTGTTACAAACGGGGGCCTACAGTACACCGTCTAGGCTAGGTTTTGTGAATGCAAAAGAAGTTACTGTTACTGAAGCACAGGAGCCTTTTGCATTGAATCTAATCATGCAAAAAAAAATGAGAGATTGCAAAAATTATACAGCTTTCTAGTATCATAAATGTACATGTACATTGTACATGTCTTAGGGTACTAGCCAGGAGAATGTTTTAATGGGAGACTTGAGAAATGTTCTCAAAGAAAATTGTAATATCTTATGCCTTGAATGTTTTGAAGTGAATTTTGCAAACATAAGTGGTATTTCTCCAAAACTTACAGTGTATTTTACTTACATGTGGATTTGATATTCATGTACATGTACTATGTGTACAGTACAGTGTTGTGTGTGTTCTTTTTTGTATGTGCACATTGACACACTACATGTACTCACTGTAGCCTGTCACTGTGAAAGACGCTAGTAGTTCTGACATTGGCATAATTGGCATTGTGCCCAGAATATTGAAATGCCTGGATATCCACACACTACATTTACAGTTCAGTGTACATGTACACTGACATTCAAGTACACGTAGGGCTACTGTGTTTGTGCACGGTGTGCAGTACAGTACATGTACATGTATGTGTACTCGCACTGTCACCAGCGTTACACTCAAGCTCTTTAATAGTGTGGAAGCACTGCTGGTCATAACGTGGGTGGAGTGGGTTAGCGTAGTAGTTCTTTCCTCGCTTTGCACTAATGAGGCCTGGGTTCGAGTCCCGGCCTGGCCCAAGCTTTAAGTGCATTTGGTTTCCAGTCCATATTCGCTCTCGCAGGTTTTCTCCGGGTACTCCGGTTTCCTCCTGCCTCTGAAACTGGACCTTCTTCCTAACTCCGTAATGTGATGCTGATTACTAAAGTGTATGAATAAACGTACAGTTATTGGGGCAAATAGCCTGAGTTGCTGAAAGCGCCATTAAAACAAAACAACAAAACCAAACTGGTCATAATGTACATGTACACGTGGGAGTTTTAAATTGTACATATTGTAATGAAACAGCCAACTCTTGCGATCATCTAATTGCAACAGAGATAATGGTTATTGTAAAAGGTTTACTTTGAGTTGATCTGAGAATTTTCACTTGTTTGTTGTTTACATTTGCTATAATAAATTTTGAAAATAAGGAAATGGAAAAATTTTCCACTGTTCATGTCACATTAATTATAATTCTGTTTTCAGTTGATGTACAGAAATTGTTGAGAATTTATTTGTACCATGTGATAGTTTTTCAAAGCCGTTTTGACATTTAAACTAATTTATATGAAAGTTTTGTGCACAGAGAAATTTTTTGTTATTTTATACACGTATGTGTAGTTTGTTGAAGTCTGCTGATTTTGGCCAGAGTCGTACAAGTATGCCATATGTACATGTACTTCATGCAGTAAAGCAGTTGGCTTGCTGATGCCCACTCACACAAATCTGTGTATCTCTTTCTGTATGGTTGCCAGACTCCTCTTTCAGTAGACAGAAACTGCAGAGGTTCTGTAGAGTCTGGAAAAATTTAAAACCACAGGATGCGGTAACCATGTCGTAATGAGAACTTCCTTCACAAGATGTACATGTACTTGCTGGCATAATGTACGTGTAGATTTTTGCTTCTGTCATTCCACTTTGTTTTGTTTTGTTTTCTTTTGGGCAATGGGTTTGGATCACTTGCTGTATTATCCTAAAGGCACTGAAGTGAAAATAAAGTGTATGACTGAAGACATTTTGTTTTTCTGTCTAAATGTATGCTTTAAAGGTTGAGAACATTTTCACAATTATGTTGAGATTTCCTATTGTTGTACCTACTTGACATGCTTAAAGGTACATATTTTTTATGTTTCTTAAAATGTTTGGTTATGGTGAATTCCATCAGAGGATTTTATCTGTGCATTCACTATAGCTGGCAGTAACCTCCTCTCTTGAATGAATTCAGAATTTTATTGAAGTTGAGGTGTGCATAGTTTGTGTTTCCTTTTCACAAAAGTGCTTCGCCTTTGGTGTTAAAAATTGCACAAATTATGTCTTCAGGTACAAGTACTGCTTTGGGATGTATACATGTACAAGTATCCTTAGTTTGTTCCAATTTTATTATTTATAGAAATTTATTTTTGCTGAAGTGAAACTTAAGAATTTGAGTTATTGTGTGCTAGGATTTAATGGTGTGGTAGAATGGTCTATATTGTTTTTTTTCATTGACTGTGACTTTTTTGGCTGTAGAGAATTTAAAGTCCCTGAACATTTTCCTTTCCACGAATCTATGATACTGCTAAAAATTAGATGTATATGCATGGCTACTTCTTATTTCGATTTAAATTTCTTTTTTTTTTGTTTCAGACCACCCCAGGCAAACCTAAGTGATCCATCTCTTTTGGCTCCCAGGACACTATGAAACGTGGCAACGAGGTGCAGGAGGGTCCATTTCAGCAGCGTCGTGCCACCCCGGGACAAGAATCTGCCTTCACGCAGCAGCGCGTGCTTGCACCGGCCAATGTTGCTGGCTTTGAGCAGGTGCAAGAGGGTAACATGGCCAGCGGTCTGTCGTTCCATCCCATGCAGCAATACCCGTAAGTTCCATCAGTTCTACTTCAGATGATCAAAATACATACGTCTTATAATGTATAAGGACAAACAGAAATTCGTTGTGTTTCCTATTACACTGAAAAATAAATTAGGGTGGTTGGTTGGGTAAAATTACTCTACATTTTTACAGCCCAAGAAATTAGGGTGGGATGATGGTCTGTATTTTTTTTTTGGGGGGGGAGGCACATATATTTGTAACAGGTACTAAATCAGTGTCAGATTAATACTGTACATGTGCGTGTCAATATTACATATCAGCTCTGTGATTTAGTAGTAAAGCAGGTGGTTGTTGCAATACAAACACACATAGAGCCGTCCATCTCGTGCAAAAAAATGAAAATACAATGAACAGGATGATGTACACAAAATTAGGCTTAGGGCAAGGCACCATAAGTTTTTATATTTTATTGATTTGTCGAATAAAACGATATAAGTTCTACATGATTTTCTAGGTTTGGTCGGGTAACTGGAAACACAGCTATTTTTTTGTTTGGCCTAAGTGTCATGGTAGAAATTAATGTGTGAGGTGATGATTTAATGGAAAATCTCGTGTATCTGAAATTATTCTTTCTATTGCATGAATGGAAAGCATTCATTATGCAACACCTGAATAAATCCTGGAAAAAAAATCCCTGGATCACCTGTGAGTTCAGTTCATTTCTTGTGTCCAAGGATTAGAATGTTGAATTCACAATGGACTACGATGTTCTGTTCTTGCCACGTGGTTGCACTGCTGCTTGGGGACATATTAGATTAATTCATTGACATGTGATCTCTGACCTACATTTGTGACCCACTCTGCAAAAAGGTATATTAAGTCGCGCAGTGCAAAAACACGTAATGGCCCATTCCGTGTGCCGAGGGTGAAAATATTTGGAAATATTTTGAGGCCAACTGCTTGACCAGAAAGCCTCTGTTACTAAGGAAAACCAAAAGAGTGTCTAATTTAAGTTTAATCTTTCTGTTGTGTTTAAAGGGCATTATCTTAAAAACCATGTGTGATAAAATGAAATTATATGAACATGCAAGTGGCAAATAACTCCAAAAAGCAACATGTTACTGGGATGAATGATATATCAAATGAAAGCTTAGGGTATGAGCAATTTAATTATACATGTAAAACTCAATTTCTCCCCCCCCCTCCAAAATGTGACAAACATGTAAGACACCTTTTTGCAGCGCCGGTCACATTTACTTTAGGTCCCATGGTCATTGCAATTTGTTTGTGGAATACTGTTGAGGGAAAAGTGATGAAAAATCAGGGATTTTATAATAAAATATTGAGCTGATATTTCCCAGCTAGGAGGTTTGCTTAATTTGCTTGTGATATCCATTTACGTTCCTTTGTAAAAAAACAATAATCGCAGATCTTTTGTCCACATTTTTGTTTTTAGCCTGTACTATAAAATATTTTTCTTGAGCTTTTTTCTTGGTGTTTATTGAAATCCTGCGTAGGGTGCCAGCTGTAGGGCAAGCAGCAGGGCACCATGGTGGGGTTCACCACCCTCACCCTCATCCAACCAACCCCCAGCAGGTGGCAGCAGTGGCCCATCAGCAGCAGGTTGTCCATCAAACGCATGCTCAAGCTCAGGTAAAGGAGATGGGCTTGGGTTTACAGAGATGAAACAAATGGTATATAGGTGTCAGGGTCAGATTTGTGGAGCCATGGGCTATTTGTTTAAACAGTTACATGTGGAAATTGGTTTCTTAAGCTGCAGACGGGTCCATACATGGACATCATTTGGCATCCTGTGCACAAACCGTATGAGACTTGACTGAAAAAAATTTCTAAGCAAGCAGTTACGCATTTTCCCTGCTAAATTTGACATTATAGGACTTGTTATCACTTACTAGTGGCTGATATACCAGCACTCAAGGGAAAAATGAGTGATACGGAGCTCTTACCCTACAGACTTCTTCAATTTTTTAAATGTGACTTGGATTTTTAAAAAATTATCTTTGTAGTTATGTTTGTTCTTCAGTTTTATATTACAGGGGAATAGCAATGCCTTGGAAACTGTATAATTTACGACGCATCACAGACACTGTTAGGCTTGATTAAGAAGTTGAATTCAACGACCTATTTCATCTAGAGGCTCATAAATGTATCTCTAACCTTGTGCAATGTGAAGTATTGAGTAGGAGTTTTAGTTTGAATATGTGCTGTCTGGCGGAGTTCTTTGGTCACTGAATCTCCTGAGACTGAGGTGTTGGCTAAATGTTAACAAGTCACGTGAAAGTTCCGCTGCACATTTTACCTCATTCATTTGTCCTTGGTTAAAGTGCATAAGTGTGTGTTTAACTTGAATCTGGATTGGGAAAGCCAAGTTTGGAAACTTAAAGGAGTTCAACTTGCTCGGCACAGTTTGTGTTCATTGTATTTGCCCATATGCCATAACAGGGCTCTATTTATTCGTCACTGTTGTTGCCAGAGTTTGAATATGTACAAACTTTGCTTATAATCCTAAGCGTATGGCCAGAAAAAAAAATGCTAATTCTGCCGTAAAAATGGTGACTGACTGCAAATGTCGGCCAGCTGTTTAAAAATTCCATCTGGAACCATAGCCTTCATAACTGGTTTCCTTTGGCAGGCTCAAGTAGCACAAGTGCAGGGGCACCAGCAGCAACAACAACAGCAGCAGCAGCAGTACCAGCGACTGAAGGTGGAGGATGCTCTGTCTTATCTTGACCAGGTCAAACTGCAGTTTGGCAGCCAGCCGCAGGTGTACAATGACTTTCTGGACATCATGAAGGAGTTCAAATCACAGAGGTAACTTTTTGTTCTGTTTTATGAGTTGTTTCAATAATCTTGCTTTCCACCATGTATGCTCTTTCTCAGTTAAGAGAATTGGTGCTTAGAATTTGATATAATTCCATTACACATTCCATGATAAAAAATATTCGATTGTTTTAGTAAAGATTGTAAATCATACAAATTGAATAATTGAAGCTAGAAGAGATGAATGATTTCTCTTCTTCAATGGAAGTATTATTTGTGGGATAGTTATGAAAGATTGTGGCTCTGAGGGCGTAACTCTATCACAACAAAAAATTCTTTGTGAGGTTTTTGAGTTTTGAAGTCATGGGACCAACATTCTGCCACCTCACAGGAAACCACCTTCTTGATTTATTGAAATTGATGCTCATAAACACTTCTGAATATTTTACAAAAAACCCCCAAAACAGACACGGGGACTAAATTGAGTCCCCTGCTCGATGCATTGAATGAAATTTGTCAACTAGTTCCCACAGTGCACTGCAAAAGAATGGCCTCTATGTGTCAGTCTGTCGGGGGTGGTGCTGTATTGTGAATCGCCCGTGTTGTTAAGCACCCACTTCAAGTGGTCTCACTTTTTTTCAGCATTGACACTCCAGGGGTCATCAATCGTGTGTCCAACCTGTTCAAAGGACACCCCGACCTGATCGTGGGCTTCAACACCTTCCTGCCGCCGGGCTACAAGATAGAGGTCCAGGCCAGTGATCCCACGCGGATCAATGTCAGCACCCCGACAGGGCACATCACCCAGCACACTGCGGGCGGTCCCCTGACGGGTACCGGGGTGCAGCTGCAGGCCCAACCAGCGTCTGCTACTCCCCAGCAGCAGCAACCGCAGCAACAGCAGCACCCGAACAAGCCTATGACGCCGCAGAAGCAGCAGCCGATACACACCCAGCCACAGTACCACGCGCAGCACGCAGCAAACAAGGTATGGCCAGGTCGGCCAATAAAGGTGCCAGTCAGAGATTGTTTCAGAATCCACAGGCTCTCTGGCAGCAGCAGTAATCACAGAGTATTGGTGATCGATGGTCAATTCATGTGCCCTTAAAATTTGTCACCCGGGCCAAAGATAGGAATGGACCATAACACAGTACACTCCAAGTTATCTGGCTGTGGCTGGAAACAGCACACAAGTGTAGGGGAAGCGGTTGAAGCCACAAGCTGATACTTTCAAAGGTCTAATTTAAAGGTACAGCCAAGTAATGTAGACTTAGCCATAAGTGCCATTTTTTCACAGTGTGCCTAATGGTTGTCAGTTTCCTTGTATAAGTACTCAGCAGTGTTAGATATTTTTAGTGCACATAGTTGAAAATACATGTATGGTGTAGATGTAGGTAGTGAGGAGTTATTCAAAGGCTAGCCAGTTTGTGCATGTAAATAATGCAGAATGGATTACTCACTGGGAGATAATGAACACAAGATGTTGACCTTGAAGTTGATCAGAGGTCTCTTAATGATCTCATGGTGGCACAAATGTTCCATTTGCATCACCTGTTCCAATTTCATTGTACACGTTTTTACTTTAAATTTTTAATGTGTTTCCTTCACTGGTGACTTGAACTTTCTTCATGATTTTTTTGCCAGAACTTAAAAGCATTTGTTTTTCACGGTAGGCTGTGCACCATTCTGTATCATCAAGCCATCATCATGCCAACCAAGCAGCCACCGCGGGCCACACCTACTCCCAGCCACCGCCGGCCAACCAGGCCCACCCAGCTCCACCCTCGGCCGTCACGGCCTCGCCCCAGCACGCCCACGCTGCCAGCCAGCAACAACAGCAGCAGCAGCCGCAGGCCGTGCAGCAAACACCACAGCAGCAACAACAGCAGCCCAGCCAGCCGGTGGAATTCAATCATGCTATCAACTATGTCAATAAGATCAAGGTATGTCGAAAACAACACCTTAGTTATTGGCTTTGGCAGTAGGGGAATCTAAGGAGACACTTTGGCCATAGATGAATCTAAAGAGGCACTTTGGCCATAGGTGAATCTAAGGAGACACTTTGGCCATAGGTGAATCTAAGGAGATGCCATAACTGTGGTGGTGCAGCACTCACCAGCGCATTACATGTGTTCTTAACTTGAGGTGCACAAGCATTGTTTTGTAAGATGTGACTCTCTATTGGTGCAAAGGAGTTTAACACATGCTTGTACCCTCACATGAACGTGGTACCAACAGGAATGACCTCTGAATATGGTTAGATGAGTAGTCTTTAAAATCTCCCAAAGTACTAAATGGATTGTTTCAAGTATTATTTGCTAGTCTGTTTAGCTTTTGATTTTAAAGCACACACAGAATATTTTTGGTATAAGTGTACACAGTAGATGTTATAGCATGTTGGTGTGTCAATTTTTTTTCCCTCATCTTTCTGCTGTCTAGAATTTTTCCTAGGGTTAGCCAAGGTCAGCCTAAGAGCAGATTTTTCTATCGTCTTGTTTATCCTTGAGTCTCTGCTTTCCAGAATTTATTCCAGGGTCAGCCAAGCCTAACTTTAGAGCATGTCGTCATGTTCTGATGTCTTGTTGACCCTGTAGTCTCTGTTTTCTGGAATTTGTTCAAGGGTCAGCATAGGTCAGCTGTTGGGTAGGTCCCTATGCATTCAAGTCTTGTTTATCTTCAAGTCTCTGGTGTGGAGAATTTGTTCTGGGGTTGGCTAAGTTCAACTTTAGAGTAAGTCACCATGTACTCAAGTCTCGTTTATCCTAAAGTCTTTGTGGTCTGTGATCAGTTCCACGGTATCTATGTCCGAAAGTCTTGTATAACCTCAACTCTCTCCTTCTTTCTTGCCCAGAATCGGTTCCAGGGTCAGCCAGAGATCTACAAAGCTTTCCTAGAGATCTTGCACACCTACCAGAAGGAGCAGCGGGCCGTCAAGGAGTCCGGAGGTACCTACGTGCCCACCCTGTCGGAGGCTCAGGTCTTTGAGCAGGTGGCCAAGCTCTTCAAGAACCAGGAGGACCTGTTGCAGGAGTTTGGCCAGTTCCTGCCAGACGCTAATGGTTCGGGAGTCACGGGACAATCTAATGTGAGTCAGGTGTCAAAAATATGGAGGTTATAAATGCACTTACATGGTGTGTTATACCTCTGGAGAATCAATGTTTTCCGTGCGCAAACTCAAGTCCATCACAGTTCATTAAATCTAAAGCCAAGTCAGAAGCTGTTGGTTCTGCATGGTTGTCACAGCCCTCGTTGAGACACAGCTTCACTCATGTAAAGAATTATGAGCTTTCCATGCGACACAGGAAAACAATTTTCCTCCGTTTCTTTTCGCTGCTCAGTTTTCTTTCCAGGAGGTGATGAATCGTGTTGCCGTCCGCAACGACCACACGGGCATTGCCAAGAAGCCTGGCTCTGCCTCCAACAACAAGAATCGAAGCAGTGCTTCAGGGACAGTCGGGCACATGAAGCGACCAGGGAGCAGTGCCGTGCAGATACCAACAAAAGTGAGACCCAGCATACACCCACCATTGTTAATATAGGCAAAGACTGTCATGGAACACACACCATTTTTATATGGTCGGAAGTCCTTCAAAGCTTTATAAATGGCAGAAAGTATGAGAAAAACATGGTGCCATTACCTGGTACTGCATCCGAATAATAATGACAACTGTACAAGGCACAAGTGGTGATCATTATGCCAATTGATAAGAACTCTGTGTTGTTTTATGTGAAATGAGCCCACTGTCAAGTTTACATCAGATGATGTGCAGTTACTAACCAAACTAATCTTTGGAAGACCGTGTGGATACACTTACCATATCTTTAGATGGGAGCCTACTCCATGTAGACCATGCTTTTCTTTTCGGAACAGAGTGTTTCCTCTCAATCTCTTTTAACTGATAGCAGTTTTTGTTATGCACCATGAAAAGGAGACGAATGATAAATGTATCTGACATCAGTAATTTGTCTTTTCCAGCAAAGGACAAACCTAAATTACTGTGTTGCAAATATGTCAACGAGACTGACTAGTTTGCTTGTTTTCCTTGTGATTTTTATTCTTGAGTGCTATCATTGCTTACTTTGGGGGGTTGGGGGTCGATTTGTTCATTTAGAAGCCGAAGACTGGAGCAGTGAAAGACGTTTCCTTAGCTGAAGCAGGCAAGCATGGGAGCCTCAGTGAGTTTGCATTCTTTGACAAGGTGAGTGTTTTTTCCTCAAAGGATGTCGATTTAGCAAGTATGTCATTTCCGATAATTTGGCTCTTCTTTGTGGATGTTGTTAATTTATCGTGAATAAATTTATAATTTGCTTTTATTTTTTCAGGTTCGCAAGGCCCTACGTAGTCAGGAAGTGTATGAAAACTTCCTTCGGTGTTTGGTCCTGTACAACCAGGAGATAATCTCCAGGGCTGAGCTGGTCCAGCTTGTCACCCCATTCCTTGGGTAAGACAACCAACAAATCCTCACTTTGCCCAGGGCTGTGCTAAGCCCCCCACCCAACAGTCAGTGATACTGGCTGAGAAGCATTTAGGGCTGTCCATGATTTAGAGAAGGCCAGCTGTAGATGGGATATCTCCAGTTCATCTTTAATTGATTTAATAAATGCAGGGGGGGCGTGTGGCCTAGTGGTTAGGGTTTGTAGCTTCTGATCCTAGGGTCAGGGGTTCGAATCCAGCTAATGGCTGCACGTTGTGATCTTGGGCAAGTCACTTTACCCCCTATTTGCCTCTCCATCCAGGAGTAAATAGGTACCTGTGGGGGCAGATATGGTTATGTTTATCTGTTTTTGCCTTGTACGGTAGCAGTGGGATAGTATACACCCAGGCAGCTGAGATCATTTCTGGAATGTTCAGCTGTTGTGAGCCCTATCCGCAGGGATAATAATACTGTGTGCCTTGAGTGTTTTCTAACAGATACATGCATGTTATAAATTCCAAATTATTATTACTATTATTATTCCTGAGAAGAGTTACAACAGGCTTGGTATCCATCCTGTACTGTAACCTTGCTTTCCTTGGTTTCATTTTTAACTTGGCCATTCCATTTGATGGTGACATCTCAAGATTTATTAAAACTTGGCCATTTGTTGCAGTATACTTACCAATTAAGTCCCTGTGGGAAAGCAGTGCCATGGAATGAAGGTATACACTCTTAATAATTGTCCTGTTTTTCTCAAAGGAAATTTCCGGAGTTGCTGAAATGGTTCAAGGAGTTCTTGGGGTATAAGGAGTCTGACAGGATTGAACACCATGCTCCTAAGGAACGTAACCAAGGAGAACTCGCCATGGAAATAGGTCAGAACATCCACTTCTAGAATGCTGCCCTTCTGTGACCTATTTTAATTAAATCTTTTGGAATCTGTTAAAATTTAATCTTAATATCCCAACTTTCCTTCCAATGTTAATGGTCTGTTTTTGATCGTGTAATTTATTGCATGTGCAGTTCAATTGAAGAAGATAATGGCATTTAATTCACCTGTAAAATTACAATTATGTAAACCCTTGCAGCTTCTTGCAAAAGAGTTCATTGGGTATGGTCAGATGTGCCTGTGTCCATAATGGGACAGGCGTGTGGTATTTGACGAAGGGAGTAGAACAGTACTAAGTCTGTCCCTTTGTAAGTCTTTGGACTTGCTGTTTCAGTTGTGAAATTTTCTCACTTGTAACTCTGTACCCGCCAAGGTATTCTGGAACAAAGTTGTTCAAATTTCAAGATTGAGGACTGTGGGGATTAGGATGAAAGGAAATGTTATTTATTTTACCCTTGTAGATTTTGCCAACTGTAAACGTTGTGGAGCCAGCTACAGAGCCCTGCCCAAGAGTTACCAGCAGCCCAGGTGTAGCGGACGCTCAGCTCTCTGTAATGAAGTCATCAACGACACCTGGGTGTCTTTCCCTTCCTGGTCGGAAGACTCCACGTTTGTTGCCTCAAGGAAGACGCAGTACGAGGAGCACATCTATCGTTGCGAGGATGAACGCTACGAGGTAAAGTCTAGGTTGATGTCAGATTTTAATGGTGTAAACGCTTACCTTCCCAAATCTGTCAAAACCTATCGGTTTGGTTTCACAAAAGATTTTATTGGATTGAGGAACATGGAAACCCGCTGCTGTTGCAGTACATTCGGGGGATAACGCCCCCGGGTCAGTCAAAGAACGAAGATTGCACCATTGGTTTCCTACAGAGGAACTGGTGGATTTTCATGGGTGTGGGATTGAGTTTGAAGGTTCTCAACAACAGTGCCTGTAAAGTTGAGGTTTTAGTTGTTACTGTTTCCGTAAATATTACCTAGCCTAACTATCAGCTGATATCTTCTTCACGCAAAGTTAAAGATTTTGTCGGAAAGTCACTTAAATTCAAGGCCTACAAAACAGAACATGAAGACTGAACATGAGAATAGCAAAACTCGTTGAATCAACAGTAAAAACAAACTAATCCCCTCAGGATGGATCGTCTAACAGCAGTTGTCAGTTTCAAAATGTGTGATCTGTCACTCTCAACTAAAGACTCCATGTGCTGTCCCTGTTGGTTCCAGCTGGACATAGTGATTGAGGTGAACGCTCACACAATACGAATCTTGGAGCACGTGGCCAAGAAGCTGTCGCGCATGTCCCCGGAAGAGGCCAGCAAGTTTCGGCTGGACAACCACTTGGGAGGCAGTTCAGAGACCATCCACCGCAAAGCCATACACAGGTAAATCCTCTGCTCATCTCGAAACTTTACCAAAGCAGAGAAAAGCATTTGGTTACAAAAAGTAGGCCCCCGTCCACAATGTCTAGATGTTTGTACACATATTTCCGTTGCCTGGCTCTCTACTGACGCTCACCAAGCATGCTGGTCTGTGATATTGGCCCCAAAGCTGAAAACATTTGAACCCCAGTGTTCTTAGCAAAAAGGTAGACTCTTGACTTCGACCTCGAGCTCACAACTGTTATTACTGAAGATCGACCCTTACTGAGGCAGAAGCACAAACTCACAGTGCTGGAAACGGAAACAAAGTCAGGAGAAACATGGATACTTCTAAAATTGTGTACCCTGCCAAGAATGGAATGTCTTTTGGTTCAGCTGCCTTTTTGTTAAAATGTGCATGTTTTGTCTTCGTGCGTGGTAATTTTATCGGTCAGTTAAAGCACGACAGTTGTGCCTTTCTATTTGTGCATTTAAATTCTGCAGTCCTTCTTTGTCAAAGAGCAGGTGTAGTGTTAACACAGTAATCGTGAAGATGTGCACCTCAAGTGGAGTAGACTTTAGTCACCTTTCCATGTCTGTTTGGCTTTGCAGAATATATGGAGACAAGGCACAAGACATTATTGAGGGGCTTAAGAAGAACCCTGTTGTTGCTGTGCCCTTGGTTCTCAGAAGGTGAGAAAATATCTAGTCGGTGACCCACTAGGAAGTCTGCCATAAAGAGAAGGAATAGAAAAGGAAGGGGGCTGAAGTGTACGTCTGATTCAAGCATTGTTTAGCTTTGGCTTTTGTGCCAGTGACATTACTGTGATGTGGGCAGTCCAGGGACCAAAATGTCTGCTGTTGATGTGGCTTCTACCCTTACCCTGGTCGACACGGCGGGGCACCACAGTGTTAAATATTTGTGAGTCCGTTTGCATCAGGCTGCCAGCAGCAGCACAGCTGCCACTTCGTAGACAATGCTTGCTGATCCTATCTGCCTCGAGCAGAAGCACCCCCTCATCGGTTGAAAGGAATTGCATTGGTCGGGAGTGTTCAATTTACTGGTAGCGATACAACCGTGACACATATATTTCCTAGTCATTAGTGAACCGGCGAAGTTCAGTTCTGACCAAAGGAGTCTCTGTTGCAAAGAAAATAGCGCCCTCGTTTGGTCCAACTCAAGGCCCGTTTGACGTCACTTTTGGATTGATAAACAGGCAGGGAGGGACTCTCGGGCTATTTGTTCTTGGAGAAGGTTGACCTGTTTAAGAGCTTGTCACAGGCTTATGGTGCAAGTTGTCTTGTGTTGCTGAACTTTTAAGCCAAAATACTGTGGGCCTGGGTAAGTGTTAATACATTGTCCAACTTAACAATACTTAGTGACTCAACCTGAATTTGAAGTTGCATCCCCCCTTCCTTTCTCACTGTGTGAATTGTTCAGGTTAAAAGCCAAGGAGGATGAGTGGAGAGACGCACAGCGCAGCTTCAATAAGATCTGGAGAGAGCAGAACGAGAAGTACTACCTCAAGTCTCTGGACCACCAGGGCATCAACTTCAAACAGAACGACACCAAGGCCTTGCGCTCCAAGAGCCTGTTGAATGAGATTGAGGCCATCTTTGATGAGGTATTCTCGCTGTAATTAGGGCTCTTTTTGGAGAAAGTTGCTAAAGATGGTAGAACATGAGAGTATTGGCTCATTTGATGTTGTGGCTCTCCCATGGGCCGTGGTGTATGGATCTGTCCTGGGTACTGGTCAAATATTGTACATTTGAACAGTGAAGTTAAACTGGTGTAATATTGCAGTTGATCATGTGAGTTCAAGTTTCTCCCCAGCAGTTCCCCTAAAATGAATATGCTCCTCATGCACAACAAGACAGATGCTTCAGCCATTTGTTCAATGTCATCATTTTTGAGGAGGGAATTTAGAATGAGCTATAAACTCAAGCTAATCGGGTTTGCTCATCCCTACCGTCTTTACGGCACACTGAGAAGGGCAAATGTTTTCAGAGCACATGATGTAATTTTTTTTCGGACATTCATTGGACAGAGTTGACACAGGTCAAACTTGGCGGGCGCATGACTTGTGTGCATTGATTGTACATGCCTCGATTAGGACAACAAGTAACCCACAACGCATTGCATGTGTAGCTGCAAAGACCTGCAAAGGGCAGTAGCCTTTCTCCGGGTGATGAGTAAAATAAGAGCGTAAGAGGAAATGGCAATGTAGCCCCCCGACCTTTGGTCACAGACAGGAATTTGCCCCTTTTCCTGAATGTGAGAATTTAGGTTTAGAATTTGACATAGGTTTCCATTTGGAAGTGGTTCCGAAGTTTGTTCAGTTGTAAATCACATCTGATAATAATAATAATAATATTCAGTTCTTCCATAGTGCATATTATGGAATGTCTCCATGCGCTTATCATCATCATCCTTGCACATTGGGCTCACATCATCTGAACATTCCTGTAACCATCTCAGCTCCCTGGGGAGTATACTAGCCTGATGCTGCCATTTTGACACTCACGACCAAACATAACTGTGTCTGCCCTCGCAGGTACCCATGGTACCTGATGGTTGTAAAACTTCTTTGCCTTGTCATCCCTTGCGTTTAAAGAGGCAGGAAGCAATGGGCGACAACACCTCCCCTCACCTGTCCTACACCTACATGGACAAGCACATTGTGGATGACGCTGCCGCTGTGATCATTCACCACATGAAGAGGCATACAGGTAAATAGGGGTGGTGTCTTGTGGTCACCGCCCTGGGTGCGGGAAATTTGGGAGAGGAGAGCAGAAGGGGGGGAAGGTTAAGGCGATGGGGGACTCCCTGTCAGATCGTTGCTGTGATTCTTGGTTCTTGCTTCTCTTCGGTCTCGGAGGAGATACATTGGCATTTGATGTATGATGAAGTGTGGAGATACAAGATTTGTTCTGGATGGTTTTAGTCCATCTAAGGAGAATTTGTGAGAAGTTCCTTTATCGATAGTGATTTATGAGAACTGCCCAGGAATGTCCTGTATGCGATATGAGTTCTGTGATAAGACAAATGAGAGAGATCCACTTCCTCATAACATTGGGGAGCAAACTTAATTTTGCTGGCAAACTTGTGTTAGCAAGCAGCATGAGCCGAATACAATCATCATTGTGAGCTCTAGTAGAACCCTGGATTGGCCGTACTCGTTGCTAACAGCATAATCCCAGAATGTTCTCTGTGATTTCATGGCAGGCATCCACAAGGAGGAGAAGCAGAAGATTAAGCAGCTGCTCCATCATTTCCTGCCGGACTACATGTTCTTGGAGCGGGGTGAGCTGTCCGATGATGAAGACGAGCAAGAAGAAGAAAGTAAGTCGGAGCCCTAATAGTCCTCAATCCTCCAGCTCCACCTTTAAGGGTGGAGTTGTAGCCCCCGTCTGTTGCACCTTTGGCTTCACTGTGTTTATTCTGCCACAGGTGTCTGGTTGCGATAACCTCTACCCATACACTTTTATCCTCAAGTTGAATGGAACCTTCTGCTTTAGAGGATTTCCTTTCAACTTCTCCCACAGTTCCTTGCATATCAAGTTTCTTGGCTGGATTGTTGTAATTAGTGGCATTTGTGGAGAGTGCATTGCCAAGCAGCACAGTCATCCTAAGGCGTATTAGGGCCAAAACAAAACCATAGTTAAACCACATGGCCCCTTTTTGCCAGGAACTGGTCATGCGCAAACTTTAACGCTGTAGTAAATCTGTGCAACGATCCCAGTAATCATGAGATAGTAGCGGACGTTCTTCAAACTTAATCAAAATACTGGAGCAGGATTATTGGAATTTTCAGTTACATTTAAACTTCTCCAGATTAAGGAAACCTTGGTATGATTCATCACTGCGGTTGTGTAGAACTAATGTGTTGTGTATGACTGTTAAGAATTACAGGTTATCAGTGGCAGGAAGTTTCCTGGACCTCTGATTCCTCAGTAATACATTAAGCTTCCAACCAAAAATTTAAACCTGGTTTCCATATCGACATAAGAAATGCAGAGAACAGTGTAATTAAGACGCAAACTGCAGCGCAGACAAATGGAAACATGTCAGATGGAAGTATCGGCAATAACGCAAACCAGCCCCAGTTCAACTTTGCCAACCATCTGCATTGAGTTGCCAAGGAGGCCTATACAAACACGCACGCTGGCATGACGGGCTTACGACAATGTTTCTTTTGCTTGGTACTGCTCATTTTGTTCAATTTCTCCTTATTACTAGCATACAGCCCCAATCGTCAACAAAATAGCTGACCATTAATAGATTACATCAAACTGGACTTTGGCTTCAAGGGGCAACATTTCCACCTGAAAAAGGCATTTTTGGGCGAAAATTTTCCGAGTTTCTGACGCCATTTTGTTTAATTTTTGGGGTTTAATGGCGTTGTGCAGCATCTCTTCCGTGACAGTCTACTTCTTGACGTCTTGCGGACCGTCTGCGTTACAAACGACCTTACGGAAACCCGGCTTTACCCAAACGTTGTTTTTCTCCCTAAATAATTGTGACAAATTTCTGTTAATTACAAACTGAAGCATAGAATGGTGTCAAAACTGAAGACTTCATTTAAAATTGATGATGCTTTTTTGGAGATGATCTTGATAACGCGAGGCAATTGCTTTTTAAAGTTTTGTTCAGTGGGATGTACCACAGCAATCTGAAATTGAATTAAGTGATTGCATGCACTTAGCAGGATAAACGCATGCACTTAGCAGGATAAACTGTTTAAATTTCTGTTGGACGGAAAAAATGAATTAATATGGTACGTAATTGAAAACAACTCCGTAATGTAACATATGCTTGAAATAAAGTTTTAAATGTTATTACAAAACTCTGTAGAGTCAGTAATCATTACTTTGATACCAAAGTAATGATTACTGACTCGTACTTTGGAAGGAAATAAATATTACATTTTGGTTGCGCTTTACTTCAGGTTTTAAAATCTGATTTGTGGAAGTGTAATTGAAATACCCACAAAGCACACAACACTGAAAATCAACTTGTGGATGGCTAAATTAGTCCGATTTTCTGTGTGTGTAGCCGTTGAAGCTGCTATCGCTCTGGCTGGGATGGATACCGCACCATCCGAGAATGTCTCATCACAGAAAGAGAGCAAGAAGGCATCTCTCATGATGACCAACGGGCCCTGTGATGACACTGCCTGGGACTCGGTGAGTGAAACATAAATGCTCTCGGAGTTGCAGTCATTTCATGTCTCTTCATCAGAAAATCATGCCTCATGCAGTTGCGTACTTTGAAAATCAGCAATGTGTTATAAATCTAATGTGAACATACTTTGCTCAACTGCAGTCTTTAAGAAAAATCTTAATTAAGATATTCCTTTTCAGTCAGCCTTCTCATTAAACCTTTGCCTTTTTGTTGTTTTATTGCCTTTTTCCTTTGATGTGCAGCACTTTAATCCATGTTGAAGGCGCTCTATAAATGGGTCATTCCATGAGGTTGGGGCACAATTTGTGACGGCGTCCTTGTTACACGAGTAACTTTTACCACCTGTCATGACCTGTAGAGTCGGTCATTTACTCTGTGAAAGTAACACACATCTCTGTATTCAGCCTTGCAAGATGTATAATTTGGAATCCAGGGAAATAGCTGTTTATTTTAACGGAACCCATGTAACAATGGACACTGTCACAAATTGTGCCCCAACCTTGTGGAATGACCTAAATACCTTTATTATTATTGATTGTATCTCGTCCATTTGACTGAAATTCTTTTTTATGCAACTATAAGTTATACCAGGTAAGATATGGGATGGACGGGTACCCCCCCCCCAATACCTGTCCAATCCCTAGACACACTCTAGACTATTGTTACCTAACACATCCCACCTAAAAGTCAGTCAAGAATTCCTGAGATTCCGATCAAACAATGACCAACACAAAGGGGGGGTCCTCTGTCCCATATCTTGCTTCAAATGCTTTAAGTTTAGAATGGGTACCATATTCAAGGATTTAGGCTCAAGAGAATGGCATCCTTTTTTGACCTCTTGTCCATTTTCCCCAGGATGATGTATACCACCTGTTCTTTGTCAATAACAACTGGTACCTGTTCATGAGGCTGCACTACATCTTGTGCGACAGACTGCAGAAGATGTACGAGAGGGCAGAGATTATCGCCAAGGCGGAGGGCGGTCCTAACCGTAAGGCAGCAAAGGAGTCCACAGCCGTGGCACTGGGCCTGAAACAGCCATGTGAGTATTGGCTTGTTTCTAATCCTTGCTACATTCTGTGAATTTGACTGTCTCTTTGGCAACTCTGTATGAAAGCTGTTGACCCCAGCTCCCAAGAGACAAGTTGTAGGAGGAGCCGTGTGAAGATGTCATAATCCATCCCTCTCAGGAAATGGGCACATTATTATCAGACCTGCCAAGATGCCGTACTCCTTCCTGAGTTTTGGCATTACCACACAATAGATTAAAAATCTAAATGAACTGAAGGCTCATTTAAATACCTTTTAATCTATTGTGGTAATGCCTGACATCAGGAAGGAGTACGACCTGGTTGGCAGGTCTGTATTGTGTGCTTGAACTTTTAAATGTTGCGGAGCCCCATGTGGAGAAGTTTTCTTGGCCGAATGAAATCTGGAAGTGTGGGTTCTGTTAATGCTATCAACTGTAGTGCTGTGAATATGAAGATCACTCTGTAAGACTCGGAGAATTTATTGTCTATTTTGCCACCTAAACCTGTTTCTATTTTTGAAATCACTGATTGAGTGATCACGCATAATCTGCAACACTCTCCTGTGGCATATCCTGTCATATGGGTCTCCAAGATCGTGTAAGGATTGCACTCAGGGCGGTTGCTTCTCATTGGTCGTCAAGAATACTGTGAAACTACTGGCTAGTGGCTACAGCAGTTTCCCACAGAGATGTGTGTTGTTGCGAGTTGTAGCCAAGTCATTCAGACACGGTTAGACAGCTGCAGACTCATCCAATCATGGGTCTCTCATGAACAGCCCAATTTGCCCTCAACAGCTTTGCACATTGTGGATAGTTATCAGAGAAAAAACATGCCACAGTTGTTAACACATTGACTGCTGACTACGAGTATACTTGTAGTAACAGGTGTACCGGAGTCTGCCACTACGAGTATACATGTAGGAAATGAAAGGCTATTGTAACGTAAATTGAATAGACTAGCATCACTAAAGAACACAATAAACACGCTGCTGGTAGTAGTGAGGGTATACATCCACCAAATGCTCATGTTCAAATAGACTCCTGAAAGGTACTTATCAGATAAGCGCGCATGCGTACAATGCTTGGCAAAACGTCCCTTTGAAATTATGCGCAGCCGTCAACGTGCTAAAGCCTTTAGTTGCATATGAACCTCAGCCACTTCAAATGAGATTCCAACACACTGTGGCTGAACTATACTGATATTGCAATACTGTCCTGTGCTCTTCACCAGTGGAGATTGAACCTGAGGAATATTACCCAGCATTCCTTGACATGGTGCGTAATCTTCTTGACGGTAACATGGAGAGTAATGCATTTGAGGACCAGCTTCGTGAGATGTTTGGGATTCACGCGTACATCGCGTTCACCATGGATAAAGTGGTGCAGAACATTGTTCGTCAGGTGAGCTTTGAACCGTTGCTGCATACGAATGACAAATCTGCCGACCTTACCTTTCGGTCGCTTTTTCAAAATATTACTTAACTTGCCCAATTGCTTTTCCAAGATTCAGTCGGTGGTGCAAAAGGTTTCATTTTCAGCTTAATGTCAGATGATACCTTTGCATGCTAGGTTAGTGGGTAATAAATACAGAATGTACAGTACAAGAATCAGGAACAAAGGTTTTGTTATCAGCAGTTGGAATTAGTTTAGGTTTTTTTTACCAAACTTTTTTTTGGGGGGGGATTTGGAAATTTTACTTTCGTTGCGAATTTCCGATACGACAGGGAAAGTGCAGAAGATGATACATGCATGGTTATCTAGTGCTCGGATACTTGTCATGGAATACAAGTAGTACTTGCATATTCATCACTTGGACAATTAACTGATGAATATGCATTGTATTCATGGTGACAGCTGCAGCACATTGTCTCTGAGGACACCTGCATCAGTGTCATGGAGCAGTACCTGGCCGAGATGAAGTCGGGAGGAGCTGGGGGATCACACTCGTCGGCTGCGGCCCGCCTCAGTGCCGAGTCAGCGTATCAGCGGAGGGCAGAGCAGCTGCTGGCAGACGAGAACTGCTTCAAAGTCCTCTATGTGAGTCTCTCACCTGAGCGAGGAATTCTGTAGGCTGTACAAACTTTGACGACATTTGTTGATCAAGTGGCTTTGTATGAGAAGGCAACTGAGTTTTTGTGGGTCGCTCCGCTTTGAGCAGAAGTACCCCCTCATTGGTTGAAAAGAGTCATGTTGGTAGGCAATTAATTTGGTTGGTAGCGATGCAGCCGCAATGCATGCAATTCATTGTTGTTTGTGAACCAGTGACGTGCAGTTCACACCAAAGGAGCTGCTGTTACTTGGAAAATTACACCCTCTCTTGGTCCATCTTGAGGCTGATAAATGGTCAATAACAAAACAGTGCTTTTGGTGGTGTAGCCCAACTAGGTTTCAACTTTTTCATGTCAAGTTGATTTTTCTTTGCTCTGTCTAATCAGGTTTTCGCCCATGAGTAAACCCTGACCCTAGCAGATCCTTCAGAATGCTTGGGAGATGTCAGGATTTGGGAGGATTCAGAAAGCCTCTTGGGAAAAATTTATAGTTGAGGTTAATGTTAATGCTAAGCTCATTTTTGTTGAACTCATTTTTATCAGTTGAGAACAAAATGAGTGCCCTGTAGGGGAAAATAAAAGAAATTTAAAAGTTCACTAAGTCATAAATTGCTCTATGTCTGGAGATTTCTCATTCAGGTTAAGTTTTTTCTCCTTCATATGACAGAATAAGAGTGACAGGAAGTTGACCATTGAGCTTCTGGACACAGAGGAGGATCACAGCGATGACCCAGTGGAGGTCGAGAAGTGGTCAGACTACGTGGAGAAGTTTGTGAACGGCGAGGACACCTCGGCAGAACTGAGGGACCAGCTGGCCAAAAAGCCCGTCTTCCTGACCAGGTGGGTGGCAGGTTGATCCTGGGGGTGAGCCTCGGCAGTTCTAGCAAGCTTTTTTTTCAATCGTACTGGGAAACAAAGATGATGAGCGAAAAAATTGACTGTAACTTGGTTTGACCTTGCGACCTCTCAATACAGCATGGGTGCTCTACCAACTGAGATATCCAGCCCAGTGTCAGTGGTTCCTCCCAATTTGTCAATACTTTTGTCCAGAGGTGCTTGTCAGAAGAGAGATTTTTGACTGGGTACCTTAAGATCACACCGCTATCTATTTTAGTTGTAAGTCATTAGCTGAGTTCTTTGGCGAGTAGTTTCTTCTTTTAATGAAGCTGTGATGGTTTTGTTTAACCCTAACAGTCCTCAGTCCTCCAACAGATGAAGGATTGAGGACTGTTAGGGTGAAGGATATGACTTCAGAAATGTTTTGTTTTGGTTTCATTATGCTGAAGATGGGAATTGTTATTAGGAAATTGGTCTTCAGAGTAAAGAATTCAACCAATTGTACTGTGCAACTTCATAGGGCAGATTGCAGCAGCATTCCGTTGATGAATACCAAATTGTCCATTGAAACTGTACCACAAATGTCTTGGTATGGATGCAACAACAATCAATTCAGTGACTGATTTTGGTACTTTGTGTCGGGTGCGGTTATTCTCATGATTTTAGGAATATCCGAAGGACACGGCAGCAGAAAGCCGTCACTGAGGAAAGCCGCCCCTCAGAGGCTGACAACAGTCAGGAGAAAACTGAGGAAGCCGACAAGCCCAATCAGGACAAGAAACCTGAGGACACGGACGAGAAGGAGGACGCGACAAAGGCCAAGGAAAATGCCAAAGACGAGGGAACGCCCCCTTTGGAGGCGGGGCAAAAAGAAGAGGAGGAGCCCAGTCCGACCGAAGAGAAGGCCAAACCGGCCAAGGAGAAGGGGGCGGAGAAGAAGGAGGTGGATCCGCTGGAAGGCGTGGACATGGTCAACAACATGGAGTGCAAGTTCAACCTCAACTCCTACAAGATGGTCTATGTGGTTAACTCAGAGGACTACATGTACAGGAGGACTGCACTCAAGAAAGCCAGAGAAGTAAGTGACCTCACTTCTTGAACATTCTGTAGAATTGTATAGATCGTTTAAAGGAGTTTGATGGTTGAAAGGTTAATTCTATTTGGCAACATTTGGGGTAAAACTTGACTCAAATGGTGGGAGTTGATAACAAGATTTCCAGTAAGTTCTCATAAATTGGAAAAGAGAGCCCTAATTGTTCTGCACGTTACTGAATGTAGCTGAGAAGTACATCATAATATAGAATTTCAACATTTGTTATGAGATTCTTCTCCCTAATCCTTGGGGAAATTTTGCTATAAAGTTTGTAAATTCTCCAAAACCTGGCAGATTTCGAAGCATCTAGGATGGTCAGGGCTATCAGTAACCTTTCAGTATTCCTGACCAGTGAGCACACACCAGGGTTTACTAGTACCAATAATTCTGTCTCTCTGGTTTCAGTCACATTGGCGGGTGACAGAGCGCCTGGCTGCCCGTTTCAACAAGTTCCTGGATGCTTGGAAAAGCAGCCACATCAGCAGACGGCAGGAGGCCGATGTGGAGAACTGGTTCCTGGGGAAAGTGGACGATCTTGTGCCCTGCGAGACCACCGTCAAAGAGGTCAAATCAGCCAATGGGATTAGGCGGAAGTTCATTGTTGACTACTATGAGACGGAACCCCCAAAGGTATCGGGAAGTGGTACTTCCTGAAAGTGGCTCGCACTTCATAACCCTCCCCCTGAAATTCAATATTTAAAGACTGACGAGATTTAGGGCACGTGTCTCATATTTTTTCCCCGTCACAAAGAGGATTGCTTGTCATGTATCAGTGAAGGAGATGTGAGCCTTGGAGCATGTTTGCGACTCATCAGTTAAAATGTAAACAAATCTTATTTGGGACGAAATGCCAGGCAAATAGTTGACACTGTCTTTTGTGGGTTTTCGCAAATCACAGGAGTAAAAAAAAGGTAATGGTGTGTCCAACATGCCGTTGTCTGTCACCGACTGTCAAAACACACAATACTTCTCAGTCTGTGAATATTTTGTAAACAAAAATAGCCATTTATTCCTTGTAAATACATTTGAAGGACAAAAAGAAACAGTGTACAGAACTTTTGACGTGACTTCGATTGATATCAAACTAAACTAAAATTAATGTAACACAAAGTATTCCATTTGTAGCTTCATGTAATGTAATCAACACATTTTTTATAGTTTTTCTGTAGAGTTTCTGTCACGATTCCAGAAAATTGGCTCCGTTTTGACAGTGTAGATGTGAATGTGTACTTGAAACCGACATGTAGGTTCTAGCTTCAGCCATAATGTGTGAATACTCTTTTTTAAATGTTCAGTTTTGATAAAAGCTGACTTTGAGGACGAAAAGCTGATGAAACGAATTGGCTAGGGATTTGAGATGTTGCCTGTGTACAGCTCTGAAAAGCTATTTTATTGTAGTTATTTTCACAACAAATGGGGGTTGAAGTCCAAGTCGATTACAAACTTGAAAATAGTGCTGTGTATTTTTGTCACTCAGTTCTCTCCTCTGAGGTTTTTAAAGAGTATTGTAAAAAGTTCATCGTTTGTATTGGTTATCACTTCCATTTCACTCTAGGTGAAGGATTACAATAGATTTAGTTGGAACATTCTAGATTAGGTCGTGTTCATGAGTTCCGATTTGTCAATTTTCCTCAGTCCAGAGGGGGGGCGAGGGGGCAATTTTTAGCAGAAAACTACCATGTTACATTTCAGGCAGTGCCATGTTTGGGTCCACTTGTTGAATGTTCTTTTGTTGATTCTGTTCCCCAATTTAGCCGAGGACTTCCCAACAAAGAGCTTATCGGTTGATTTTTTTAAATGCCTTGTTGAATCACAGTCCAACCAAATCCAATTGCCAGACCCAATATAAGCTGCCAAAAACAGAACTTTCCCTGTGCCAATTGTTGGGTTCTGTACAGTGAAATTTGAAATCAAGGCAGAGGGTAACCCCAGTTGCCACGATAGAAATTGTTGATCTCCTGATCAGTGAAACATTGACGAATCTCTCAAAGATCGTCTCCTACAGTTCCAGTGTTATTTGCGAGTTTCAAGAGTAGCAAGAATGAAAAGACCGACAAAATAGTTTCCAGAAATCATTGTTATTGAGATGGAAAAATGAAACCCTGAACTAGAACATTCACACTTGGAAAAGTCCCATTCTGTATTTATTTATTGAAATCTATTAAAGGTGATGTTTTTCATTTGGAAAGGAGTTATTCCAAAGATGACCGGAAGAAACGTGAAACTTCCGGTCAACAGTACAAGAGGAGCTTGTCACAAGTTAACGTGATGGGCATTACTGTCATCATAGTGAAGAATCTTCCAAGTACAAGTGTCAAGATTTTCAGAAATGGAGTGATTTTAATATTTTTGGGATATTTGTACAAAGTAAACAAGTATTTCAGTGTAGGAACTTCTGAAAATAAAACCAAGATATTGTATTTGAACTAGTGTGACGTTTGGTCGCATTTTTTTCATGCTCTAAGTACAGTTTCTGCATAATCCCAATTCTGCGTGGACTTTACCAAGAGTGAGTTTCTTATTTTTTAATGTTTGAATGTAGCACGAAATTCACGTACCTAGAGGCACTTTTGTCAAGCATATGGAATCATTTTCCATCAACTAATCCCAAATAAATATACAACACGTGCAAATTGTAAAACGAATGGAAGGCAGGCAAATGTTCAAGAACTCCGCCAGAACTCATGGTTACATTAGGGTAAACGTACTTCTTTTGTGGTGGTGGCCACGAACACCAGTAATAAGCATTTTCAATTGAAGATTTGTTGAACTAGAAAACTAGATAACACCCTGTGAAATCCAAAGGGACAAGAAAGGTTAATAATTTGAGGTATTAAATCTAAATAAGCCATGTCCACTTGTATGATAATAAAATCTAAGATTACTATTTATAAAAACTCAACAGAAAAAGCAAATTTCCATGTACTTCAAAATTAAGTGCTTACTTTCTCTTGAAGGGTGAAAATTATTTTGGTGGGTTTCTTAGTACTGCTGAACATCTTCCCTCAACTTCAATACCGGCGATTTACAATAGTGCGCCTCCAAGAGTTTACAAGGCGTTGGCCCATCGCAATGCGTGAAATCTGTCAACCGTTTCCATACATGCACTGTGTCGACAGATTTCGCTTATTGTGATTGACCACGGTGTTGCAAACTCATGGAGGCACACTGTTGTGAATCACCCACATACTTACTGCAAACATTTCATCAGAATTGTTGATTTGCATCCGAGTGAAAGTAATTTTTAAACCTTGAAGGGTTACCCCCTAAAAAGGACAAATGAAAGTAAAAAACATGAGTGTAAAAAACTTCAAGGTATGCTAATATTCTGAGTATTCACTGCCAAAGCCTCTGAAATAAGCAAAAAGAGAATCACCCAAATCCTTGGATATTGTAAGAGTTGTTGGGAATGCCACTGCACCAATAGAGCAAGTAAAAGAAAAATCCTGCCACAACATTTAAAGGCTAATGTTATTTTTCTTTGCCTTTGATGTAATTGGGTTTATAATTCCTCTTTTTGTTTGTCCTTTTCGGCGCTAGCCTTGTCAGTGGGATCACCAAGCTCTTTGTCCCCTGTGTCCTCATCATTTTGCTGGAAGAAGATGCCATCCTTGTCTTTTTCTACATCTTCCGACAATATTTTGTCTTCCTTCTTGCTTTCTTTTGAGTCTCTCTTTGAGGTTTTGCCCGTAGCATTCTCCTCCGACTTGTCTTTGGTTGGTTCGACTGTCCTGGTGCGATCTTTCTTAGAATCCTGTTTGGAATCATCTGGCTTGCCCGACGAAGCCTTAGATTTCGTCTTCTGTTTGGCCGCCTTTGGCTGGCTCTTCTTTTTCTTGTCTGGTTTACCGTCTCCGACGTCATCCAAGCCAACGATCTTGGCTTTCCCATCTACCTCTTTCCCCGATCCTTTGCCATAGTAGACCTGACTTTCAATGGTGACCTCTTCGCATTCATCCTGTTGGATGAGGAAATCCTTGATTTCCCAGGCCAAACTGCCATCTGACAGCAGGAAGATAGCTCGATTACTGCTCACTGGATATCTGGACAAATCAAAACATGAAGGTTACTCAAACGTTATTTCGTTAGCTCTATTATTTCTGTGCAGTTTTTTAAAAACTTTCTGAACCTGCCTAGCTGTTGGCTACCGTAAGTTTTCTTGAACATGAACTAAACTAATGACATTATAACGCCCAAAATAAAGAGTGTCAGCCAGGGCTTTGACAGTGCATTTCAAAATTACTGAGTAAATTCTCATTAGCCTTTTAGAAGCATGGCGGACACAATAGGACGGCGCTATTTGAAGTGGGTAAATTTGGAATAAACGCAAAAAATTTCACCCAGATCAAATAGCGCCCTCCTATTGTGTCCGCCATGCTTCTAAAAGGTGAATGGACTTGAGGTATAAAAGTTGAAACACGAGCCACAGAAGATTAAAATAAAATAGAGCACAATTTGTGTACTGATCATGCCACCATAGATGCAACTGTAACAGCCCTCCAGCTTGAAATTCACTTGCTCAAATTAAGTGGGATTGTGGAGATCATCACTGAAACACTCCATTTAGGACTTCATTAAACAAAATGGCTTGAATGTGAGATGAGAAAATAAGGTTTCTGTACAATTATTCAAAATGAAAAAGTGAATTAGCACAGCACAGTGGCTTACATGGTACATGAAGTGACATACATGTGTCCATGTCTTTAGTCCATGGTTTGGGGAGAATGGAATTTTTCATCTGGAACCCCCTCCCCTTGGCAGATGGTAGTTTTATTCTGGAATAATGCCGATTATTTCGTAATTAAAAATGAAACAAACAATGCTAGCATGTTTCCTGGGGTGACAACATCCCCCCCACCACTAGATCTGCCTTAGTCCAAGTAACGTGGACTCTACGGATCACTCATTATAACATTTGGACATGGTGGAATCAGTTGATGCAAGGGAAAGCTTTTGGAGAGTACTTGGATTCAACCATTGCACAACAATGACCAAATGTTAAAATGGGCGATTTGTAGAGTCCTAGTTACTCAGACAAGATCCACAAGTGGGTACATGCTGCACTGTAGTGATAAAAAACATAAAAAAAAGAATTGGGGACACACCACAGCCTGGCAGCCTACCTCTTGAACTGGTAGTTTGCATTGAACAGCATACTTTGCCAGCGGTTGGTGATCTTTTCTGACTCCTCCTCAGTCGGGTTTCCCGCCACCGTGACAAACATCATGAGAGTCTTGCCCTTCTTGGTCAGTTTTATTGCTGACTCAGGGTTGCTGGGGTCAATCTGGGACAGGTCAACTTTGGGAGGAGGTCGCTCATGCTCCAAAAGGTCATCAGGGTCATGTTCATCCTCATGTTCCTGAAAAAAGATTAGGCCTAATGAGAAGAATCGTTACAAAAAAGACGGCAGCATGAGATGGGTGGAAACTAGCATGATTCCCAAATTAGGGTTCTCGCAAGATGAGGCGGAATGCATATTTGTATGCAGATGAGCTTTATGATTCACAAATGCCAACAACGGGAAGAGTTCGAGATGCCAGTAATTGTTCCCTACAGTGACCTATAAAGCAAAAACATATCCAGAAAAGTTCAATTTAGGAGGAAAAAATCCAAAAGCTTTGGACAAAAAACACATTTTTCAGACCAGTCCCATAGGGTTTGTGTACAGGGTGTCAAGTGGCATCCCTATACATGGTACCTACCAGTATACAGGTATATGGCACTCTTTCCCCAACAACTATCTCATAAGTCACTGGGCATGATGGAAAACCTTTCTTTTCTTGGGTGAAACATTTGCAGAAAAGCCTTCTCCTGATACCCTAACAAGACCTCATTCATGTCATTCCCCTTCCATACACAGAGCATATTTCTAGATGCAAAGCCCAACTCAGGCATGTCAAACTGGTCATAGGTTTCGAACAACCAACCATAGTTCCATGGGTAACTCACCTCCCATTCCATGAACAGTCGTTCCATGTCAGCATCGTTGTAATCGCGTATATCTTTTTTCTTCTTCGGTTTTGTGTCTTGTTTTATGTCTTGATCCCCATCTGTCTGTCCAGAATCAACCCCCAAGCACGAGAGGAGGAGAAATGCAACGAGAAGTGGAAGAATGAGAAGTCGTCTGTTTGCAGTCATCGTGTTTTGTTCCCGCATTGGCCCGCAAACTACTACTTTAGTACACATGTACAGTTAGAATACAGCGGGGGTATTATTATAATTTCTGTTCATTGACCAATCCGCAAATAGGATTACGTGTACTTGCCCAAGCGGTTCATTGGGAGCAAGACACGTGTTTGCCTAAGACCATCCAGCCGTGAAATGAACTGGCTAAGACTATGGGGCTGGCCGGACTAAGTGTATTCATGCATGGGGACCTATCTGCAAGACGTTCAAACGGCAAGTGTGGGGGATTTTCTTATCGAATACGCATATTTTCAAACGAAATATACCCAGGCGTCTCAGAATGATGAAGAATATGAGAACTAACCTTTGCCAGCGGTCTACCCGACTATTTCTTTTAGTCTGGTGCCAGTGTGCTGAAAAACACGAGAAAATTTTAGTCACGAATTTCATATTTGCCATCAAAGATTTCCGGGTACCGTACCAGCTGATAAGCACACAGCACACAGGAAACGACGTGAAAAGAAAGGAATCCTGTCATGCTTTTGCATACATATATTTCGAGAAACTTTTGATTGCGTTCCTCAAGGTTTTGGTCGGAGAACATATTTAATACGCTGATGCTTTAAACTGCAAGTATAATGGGGAGCTTAATTTCAAGAATTTGGGTAAGATAATACAGCATGCTGTTAACCACGTTGCAACGATTTTGTGAAGAAAAAATGACAGCGGGCTTAGCCACCAATGTGAAGTTAGTTACTCGTTCGACGTTCAGTGTTGAACGTGTAACGGTTTGATATTCGAACGTTGAATCATGGTTGAATAAACGGTTTGACATTCGGGATGCACATCCCTAACCAAAAGTGAAAAAGAAACCACCAGACCACACTCCGCTACCATGCACATTCATTCACATGCTTCACGTGCACCTAACCGTACATGACATTTAATAATGTATGCACAAACAACTCTCTCCCGCACTCCACAAAGAAAACCAAGGGCAACAAATTTTTCGGGATCAAACAAGCCCAGAAATGTTGGTGATTTTTTCGGCGGTTTAATTATTCAGTTAGAGGAAAAATCAAAGTAAGGGCCTAGTTTTTTTGTATAGGCCTACATGTACTTGTTGTTTTCATCAAAACTATTTCAGCCCATTGAAATATGTTATAACATTTATATCTATCCCACGCCCTGGCTCTAAACTTCTTTTTTTTAAGTGCTTTTGTCGTGTTTGTATACTTTAGCGACCCTGTTGCCTCTATTTCGACCAGGGCAAGGGCAGTTTTCCAGGGTCGAAATGGCTTTGACAAAAGTCTTGTCTGTAGAGTTCTTCACTTGTAAACCAGAGTGGGAAAGTGAATGCATCACATAATACTTTTTTCAAATCGAAATAAAATACTTAAATGCCATGCCCCACGTGGAGATTACATTGAATCTGATGTCATTCTTCTCCTCAATTAGCGACGACTTCTTGCAACCCGGGGCATGGGGTTCTACGGGGTCAAACAAGCCCTGAAATGTAGTTTGCACAGTTTTTATTTTTGTCCCTTTTGCACTCCATCACTTTTAGTGGTGTGCATCCTGAATGTCAAAGAGTTACTGATTCAGTATTGAATATTCAAACAGTTACTTGTTCAACAAATGTCAAGCGTCAAACATGGAATAAGTAACTAACTTCACAACACCCGCTTTGCGCATGACAGAAATTTACCTCTTCAAAATATATCCAATTGGGAAAGATTTCCATATGGGGACACCAGTTATTATTCCCTACAGTGACCTACATGTATCAGAAAGGAAAACATGTCCAGAAAAGTTCAATGTACATGCAGGAGGGAAAAGATCGAGAACATGAAGTAGGCTTAGGGCCTAGTTTACTTCAAAAACACTTTGAATTTTTCAGACTAGTCTCATAGGGTTTGTGCACAGGGTGTCAGGTGGCATCCGGATATGGAACTCTTTCTTCAGATCGACTCAGATACACGTACAGTGGTCTGGAAGTCTATCGCTATTTTTAGTTGTTTATGTTTGAGCTTGTCTGTTAGGATTTTATTAAATATAAGTCTACCCACAGCCAGACATGCCTGAGTATTACCTTTAAAGGTTTGTTCTAATTTTACATTTGAACTGTAACATTAGGCCAACTCAGTTACATGTATGTGTATTTTGCTGTGAACGAGTTGCATATATATACACCTGTACTGTATATGTACGGTAGGCTAAGCATGGTAAGTGGGGGTACCGGTATTTTCGACCAGGAGGAGAATTCGACCACCTTTATACAAAACTACACAGCTGGTCGAATTTCTTACTTCTCTCGTGGGTGAATATGCTGGCCTTTATACTTTTTTTTAAAGCCAACACTGATCCGGCACCATAAGTCACGCCAGTATCACTATTCAGCCAATCTTTGAAAGTGGCACAATTTAAAATATTTGTAACTGGTGCAATATTACTTGTGCAATTTTTACTAGGTTGTACATGTTTCAGATCTGTTCATATCACGACATTATCTTCAACATGATCCAGATTGTCATACCAACTTGCCCATATAACACTGTAATAATAGGCCTCAATATAACATTCCAATACTCACTTTTGATGCTTTTTAGTAAAAAACAAATTGCAGCCACCGTGCCTTTACCAGTTGATCATTCAGCCAGCTGTTTACATGTACATGGACATATTTTCCACAGACATGTGGGAAAATAACAAATGTAACCCTCAATTCCCTTGGCAGGGTTCTCCGTTTTGGGGAAATTCACTGAATCTTCCAAACACTGAACTATGAGAAACCAATGACACATTATTTTGATGTTTGACCACTTTTTCTCCCAGGCCGGTTAGTTTTATACTTCAGAGTCCTCCAAAGTAAAAATTTCCTCTACAGAAATTTTTGGAACCATAAATGTAGTTAAAGGCAGTGAAAGTTGTGGAATTTGCTGTGTTTGTGGATATTATGTACATGTATATACATGTATATTTTTTGGTCTTCATTTTTATTGTGCACATCAATTTCCAGGTTATACATATAACCCATAATTTTCAGCCTGGTTTGTGAATGGTGGGGTCACATTAGTACTTGAACATTCCATGGCCTGCAGCATATCTCAGTTCACGCACAGTATAAATAAAGCTTCTTTAGCATTGAACATGACACACCCGTCATTTTCTCTCAATGCTCGTCCACCTGAACATTTCTTTTTCCTATATCTCTAACCTTGAGTGGCCACTGATGACCTTATGCAGAGCAAATTAATTGTATAAAAAAACAGAAAGCATTTCAAATCAATGTACTTGTAATGCTGTGCATCAAAGTGACAATTCTTGTTTGGTACATACATACGTGTACATGTACACTGTACATACTATTTTCATATGTATTAGTGAGCGCTTCATGTGCAGCTGTTGGCTGGTTACCCAGGCCACTCTCCTCCATTTTGTTCTTGACCCTGATTACTTTATTGACAGCAGAGTCTTTCGTCCTTTTCCTGCAACAGCGCAAGAAGTCAACCATCGAACAGCTGGAGGCCATCGAGAAAAAGATGGAGGCCCTGCTGAGCCTGAAGCGGCGGGACACGCAGCGGGAGAAGCAAATCATGGGCTCCTTACTGCTCTACTCGGTCATTGTCTACCTGCTGATGGCGCTCTTCTTCTACTTCTACTATGAGGCCAAGGACTGGAAGGGGCGGGCAACACAGATCCTGCCATTTCTTCTGTTCCCAGTCCTGTAAGTTCAACTGACTGACATCAAGCTGACATCAACCATCCCAATATCAGCAGCATCTATTGCCCCAAAAGCCCTTGTATAACTAGCAAAAATGCCTGAACCTAATTTCATGGCACTGCTAAGCAAAGAAACTTTACGCTAACAGAGGCTCTGTGTATTTGGTGGAGACCATAAGCAGTAAGTACTAAGCACAGGAAGAGGCTTACTATAATACTTAGAGGAAAAATTGCAATCATTAGCACAATTATGCCAGACACCGTCATAAAATGGTGCTTACCGTTTGCAAAATTGTATGCTATATAGTAAGCACAAATTTTCTGCTAACTTTTCAGCATTGCTGTGAAAGTGGGCCCTGCTGACTTGGAGAAGTTCATCAGATGAACATTTCTATGTTACATTTAGTGTGGAAAGGTTTCCCAGAAATCTAGTAGGTGTAAATACGTGTTATTTTGAGCAACAGAAAAAACTTGCTCAAAGCCTCAACAGAAGGCTCTGTTAACAAACCATTTCTCAATTTGTTCTGTTGTGCAGAATCTTTGGCATTAGGAAGTCGCTACAGTGGTACTTTGTCAAAAGAATAGCAAGAAACCGTAAGTCATTCAGCTTGGTGAAGTCAGTTTGGTATGCTAACAATGTTTGCCCCAAATGAAGCGTGCTAAAGGTTATCTGTTATCAGTGTGGCTGTTTACTGATTCATGAACAGAACATGATCAAGCTTTTATGCTTTGTTGTCAAATGACCTTGCCTTTTTGTAGTACTGACCTGTCTCTTTATTGCTTTGGCAGCATAGGGAAACGTGAGGCAAATAGCTTTTATTCCCCACAGTCCCCTAGCTAAAAGGTGACATTTTTTATGAATTTAAGTATGAGAAAATTCCTTTGTTTGAAGGTTGATGTGGGAATTTGAAGAAAGGGTAGTTTCCATCAAATGTTGTGGTAGATTTTATTTTGTAAAGCATTTCTCATTGAAGCTTTACTTTGTTTCTGGAGGAAGGCTTTATCGGGGGGGTTGCATTATCTGTTTGAGATAGCTTCTGTGCTTTATCCAAAAAACATTTTGTTTTTTCTCCCATATTGAGAATGTTGTATAATAAAGTTATTTGACAGTTTACTGTCGTTTTTTTCAGAAATGGCCCTGGAGGACTTAAAAGCCGAAAAGAAGCAAATAGTAAGTAGTATAAATTACCCAGCAAGAAACAAATGAAAACAAATCTAAGTACATGTATTTGAATTTTGGATCTCACTGACATCAGTAACAATCATGTTGGATGGCAGGGGGCAATTTTCTTCCCACAGACAGAAACCAAAGTTTCGCACTAATTGCTATGTACATGTATATGTTTATAATACACTCGGTGCATTATACATCAAATACATGTAGAAGTTTAGTTTAGAAGCGGCAGCTGAAATAAAGAGTTGAATGAAGATCCATAAGAATGGATTTGCCGGGTTTCTAAAGGCTTCCATTTTGATATGGTTGTGCGTTGCTTTCCAGTTGGAAGATGTGAAAGACAAGGAGAGTTACAAGAAAGCCAAGGAGATCCTTGATCGGTTTGATCCCAGCTCCTCCCCGCCCCCTCCTCAGCCTGTGGTAGCAATCGTCCCCAAACCAGGCCAGCCACCAGGTAGGATACACTTACCTTGAAGGTACAAGTCTATCATTTGTGCATTATGTTTGTTTGAGCCAAGAAAGACACTCCCAATCTAAAGGAAGGTGCTTCACAACAAGCATGATGAAGTTAGAGCTCAGTGAATGCTGTACATTCCAAGAAAATATGCCGGGATCTTAATTTGTCATGGTTTGTCAAATTCAAGCAAACTACTAACAGCAATTTCCCGAAATAAGACTTGAGGGTCATCATGGGAATTGGCCTTCCTTCATGGCACTCTTCAAAATGACAGCTTACCTGAAAGAATAATTTCACAGGGAATGTAGTCCAGAACCACTTTTAAAGCTAAGTATGCTTTTCAGCAACATTGTCGTCAGTTGCGTCTGGGATGGCTGTAAATGATGGACTATTCATGTATGTTTGATAATTCTCAAAGGGCTCTTAGCTGGGGTGCACTGTGTCTCCAGGAGCATCAATTCATCATACATATCATCAGCGATTTGTTCAAATTGCATTCAGTCTTAATCCTAACTCCTTGGCCCTTTTTTTTTTCAAAAGTATAATATCAGTTCAAAATCCTCCAACTGCCCCTAGGCAAGAAGTGGACACAGCTTCAGTCCTGCAAAATGCTCCATCATTTCTTGAATGTTTTCCTTGGAGGGCAACCACTGCGTCAGTCCTTCCAAAATCCCCCTGCAATACCTGTCATGATACTGAAGCAGTGTGAATGGTACCTTTGGGCTCAGTGCCAACAATGCGAGGCCAGACCAAAGACATTATCACAAGGCATCAGCCACACAAATGTTGCTGAACAGCCCCAGTCCTTTGAAATCCTCCACCTACTTGTATGCAGGGAGGATCGGGGAAGGTTTTTGGTTGATGGCTTGCTCTGTCGGCCATTTGACATTGCAAATGGACCAAAACATGATTATGGAATGGATAGTTAACCCAGTACAGCGCATTCCTTTGTCTGAATTGATTGAAACTTGACAGGTTCAATCAACAGTTGCATATCATATGTTGTTTAAATACAAGAATACAAAAGAACATGTGGGGCTGTGGTCCTCAGTGTTCCATTTCATTCCTGTATTTCAGTGAACCTGGTTCCTCAAATGATAATTGGTGTTCTTTACTTTGATGCCAAGTTGATCACATGTGAAGCATTGGTTTCTCTAAACTCGTTACTGAATCTGTTCTCCCGTGGTTGAAGATAGAAAAATATTTTTCACGATTGATTCTCTGGTCATATTGCAGTGCCCAAACTTCGCCAAAGACCCATGACAGCCCGAGGTGCCAGAACCCCCAACACACCCCCACAGAGACCCCAGCAGAGAGGCCCACCCACACTGGCACCAAAGCTGACACCACAACAGCAGTTGATGATGAGTGAGTATCAGGAAGTCTGGGTACATATTTTGGAGACAATTCAAAGTTCCTCTGCATTGAATGCAATTGTTGGTATGGATGGAATAGTGTCTTACTGTAATAATTTATCCCATCATTTCCTACTCCTGGAAGGATTTTCCAAGTGATGTCATTTGCTCCAGAGATTGTAAGTAAAAATGAAGTCTGCTACAAGCTGAGGCCATACAAACTAGCACTTAGAATTTCCAGTCTCCACAGCCAGACAGAACTGAGGATATGTGCATTTCCTTTATTCCTCCTGGACGGGATGCCAGTCTGTTGCGAGATACTCTCAAGCACCTGTTTGTACCCATTCCCATGCCCGGTTTGAGGAGACGCGAGTAGAGAGAAGGGGTGTGCCATAGGACAGAACATATGGCCAGTTGACAGATTCGAACCCCTCCACCCTTCAATCACTTGGAGAGGTGAACTTGGGAACATGGCCTGCCCCAGAACACGGCACAAGGCCATGCTGCTTTGAATCAACCCTGCAACCTTCTAACCACAGAGAGAGGAAGACAAACAGGGGCTAATAGGCTCAACCAAGCTCACAACCCAGGAATTGTGGTCCTCCACTCCATTGACAACAACCTGTTTTAACCCATTCTTTCACCCCTCAGGACCCCAAGCCCCACCACGTCCCATCCTACCCAGGGAGAGGGGCACAGTGGACAAGCTGGTGGATTTCCTGGTAGGAGACGGCCCGTCCAGTCGCTATGCCTTGATCTGTAGGCACTGCTATTCACACAATGGCATGGCTTTACAGGAAGAATTTGAATATCTTGGTAAGCCAAGTATCCTTTCCTGTCTTGCTTTTTGTTTGATTCATATTTTTTGTACAGGTTTTTAGATCTCACTTTGTTTCAGATGTAATCACACCTTTTTCAGTCATAAAATATCAATTTTACAACTGTAAAAATGTAAAATAATTTGTGGTGCTTTATTCCACACCGTCAACAATTGATGCTTCCGTTTTTATTGGAATGAAAATGAACTGGATGGCTGAATTCAACCCCACCCATAAAGTATATGTCTGAACTGCCTGAAGGGTCAAGGCCAGCTCATGAACTACAAATAGCTTTTGTTGAGTTTTTTGTGTGCATTTCAGTTTTGCTCATTGTGTTGAAACAGAGTCAATTTATACACAACACCCAGTTAGTTTGCATATGAGATGAAATGCCTCGTTAGATTTTGACGTGTTACGCTTTGAGAATGACTGATTTCTGTCTGGTTGCAGCCTTCAAGTGTGCCTACTGTGGGGTGTTCAATCCATCCAAGAAAGTTCGGCCCCAGGCACCTCAGCTTCCTGTGGCTTCCCCATCACAGAGACAAGGCTCGCCTAGCCGAGGTGATCATTTCATGTATTCCGTCCTTCAGTATTCTATTCCCTTCCAAGAAACCTGTCTGAGATCCTTGAGATGCCCTTCTTCAATCGGCCAGCGTAGTTTTCTTTCTATAGTTGCAACCTTTTTTTCTGATTTTCCTCAGGTTCCTCAAATTTCTTTTATCTCCACATCCTATCCGCTCCTTAAAAATTCTTCCAATTTTTCCTTTTTCCCAAGTTTTTACTAGTTGCATTATCCTTGAGATGTTTCCATTTCCCCACACTCTTGTTTCCCTTTTCCTTCCCTGGTTTCTTTTGATTTTCTAATGTTTTTGTTCCGAAAGTCAGAGATGTTTTAGAAAGGTTTCTGAAATTTATGGAAACGTATACTGTCCGAGTAGTAGCTTTATTCTAAGTATGTACCTGTCAACATACAAATGTGTATTTTACTTTTTGTCAGTTCCAACAGCAGAAAACACACCACGGCGCGGCAGTACCAGTGAAGGTGGCAGCCAATCAGATTCTGACGTTGCTTCATCCTCCTCCATCCCACCGTCCAACACCCCTCGACCAGACGTCCAGACGGAAGGCACAGCACAAGACGGCGGTAGCACCCAGGATGATGCAACCGCTCAGGATAATGCAATTGGTGACACACCCTCTGATACACCGTCCGCAGCACCCCCTGACACACATGGTGGGGAAGCTGAGCCGTTGGAGGTGGAGGAAATACAGGGCCAGAGTGCAAGCTGATAGGCAGGTTGGATGCATACTCATTACTTGATAGTTGTACATTTTTTTTTCCCATATGAGACTTCTTTATTCAGAGATCAGTAAGTTATTACATTAAGTGATCTAGCAGTTTGACGAATGTTCTATCTTTTTTGGTTTTTTCTGATTACCTATTTGATGTGGTATGAGATACTATCATATTGTTTTCTGTGTGTAAATAAACTTGCAGTGTTTCAAAAGCCAAACGTTTGTTTCTTGTCAAAATTCGCTGAGCCATCCAGCATTAAATGCAGTGTGTCATATTTTATCCGTCAGGAGAAAAGGATAGTTGACTCCTTAAATTTCAGGAGGTTGTCGCTTGTTATTAAAATGATCAAACTAATTGGATCACTGGAGAAGCGGGATTAACTCCTGATTTTCAATATCTAAAGCTAATGTGGTGTAATGGATGATGGAGATGTAGGAATGACGGAATAGTAAGAGAATGAAATCCATTCCTGGACATCACTTGACACCCTGCAAAACCCTCTAGAGAGATTGGTCTGAAAAATTCCAAGTGTTGTCTATGTCAATCTTTCCATATTTTCCCTGCTAAATTTGTGACCTTTTAGGCCACTCTATCCGCCCCAAGCTGAAGTGCACCCCCAATCGGCGAAAGAAAGACGTGGTTACAAGCAGGTTCTCGCATGAGTTCTGTGTGTACGCAAAGACCATACATGCCGGAATAAATTAGTTATGCGTACTCTGCGTGCTCCGCGTCAAACGCGCATATACTTGCGTGCCTCATGGTGTGCCTATGCAGTACCAAAAAAAACCACTTCCTGCTTTTGTTCCACTCGGAGTAGATTGCTTTCTGATGGCTGCTTCGTCACTGTAGGGAAAACTTAGCGCCGTTCATGTATGGAACTCTTCCCGTATCATGAAATGTGGTATAGAACCTGCTTATCTGAAGTAACACCTTTTCTTCCTTTTCTGACCCAAACCAGAGCTCTAATTTGGAAGTGCGGTGGTACTTTAACAATGCTTGACGCCCTGAAATTGACATTGTTTCCCTGATTTTGTTTTCTTCAAAGTGGAGAGAACTGACTGAATGTATTATAGAAATAAAGGGTGGGAATTTTGTATTTGATTCTTGACTTTTTTTAGATAAACTTTTGGCATTTCTTATGGAGAATTAACTTGTCTTTAAAAGGTGATCAGCAGAAAGCCTGATAGAATTAATCGTGCATGGACTTCATTACATGTCACGTTTATTGAATCTAACATTTTTATTGTTTTTTTTCTGTTGATATGTGATACATGTTAAAAGTCCTCAAATACTTGCCAGAAAATTTGTAAGGCTAGGCTACGATGTTTGCAAAGTGTCTTAGATGTTTAAAAGTTTCACTGAGGCTCTGTATAAAAAATGCAAGAACTGGGCCCAATTTCACGGTGCTGCTTACTGCAGGCAAAAAAACCGGTGCTTACCATAGCAGAAAATTCTGCGCGTACGCCGAACATATTTCACGGGTTAGCTGGGAATTTTGGCTTGTACGCATGCATACATCCCGTAAGGATTCTGTGCTTGAAGGGTAAGCACAGAATTTTTCTTCTTGCGCGGTTAGCGCAGAATGGAGATCCTAAGCATGGAATTCTGCGGTAAGCAGCGCCCTGAAATTGGGCCCTGTCCTCATCCAGAGATTTTGAGAGCTAGTTGTTTTTCAGTAATATTAATTTGGCTTTGTGTCGTTGATATGAATTTTATACAAGGTTTTTGCCCTTACACCTTTGTGTACATGTAAATTCACTGTATTCTCAGTGTGGTCTGAAAAAATCATAAGCTTGCATGGTGGGAATCGAACCCACACCTTCCTACTTACAAGTAGAGATGCCTTATATGGTTTTGCGATTCATTTTCATTTGTAGGTCAAACTTTGATTGAAATAGGATTTCAATTCTTATATGTTACAGTTTTTTTAAACCGCTTCAAGCCAAAACTCGTAGATCTCATCTGGCTATCTGTATAGAGCAGCAAAGTGAGTGCGTCACGTGCTCAATTATGTGCGTAAAGGCATTGGAGCGAGACCCAGTGCATGAACCAACACGCGCGCATCCTCCATTTGTTTACACTGCATTTTCTGATTCACAGTGATGTCACACTTCGGAACACAGGCACAGCTGATGGGTTGAAATGTCAAGCGAGCCTCGTCTCACCTCCAGCTGATACTTGAACTCGTTAAACCTTCGTTTGTTTTGTATACTGAGAGTCTAAAAAGTATGTGGAGGCAGACTGTGTTGAACTTGACTAAATACTGCACATCAGTACGTGGGGCATTTGGCTGTTGGTCAGTAAAGTTGGTCAGTATATCTTGTCTTTTTCTGAAAGTAAAAATATGCCGTCCAAAATAATAACCATCAGCAAGCAGTTGAAACATGTGGCAGAGGTTACAAAATTCTGGGATGGAATGGTCTGGTAAAATGTACTTTTCCTGTCAGTGGTGTTGTAGTGTTTGCAGCGCAAAACTAGCTTCTTCAGAAATCATTGTGAGCTTTGGAGATTGTAATTAACAGCAAATGACTGCAGTATTGATGGAGCAGCACTTGAAAGCAGTGCACTGATAAAGAATTTGTTATTACATATACAACAGTGAACATTTGTTTGATATATCTATATTGGTGTTATTCCAGAAGGCGGCTAAGAATACGTCATTTACCTGGCATGATTGCTAAGCAACAGAGGTCCCATAAAAAATTGTTCTATCATACATGCATGTAGATAGGCCTCACTGACCACTTGATTTACTGATTTATAGCAAATTCATGAAGAAGAAATGTGAAATTTGACTTTGACTTATCAGTAATGCCATTACATGCCTGGATGATAAACATTTTATGGAGCCATTAAGCAGGAACTATTAATGCCATTTATCAGTGACATTCTTCGGTGAGAAATACACAGACTTAAACATCTACAGTGCTGGTCTGTGATTAAATTCTCATTTCAATATTACTGTAAGAAAAAAGGCAAGTTACAGAGCAGTAAAATAAGGAAATGCTGGTATTTCTGGAGACATTTTATAATGAGCCTTCCAAAGCATCATAATACAACAGGTTATGGTAAAAAGAGCTTCAGTTTCACAGTTTATCCACTTTGGATCTGTTACATCATACACCATAATCTGGGGAAAAAAACACCTGAAGCCTGAAATGTTTTAATTGGTCAGGCTACTATTTGTTTTCGTTTAAAATTTGGATGTTCACAATTGTACACGTACATGTCTTGCCGTTTGTGAAGCCTTCCATTCTGACCCTAAGAAGGTCTGCAATAAGTCACTTTGAAGCAAGTGTGGATGCTGGATAATAACCCTATATACATGTATATCTGCATATCACTGAGTCCTGTCAGGAAACAGTTGATAAAAATGGCTTCAATATATAAAATAAACTTTACAAAAGTGGTTGTAAAGCGCTTGAATTCTTATCTATACACCACAATCCGAAAGCAACTAATACCAAGTGGTTGGATATTACTGAACACTCGAACTTGCTCTGTGACACTAACACTGTTGCTTCTAAAATTTATGAAAAACAACCTAATTGATCAATGTTATTTATAAATAAACATGATTGTACAAGTCCAATGTTTTTGTACATGTACATTTACTTATGACTTCCGTCCTAGAATTCGGCAGTCATGATGTGACTTGGGTTCAGCAGGATGCAGAAGGAAGTTTCACAAGGGCAGCTTATGCTGATTTGTTACATAACATTGCGAGGTAGTGCATTAAGCACAAAGCAACACACAGACAGGCTTAATGTTATTCAAAATGTGACATTAGCGACATGCCAAACTTCTGTCAATAGCTTGGTAGCTTACCTTTCCTGAACACTTTCAATCTGGTTTGCTTGTTACACAAAGTACATGTACATTAACCACTTGCCGCCGGAGATTCCGGTTTTGGACACGTATTCTTTATATATATGCGTGGTCGGGGTCTTCGAAATCGGATAAAGGGAACTGAGCCTTGTAACAAGAAACCGTACTCGTAACAAAAGTCCAGGCTGCTGGGCATTACCAACATTTTTCACTCTCAATAGTGAAAACAATCCATCCTTGTTTTGAAATAGTATACCACTGTTTGGGGCATTCAGCGCGAGGGGATTACCACTGCCGCAATGAGCCACACAGCACCACTAGCTGCACGCTAATCTAGCCCTTATTGAAAAGAGGTCAGCAGCACACTGAGCCAGGTTCGCGAACAAAAGAAAATTATGTAACACCCCACAATTTGGGCTCCTTTTACAAGGCTGTAGGCCTGGCTGAAATACTCCAGCGTCAATAGGTTGTCTGTCAGATTAGAGTAGAAACCAGACAGTCCTTCGTGTGGGTGTCCAGTAAATGAAGATATGAAAATTTAAAGAATTTGAAACCAGAAACAAATGAAAATTATCCTGTCCCGTCAACATTCATAAATGCCCTCAGTGCGATGTGGTTAAGAGGCCCATGGTCCACTGACAACCTCAGCAAAGCATAGGGCTGTTCTTTTTCTCCATTTTACACTGGTTTGTATTCGTTCTTACATGTTGCTTTGATGGACTCTAAATGAAATACTCTAGCAGGTTGTAGGTCATTCCCAATGAAAATTGCCTAGAAAACTGTGGTTGAGAAAATAAATCCACTGTGTGTCGGGGGGAAATTTTGTCGTTAAATACCGAGTTCAGAAGATGAAATCTACAATCATTCTTCCTTGAGAAACTGATAAACTGACGAGAAATCCTTGAGGCTGTATCCCTTACTGCACATGACCCTGTAGATCTGATGAGCTAGGGAGCCCAAGGGCGTGGCACTCTTTGTGTGGGTGGCTGCACTCTGGGCCAAGCCGAGATCCTGCAGGGAAAAGAAAAAACACCAGTCGCGTGTTGAGAACCATTAGTGGAAGGGCAGAAATTGATCAGGTCTCAATTTTGTTTTAAAAAAGATGCAAGCCATCGGGCACCATGCATGAATTAGTGGTGGCAATTGGTCACCAAGCCACAATGTCCCATGACATGCATGAGGGAGACACGTCCCATACACACTTGTCCTGGGCTGCATTTGACGAACATTCATATGGTTGTATGGAACCTGTAGGGTCTCACCATGGGCCAAATATAAGCACAACATTCAAACCCAGAAAGCTGACTCTGTCCTTACAATTTTCCATCTTTTTCTAAGAGGAATCAAAAAAGGAGTATCACATTTTCCCTTATCTTTGAAGTGTGACAATTGATTATGTGAATAAAACCCGAGTGCCAACTTCTAAGAACACACAAAATGTTCTGCTGGAAGAACCAGTGCATTACATGCATCATGAAGACTAACAGCAATGAATTACAAATCGCTCTGCTCATCATTTTTCAAATTCCTTGTAGCTTAAAGGTTAAGAGGGCTGACTATCCATGAAGTGACTTGCTAGATTTGAATGACATTAACTGTCAAAGTCCTTCCCGTTTTCCTCATTTCACTCACACACAATAAGCCTTTCGCAAGTTAAATTTGAATAAAATCTGGTACACTGAGTTCTTTAAATTCACATGAGCATAGCAATTTGAATCCTCCATACTAAAGACAATGTTGCTATACCTCGTGATTTGGGGCAAGCTTTTTCTTAGTTATATAAGAGACACTTTGCATCAATACACTGTTTTCAATGGATGGAACCAGTTCATTCCAGAGATGGTGGTCACTATTCAAAAGCTTGCCCCGAATCACAAGGTATAGCAGCAGTGTCTTTAGTCTGGGGAATTTGAATTGTTGTTTATGTGCAATCAGATATTAAACTCAGGGTACCAGATTTCATTCAAATTTAACTTGCAAAAGGCTTATTATACAAATAGAATGCAACTTTGTTTCCACGGTGAGGCAAGTTTTCCAGGAGCTGTTAAGATGCCTCTGGAGTCTGGAGGCAGTACCTTGGTCATAAGAGTCGTGCTGAATCCTCCCTTGTACTGGTTGCTGGATGGCACCCCTTCCATCACCCCAGGGACTGGGTTGTAGGTGTCGCTGGACCAGCTGCGTCCACTGCTGCTGTTCAGGATCTGGGCCAACATCTTGGGCTCCAGGCCCAACCTGTTGCATGATTTGAAATCACAAGATTCAAGATCTAAGGCGAATTCATGGCACAATTCACTCTAACTTGAAGCACCCCTTCGCTGGCGAAGAAGAGACAGGCTGGTGTGAAAAAATTCCAAAGTTGCATGAAAAACTTCTGCGAAGGCTGTACATTTCAACAGAAATCAGTGGCTTGAGCTCGGGCATACCACACCAAATGCACATGCACCTGTGAGCAAAACACGGTACTTTTCCCACCAAAGAGACAAAATAAGCCCTCCCTTGTTCCTGCATGGCACAGATAGTCTCCATGGATGAATCGGTACTCTCCATTTTAAACATCCTACACTCTCACCTGATCCCGAGATTCATTGTTTCAGAGGTGCCCATCATTGCGATACCCAGCATCATGTTGTTACAGATTTTAGCAGCCTGCACATAAGAAGAAAAATCGCATTTATCTGATTACTCAATAAACTCAGTGTTTAACCAAAACATTAAGTATCTATCTGCTGGATTACAAGTCAGCTTCCAAAAAGAAAAGAAAAAGAACACACAATGCATCCATGTCTCCTGATGATGACTACAGCAAGCTGGTCGAAATGTAGAGATCATATCTTACCAAGCAACAGTAGCCAAATACAAGAAGTGCGAGAATTGCATAAGTGCAAAGCAACTAACTATTCTGTGACGGTGAAGAATTCCAATTCCAATTCAGGAATTCAGTTGGGTGTTCACAGGGATGGAAGTTGTGGTCTTGTCCAGAGCATGAAAACAAGGCCAGAGAAGCCTGAATGTACCTTGTTGAAGCCAAAAATCAGCCCAACAGCGTCAATGGAAGAGCCTGAAATTGGACTTTAGTCTGAAACCTGTTCAGGTACCCATCACAAGCCAATGGGAACAGTGCTCCACTAAGAGATTCTAGAAGGCAGGAACTAGGCAAATGGTGACTGGTGGTCTAGGTACATGTATCGTTGTAAGTGTATTGTACATGTGGTCACCAAGTCACCCTCAGACTGAGGTCTGCCGGGAGATATATGACCGTCTTAGCTCACCTGTCCCGTTCCCACCGGCCCAGTGTTGACCACATTCTTCCCCATGCACTGCAGCAGTTCCTTGGCTGCATCAAACTCCTCGGCCTTGCCTCCCACCATGAACGTCAGCAAAGCATCTCGTGCTGCATTCACTCCTAAGAACAGGTAAATGATCAAAGAGGTTGACTTCCTTCTAACCCTAACCCCAGATAGATCTTGGCGGGTTACTGGTGGTATCTCATCGCTCCATTTCATCCCAATCAAATTATGGCCATTTTTCTTTCTTGCCATCATCTATGAGGTGCACGTAATATATTTTCCTGTGCACCAGCTGTCCATATAAACCAGGGTAGGGGGATCTTGAGCTGAAAACTAACATTTCATGTCAGTGGAATTTTACCAATCTGGAGCAAAAACTTCTGCCAGACATCATTACACAAACACACAAAGGCTCACAAAAATTTAAAGCAATGAAAATCAAGAAAAAAAAATCCCCTTTCAAGGTTAAATTGACAAAGTTTCAGATGTATAGTTCCTAACTTGTTCAACAGGGGCAAAATGGCCAACTCATTTTTGTATAAGGGGAAAAGAGTAGAAGTCAGACCATGAATTTCCCATACAACATAGTTGACATAGATTTGGGTTGGTATGCCATCATGGAGTCATCTTGCCACAAGATTCATCTTGCTACATGTGGGATATGACAGAATACAAGATAAAAACCAATTTAAACAGGTAAACTCGAGGGGCGTTGTGATAATAGTAAACAAAAGAACATCTTTATACAAAGAATGAACCAAAGTGATTCTAGGGTCTATTATGTATGGCCATATCAATTCTTCACTCAATCCCTGACAGCCTGAAAGCATCTCCAACTTTCAACCTTGCTTAAGTTCAGTACTAGAAACAGCCTTTTTGCTTTTCTTATTTCCTTTGCATATGTAAGGCTTGTGCAATCTACGCATAGTCAAGTGACGTAAATCTCAAGATCAGATGTGTGAAGCAAAAATGAAGCTGACTCATTTCTCGACGGTGTCAGGCTTGGCCAGTAAACGCAAATCAAACAATGCCATTTACTTTTCCTGACAGTCTCCCCTGTCCCTCCCACACACACTTCCACTTGAAGATATGTTATGACACAGTTTCCAACTGGCTGAATCGACCAAAGTAGGAAGTGGTAAAGGTCGTGACTCGTGCTTCAATGAATGTTTCCTGGCAAATAGTGTCTCAATTTAACTTTCCAAACTTTGACTCATGCTCAAGAGTATATTTCTTCGCCAGCAAAGAAGGGGGTGGAGCTGAGAAGGAAGAAGGGGGAGTGGCATATTATTTCCATGCAGTGCTAGTAGAATCCAAAAAGAATCTCTGATTTGATTTAAATTTTCTTGTTTTAATTTGAAATTCTGTACAAATTTGCCATCCACTGGCTTAATTAATGGCCGGAGACCACACAGGTTACATCTGTTGTTATAAATTTTTCGATGCTCTCAAAACCTTAAAAGAGTTATGTTTAAAAAACTGAGTGCAACATCACACAAATACTGAATAAATGTCACATTTGCATAACAAACATGCAGTGCATTTTTTTCAGTACATTAAGTGGTTACATGATAGATTGGTTCTCAGTAACGTGCCTTGCAGGAAAGCTCACATTTAATCACAGATTGCTTGCCATCTTTTCAATGAGTCAGTTTATGAAGAAATTAAATATTGCAGTATTCTGCATCGTCTAAAAAGGGCTTGCCGTTTGGTAAGGACTACTCTTTCCAAAGAAACAAAATGCATGACAACATGTTATTTTTATGACACAGACGTGGCACATTCTTGACGGCAAGGCGAATCTAGTTTAATGCAGCATGTGAATATGTAATTCATTTCAGAGAGTTGGACAAATGCAGTAGCTGAATGTCCAAAAGTGTATGTGCATGTCCATTATGTAGGCCCTCCTTGACTGAAGTTGTTCTAACGCAGGGAGCCCATTTATGAAAGGCAACCTGTTAGCTATATTTCCTCAAATGCTCTGGTGTATATATGTAGGTGTCGTGGCTGCCTCAACTGTTCACACACACAGCCAATAACCATTCTAGTATCTGCTCACCTCCAGACACTGGTGCGTCCATGTACACTGCTCCCTTCTTCTCTGCTTGGGCTGCGACTTCTTTGGCAACGGACGGATCAATGGTACTGCTGTCTATCAGAAGAGCACCTTTCCTGATGGTTCTAGACAAAACATGAAATGCAAAACGAGCTGATCTGCTGAAGCATGGTTAAGAAGGCAAAGAAATACACTGGAGAAGGAAACTACACTTTTCAGTTAACCAGCTAATGATTTTACCTTTCCTTTTTAATTTGCCGAGTAAATTCTGCTTGGGATTTGCATTGGAACCATCCCCTTGAGACCCTGACAGTTAATATCAGGAACTGGTTTAAAATAACGGGAAAGCGTACTTATTGGTATAACAAACTTCAGAAAAATTACTTTCCAGTAAACTCTCAGAGAAAAAAGTTTTAAATGATTTTAGGCGACTGTTTTTTTACAGAAAAGGAGGCTACATGGAATGCTAAAGCATACATGTACTTCATATTCCTTATGTCACTGTCAGAAGATTGTATGCCAAAAGATGCTTCTTAGTAGGTTGACAAAGAGAACTCAGAGTTCAAGCCTTGTTGCTTCACTCAGTGAGTATTTCTTGCTGAGCCTTCTGTCACACAAGGCAGCTTACTTACGATAGAATACCATTCGAACTATTGTAGGCCTCTATAACATTGGGACTGGACGGTAGCATGGTGACAATCCGGTCCACCTTCTCGGCCACATCAGCCGCTGAGTCAGCCACCGAGGCCCCAAGGTCCTGCATCTCTGTCACGGCCTCAGGGTAGACATCGTGGACAACCAGCGGGTAGCCCTGCTTCAGGAGGTTCTTGGCCATGTGGCCACCCATGTTGCCCAAACCAATAAAACCAATCGGTGTCATGGATGCCTGAACAAGGGACAGTGACATGATGTCCATGAGTAACAGCCTGGACAGGAGATTTTCACTCAACCACTACCAAATGTGATCCACTCCATGAAAGTGAGTTTTAAGTCATGTACTTCTGAGTGAAAGGCCTTTAAAAGAATCTTGCACAAGGTAAAGCCCTCAGAATCCTTGACATTTTTCACCCATACAATGTCCATTATCAGGACCCCAAACTGAGATATATTGTACATCAGTATCAGCACAAAACATCCGAGTTGTTCTTCCTAATGCTGACTCAAGCAAAATTATAGAACAGAAAATGGCCTCATGACTCTTTTTACAGAACGGCTCACAAATGATGCCACTCAGAAAGTTAGTTTATACCTTAGATGAATTCGAAAGCGACTTTGCTTGAGCGAAATGTGTGCTCAGCTTTTGCAAATTCACAGCATGAATAGTTGCTCGGGCATCAGTTTCATATCCGTGTTGTTTTTTTTGCACTGGGTACAAACCAGCTGCAAAGTAGTTACAGGATAGTCACAGTCCTACCCAGACAAGGACAGTGACCCAATCAAATCAAGATTCTGCAAACTTGCTGCAAACAGAAGTACTGCAGAAACTATTTATAGATTAAGTTGGTCATATGTATGAATGATTTGACCCGACTGATACATTAAAGAAAAGAGAACATCTTGCATACCTTCTGTTGGGAAGACACTGTGGAAAAGGAAGAAAGAAGAGAAAAGAGGAAGAGAAAGAAAACAAATCAGTAATTTAAGGAAAAATTGGTCCAGATGTTTGTGTCCTGGATTGTGACTATTCGGGGGATGGGGCCTCATAGAATTTTTTTCTAGTCATTAGGACCTGTTCCCCCATAGATCCTTTTTGTCCCCATATTAATGAAGTGGCTTAAAACACTACTCTTCTCACATTGAAACCCTATGCGAAAGAAAACACAAACACTAAAATTAGACTTCAAGTAACGCGGGCCTTCCTAGATGTCACACGATATACATAATGGGCATGGTCGGCTGATCAGTGCAATTGGTCAATCTTGGCATGAACAGTCGGTATTTATTCACAATTTGTCAATAATTCTGCCATCAACCATTTGCTTGTCCTGTCTTATTCACAGTTCTGGAGGAGTCTTCAAAAATAGGACGCAAGATTGACGATTCCATACAGGTTGACCAATCATGCAGAGTGACGGGTGATCAGCAGTTTTGCCAATTTCAAACATTATGTCATAGATCATGTTCCACTTTAACTTGTATTTCCACTGAACTTGATGGTACATGTTTATGTCCATTGAGCTTTGGAAATAGGCCCACCCCTCAATTTATGTATGAAGCTCATCACTCCATCTCCACGTCCTATCAGGAGAGGCAGAATATTGATCGCTGTGTGGCGGGTACCCATCAACCACATTCAACAAATTGTTAGACCTAACGTGACCGTTGGACGGATGCAACTTTATGTATCCCAAGATCAGTGAGCTGGAAACATGTGTAATGTAGCAGTTTGTTTCACCATGAAAGGTTGTGAAGCTTACGATGTCACCGAGAGTTGACACATAACCTCTTAAGAGAAAAGTAGTCGTAGCAGTGGCTTGGTATTTCTAGTGGTTGGCATGACGTCACTATGGACTTTTAACATGTGGCAAATTTACCCTATTGAATATTTGCACTTACCTCCCTTCGCCTTACTTTTCACATCGTATCCGCATAGCCGCCCTCCCGGCAAGTTGATTTGGACTTAAGACTTTTTTCAACAATTCCTATTCATTTGCAAACCACTCTGTGAAAATGAGTCTTAAGTCACCAGTCACTTTTTGAGTTTTCTTTTGTATTGGAAAGAGCAAATTGAGGTTTTTTTTTTATGTATCACTCAGCTTGGCATCCTGATGAAAGTGGATACTCCATGGTGAAAAATGCTGTGGGTTCCTATTTACACTGTGCAAAATTATTCTAAAGGACTTTTTACTCAAAAGTGGCTCTGGCCGCAGACTCATTTTCACAAAGTGGGTCACATTTGGTGTTGCTTCGTTCTCAAAACAGGGGAGTTGGTAATTTACTTAAAAATTCATCAAACCATGCCATCTTGTAGTAAGTGATCTTAGGGGTGCATTTCTGTGTGGTGGGGTATTCTGCAGTTACTCCAATCAAGTGATACTGATAGTGATATGCAAACAGTAACATGTAGGCAGTAATCCTGTGGGCCTAGGAAACCAGGCGCATATTACAACTCAGGGACTGTCTCTGTATTTGGAGAAATCCCTTTATTTGGGGAAAAAACCAGTCCCCTGAAAGAGAGAATGTCTCCTTAAAAGGGGACATTCTTTCCCCAAGTGAGCTTACATGTAGGCCAAAAATATCCACATGCTATCATTGATTTTTTCTGCCATATTTTCCATTAGTACACGTATTTAGTTATTTGTTTTTATGAACTTTGTACCATGTCACTTGATTATGTAATAAAGAACTGATTTTCAGAAAAATTGTATTGCTGCGGCCTCTTCCCCACCTTTTATGTGCCATTGCAGACTCCTGTTCGTAATCCTAGATTATATATATGTGTAGTAGGTAGAATTTCTTTTGAAATGGCAGCCTCATGCTATCATTGATTTTTTCTGCCATATTTTCCATTAGTACACGTATTTAGTTATTTGTTTTTATGAACTTTGTGCCATGTCACTTGATTATGTAATAAAGAACTGATTTTCAGAAAAATTGTATTGCTGCGGCCTCTTCCCCACCTTTTATGTGCCATTGCAGACTCCTGTTCGTAATCCTAGATTATATATATGTGTAGTAGGTAGAATTTCTTTTGAAATGGCAGCCTTGCCCTCTTGGGTGTTTTCTTCTGCTGAATCCAATTTAGGGCATGAAAGCAATAGTAGGATAACCAAGCCCACTTGAAAAAATTTCGCGGGAGATTCTCTCTTTCCTGGGACTGATTTTGTCCTTGAAGGGACTTCGGGACTTCTCCAAACACAAGGACAGTCTATGAGTTGTGATGTACATGTACGCCTCTCTACTGGTCCAGGTGGACTCCCTGACCGTACTACGTTTCAGTCGTAATGAAATGAAGACAATGTCCAACCTGGGCTAGCCTCTCTACCTAACTTCATTTTCAATAATACGGAAAGCTGACCAGTATAACCTGACCTCCAACAATGCAAATCAAATGATCATAGATGTGAATGACTCAAAAGAAAGCTAAGACTTATATACACCTGAAAAACACCTGAGAATGCCCCATCTCCCACCAGTTCCGCAAAAAGCGACCGCAGTTCGAAGCACTTTCTGTGCACCTATGGCCCTCATTGCGGCCATTTTGTTGACAATTGTCTTCGGATGGCCAATAGGTGGCGCTCTGAAGATTGAGTGTTCGCATAGGGTTGCCGGCCAGGTATAAAGGCCGAAAACTGCTTGCGCGGACCAAATCACAATTTGTATGCAGTGGAATTCTCTACGAAATAGAGCATTATGTGGCCCACAAACTTGAACATTTGTTGAAAGACGGGAATAGACAAGCACAGAGAATACCAGTTTCTGTCTGAGTGAGATTTGAAAGAAATCGGTGTCCGGAAGTAGTAGAGAAGGGACAGTTCTGGAGCACACGCCCCTTTTTACCCGGTTTTTGCTCAAAACCCTTGGGTAGTACATCGACCCGAAAAATCGTCGAAACATTTTTGGTGGGAAAAAATGGGAAAATCCTGGAATGAGGCGAGAACTCCGTTTTTGCTCAAAACCCTTGGGTAGTACATCGACCCAAAAAAACCGGAAGATTTCCACTCATCTTTTGACCCCGGCACCGCTCGCTCGCTCGCTGTAAACAACTCGTGACTAGCGCCAGGGATTTCCACTCCACTGACCTTGAACTTTTGACCCCGGCACCGCTCGCTCGCTCGCTGTAAACAACTCGTGACAGAAATCCCACCCGAAGAAAAATGAAAAAAATTTAGAAACCTATAAATAAATAGAGATATGAGCAACCAGCAACACCGACCTCTACTAACGAATTTTAATCGATTTAAGAAGGCGTTTTTAGAAGAGTTTGTGAAACGGTGTAACATCCCATTACTTGCACCAAAACGTAAACATCATACACGATTTGAACTAATAAACGCTATACGAGCGGATCAAAAACAATTTAGGTACCTCCCGAGTCAGTCATATCGGCAGCTGTTGAAAAAGTAGTAGAGAAGTGAGAGTTCTGGAGCACACGCCCCTTTTTGCCCGGTTCTTGCTCAAAACCCTTGGGTAGTACATCGACCCAAAAAATCGTCGAAACATTTTTGGTGGGGAAAAATGGGAAAAAATGGGAAAATCCAGAAATGACGTGAACCCCGGTTTTTGATCAAAACCCTTGGGTAGTATATCGACCCAAAAATCTCGGGGATTTCTGCTCAACTTTTGACCCCGGCGCCGCTCGCTCGCTGGCTAAACAACTCGTGACTAGCGCCGGGGATTTCCACTTCACTGACCTTGAACTTTTGACTCCAGTTGTAAACAACTCGTGACTGGCAATCACTCGCGAGAAAAAATTGATAAAAAAAAAAATACA